AATAAAAGAAAAGAAACCTGAAATTCTTCGCAAATTTTTCCCCGATTAAATTCCCCATAAAGTAGACCGTCATTTAAATTCCCGACATGGAACATAAATTTCGGTCATTTGAATCTGCAATCAGCTGTTCAGTTCCGCGATCTAGATCCATAATTTCTGTAATTAATTTGCATAATTTCCGATCCAACGTTATAAATTAGACGTCATTTGCGATTTTTTAAATGGTACAAGGGGAGGGGAAAAAAAACAATGTAGAGGGAAGATATGCCTCGAGGTGTCATCTCAGCAGATCATAACGAGGTCGGCATAGTGACACCTAAGGTGGGAAATTATCGACGCTTATCAATTATTATGTCACCTGGCACGTGGCCGGAGGAGATCAGGTCGCGTGCGATAATCTCGAGGCGGATTTATTCCCGCAATTCGATATACGTCCTACGTGGCATTTCTCGCTCCCCTTTCCCGAGGGACTACGTGTCCGATCTCCGATTACGCGAGTCTGAATCCCGGTTTTTACTGACAAGGAATGACTGTGCCTCGATGACCCAGATGAGAGCGCCGATGCGGCACGAATAAAACGGAAATTACAACCTCGACAGGCGAATAATCTAATTGCTCGATAAAACCGTGTCATAGACTCCTCTCCTTGTTCCACGTCGCGAAGAGAATGAAAAGAAATGAGGGAGGAAAAAAAATTAATAACCTTCGAATTTAACCCTTGCCTAGATGAGGACTGACCCACGCGCGGTCGCCATTTTGCTTTCCCTCGTTTTCCTTTTTATTTTCTAAAGAATCATGAATTAAAAGAATTAAAATGTTAAGTGGAAACGCGTGATATAGATTCTTCCCCTTATTTCGCATTATCATTTTCCTATCTATTATCTGAAGAATCATGAATTAAAAGGGCTGAAGAATCATGAAAAAAAAATTCCTAATTAAAGGATCGGTTCGTAATAATCGGCAGGCTGGTAATTAATTCGCAATTAAAGGCGACAGGTGTGTCCTGGTTGCTATTCGGTTCTAAATTTGCATTAACAATTGCCAGCGGACTCGTGTTTACGAATCTCTCGCTCGAATTACCGGATGTCGTCCCCGATTACATAACTATTCCCTCTCCCCTCCCTCTTTCCTCCTCTTTCTTCCTCTCTCGGAGCGAGCGACCCGTGATAAATCCGCGACAGAAACGCCTATCACGAATTACGTCGAACAGCTCAACCATGAATTACAAAGACGAAGAGAATGAACCCTTATTAAAAATGAAAAAAAATGGATTAATGTTACCAGACGTTCCTAGCTAAAAGATTTCTGGTTATCATTAATGAGAAAGTCTGGTTAATGTGATGGCAATATGATGATAGATAAAAATAATAAGGGCACATTTAACAGTCCAATCTGATTAAAAAAAATATATATATCTAATCCGAAAGAATATATAAAATAAAATATGAAAATAATAGGAATTCTGGTTCGCTTACTAGGAATTCCTTTTTTTCTGGTTTTGAGTGCAGGATACTCGAAATTCTTCGAGCTCGTTTAATATTTCTTTTTCCAGCTGACTGCAATGACTATCCTGATTTTTCATCACGTGTACCTTGCGAAGAATCGCAGGCTGCATAAAAAGGAGCCGCAGGTCCCGTTGATCCCGGAAGAGGGAAGTCTCTTCTTCCTGGTGCATCCTATTTGCATCCTGATAAGCCTCGTCCTTATGGTCCTGCGGATTTTCACGAACATCCTGGAGAACAAGCACGAGTTCGTGAGCAATAATGATACAGGAACTGTGGAGACTATTTATCAGGTCGTTCCAAAATTCTTTTCCACTTTTATGGATACTTCATAGCCCCTCTATTAATCCTTCATAAAGAGGATTATTTAATATTTAAAAAGTGCTTTTTATAAGGAGATCGCATCACGCCTAATTTTAAATGCCTTCGTTAAACCTTCTCAAATAATTAATTATGGGTATTAAGTGATCAAAATAAAGGAAAAACGACCTGATACAATCTCTAGGACAATAGTGCGTTCTGTTAATTACAAAAGAAAGGAATCTTCTTTTTAGGCAGTTTATCCATCCATTGTGGGAGCTATTCTGATGATATCTGGAGGAATCGCCGCGATGCGCCACGCGAAGGTGCACATCGACCTGGACCAGGTAACCGACGAAGAGTTGCTCCAGCATCCCGTCTACATTCACGACTTCTCCGTCTGCATCTTCTCCATCTTCGGGATGTGTCTCTACCTGATCTCATTCTTCCTCTTCTGCGACGTCCTTCAAGCGGTCTGTTAATAAAATAATAATCAATATAAGAATAATAAAGCGCGTTGAAAGTAAAACTCTAAAAGAATGATTAGATATTGTGTTGCACCGGCGAAAGTTAAACTAACCGAAGATTAAAATCGTCTGGTGATCATATGAAGTCGGGCGGTTAATTCTAATCGCGCGTTAGGTAATCCTCGGTTAAGGATTTTAACTCGAGTGTCGTTAACGTGAGAATTTACGCGTGAAAAGATTCACTTGGAAAGTAAATAATTAACCGCTGGCTCTTACCTGTACAGGAGAGCCGGAGGCGGAAACTGGAGGCAGCAATGGACGAGGTTGAGACTTCCAGCTCGAGTTCCGAAACTCTGGAAGGTCAAGACACGCGGGATCAACAGGAAGTAGAAATAGATCCGGAAGACGAAGTCGGAGTCGAAGACCGCCGCGAGCGACCCGGCGAACTTAGACCCATCGCCAATTTGGACGCCATGCCGTCCCACTTGACAGTCGAGCAGGGAGTAAGGATAAATTTGGAAAAATTCGAACTCAAACCTCCCCTTCGATCCCTCAACTCGATAGATCGAAACGAATTACCTTTCTCTCGAAACGATCGATAACGTCGCTTCGCGCGATTGCGGCGACTTCAACTAGTGGCGTCATCCCTCGGCGCTCGCGCGAAGCTCTTAGCGAAACCGCCAACGGATAAATCAAGAAGCGGGCTCGAATTCAAGCTTTACATATAGATTGATAAATGGATTATTAATAATCCCATGGTCTGCTGGTTTGGTTAGTAATCTCAATTGTCCACGTTTCCAGGTGGAGGACGACCTGGCTGTGTATTGCTGCTGCGTCGATCTGTGGAATTACTTGAAAAAGAAGAACGAGCCCGCGCGGCCCACGCACGAGTTCCAAGTGGTGCACGTAATGTGACACTAATTCCCGCTCGTCAAAGGGCGTAATTAAATCAAGCAATTCGCCGCCAAGTCGAGAAGAGAGAAGAGGAAGATAATGGATCCCCGAAAGCCTGTGGACGCACTCGAAATATCTCCGTCTTCTTCCATGGCCCGGAAAACGCGGAAACTCCGAATTCCCGGGCGATCGAGATTTATCATCATCGCGAATGTCGGGAACAATGATGTCACGCCCGTAGATGGAACGCACGAATCTTGTCGCCTCGTCATATATCTGATATATCTCGGGCGTGATATCACGCAATGGTGACGTCACTTCCCCCCCCGAAGATCGAGATACCTCGAGCTAATGTAATGAATAATTTATTCGCGGCATCCGAGTTGTCAAGGTCGGGGGAAAAAAATAGAAGAAAAAACGCCGAGCTCCTTTACTTCGACTTTGACGACTTGGGCGACATTTTCGAGGAATCTCGGCGAATATCGATTACATGAATATCCATGAAAGCCGCCTCGTTAAACCGCAAATCAAATGTAAATCAAATTTATTGGCGTTCAAGTTTGACCATCGATCAAATTCTTTGGCGCCAAATTTAAAAAGAAGAAAAAGAAACTGTTCCTAAAAGTGGAGTTAATTTGATCGGCTTGTATGTATTATTAAATAATGTACAGTTAGGTAGAGTGCCGTTAATGATAGTATTGATTATATCAATAGTAGCGATAATATTGATATTTATAACGAGATGAACGACAAGCAATACGTTAGTTCTCGATTTAACAGTTTTAAGGTATTCCTTAATTTGGAAAAGTGGGAGATTATTATATCAGGTCACTCGAAAAATTCTGTCGTTTCCTGGGAGCGTTTTTTGCCTTACAGTACTTGTATCGATGTTACTGATTAATAATGTAATTAACAATGTTACGATTATATTTTGCCTTGTGCTTGTAAAGCTACTTTGAAGTTCGCCTTCGTAAACGATTACAGAACGCCTCGTATAATTCGTCGTTCGGCTTCAAGTTGAGAATTCGAAATTTGTCGATTCTGCTCGCGGAAATCCGATTTGTTTACAAACTAAGGAGTAATTTTACACAGCCCTGACCTACACTCTGGGCTGTAGAGCGACCCGAAGGTGCCGAAGAAAGAAAGAAAGAGTACGCGAAGCAAGAGAGACGAGCGAATTCCGCCAACCTATACTACGTTCGACGTGAGCGACTTTTAATAAATCATGATGTAAAGCAGACCTACATCATGTAATAAATGACGACTAAATTCTCGTAGACCTATAGCTTCATTTACCACCGCGAGATTTCCCTGAGGAATTAAAAGGCACTCTGAAAATGTTTTTCTCGGGTCCCTCTTAAAGGAGCTCCAATTGCTTGATAAGCGCGAACTTTTAGAAAATTCCTATCTCCGTCGGAAAAAATCCCACGCACTCATGTGACAGCTACTTTTTCACGGCAAAATAGTGGAAGTTTGAGGGAAAATTAGATCGAAGTTCTGAAAAAAATTCTACGAGGACTCAATGCCCTCCCGAAGGAGACAGAGTCATGGTTCTCCCATGGAGGTGGAGGATTCTTCAAAAATTCATATCTCCTTTGAGAAAAATCGTAAAAGCTCTCACTAGGGCTCATTTTAAAGGCAAGGAATAAAGGTTTCGAGGAAAAATTTTCTGAGGATCTGGAAAAATTCAGCGCAGGCTCAACGCCCCCACGAAGGAGGGCAAGCAATGGGTCACGCTCCCAGGAAACGTCGCGAACACGCGTTACGACGAACGCACCGTTTCTGGTGCGTCGTTGAAAGAGTGGGGAGAAGGGACGCGGACTTGGAAGTACGCTTCTTCGTAAGCGTAGATCCTCGCCCGTAGTCTCTCGACAGTCGGCAAGGAACGAGCACGACATTCGACCTCTCGAAAGGCCTCCATCGAGCGTCTCCTTCCTCTTCCGCCTCGAGTCTCCCGAAACCAGAAAAAGAAAGAGTACGTACGTACATCACTTAATGATACATATTCCCAACAATTAAACGCCGCTAATTAAATTCCCTCTAACTCTTCCCTCGGTCTAAACATCTCTGAAATCAGCACTAGTCGATCCGCCCTCGAAATCGATTCGATTGGAATTTTTTTTTCCCACCGAAGGGAGAGAAGACGCGGCGTGTCCTACCGCGATCCACCTGTTGCGCGTCCTTTGTAAAAATTCTCCCACGGGCCCGAATCGCTTAGCGAGGTTCTCGTCATTTTTCCCGGGGGTGAGAACGTCTCCGGAAGGGGAAAAAAATTACAAGGGAAGACGAGGTCGGATCGGTCGGCGGGGAAAAAATCGAAGACGCCGAAGGGCGTGGGCCGAAAGGCGAGGCTCTCTTATTACAAGTTTCGCTCGCTTCTTAGTGATATCACGGCCGGGAATTATTCTCGAATCTTCGTCTTTCCCACTCTTCTGGCTATCTTCCTTATTCTAGAATGTATTCGGAACGAAATCCCTGGTAATCGAGGCAAGGATTCGGACATTTCGGCGCCTTGGCGTCCCTTCGAGCGTCTCGGCGTCCTTTCTGCCAAGGGACGCTTCGACTTCTTCCTCCTCACTTTGCTCGCCTTTAAAAGAATTTATATAATACTGCCTTAGGAAACTAACTTTACAATTGCTCTGAATCATGCTTCGAAGTTGCTCTTAACACTAATTTTCATTCCCCTCCTTTTCCTTTTTTTTTCTTTTTTTTTAAAATGTTTCATCGGCTATTTTTCGTTCTTATTAACTTTTAATTCGCTCTCGCTTAACATCTGCCCTAGTTATCTATTAATTAATTCTTATTTGTATCTATTTCTGTCCCCTTTCCTCTATTATCCTTATACATACTATTGATTTTACGCACGTTCTAGTACCCTAGTCTCCTCCCAGTCATAGACATATTTCCCCTAGCTTATCCCTAGAACTTCCTTCGAATCAATTCTAATTCTGCCCCGTTTCCTGCGTCCTTATCATTTCCCTTTCCGACTCGTCCCGGATATCAGGAATAAACGTCTCTTCGAGTGTGAAGACCTTCGAAGAAATTCTTTCCACGCCATGAAATGGAGGCTCGCATCTTGCCAGGTTTATTTTCGTAACGCACAGCTTCCAGACTCGATTTCCAAACAGTCGGCTTCCTCTCCTTCTCCCTCTTCCTCCTTGAATTATCCATTTCCGAAAGCCGCATTATGCGCCTTGGGGCGGCTCGGAAATATCGCGGAGGCGCCTACGCGAAAATAGACGCGGCCTTTCCGTCTGTATTAAGGTGAAGTGAAAATCGTTCGATTCGAATAAAACATTTTTTTAAGGGGATTGGATCGAACCAAAAACATTCACACATGACTCGTGAGCACCTAGGAATTATCCTGACACTTTGAGAATTTCAGATGTTCCAACAAAATTTTTTAACTTTGCCCAGACCAGAACCAAAGTGGCGTCGAGCTCTCATATTTCGATTAATATCCGATTATTGAAGGCTCTAATATGAGAAACGAAAGGGTCAGGACAATTGTACGAGAATTTATAACACTCTGGTAATCGAGAAACTCGCATTTGAACGGGATAAAGGCGAGAAAAGTGTCTTATGCGCTGGTATGCTAATGCGATGGTAACACGAGGTCTCGGAGTGAAAATTTAGTTGACACGGAAATCACAGATGGCGCAGGGGGTCCCTCTGTAGTCAACTAGGGCCTCGGAAAGCACGAATCCAGGGGATTTCTGGAGTTTTACCTCGATCTCTTTATAATTATTGTATGAAAACAGGCGGTCTACGCCACTTAGTACAATACCCAACATAACTCGACCCAGCTGTCGATATTAAAATTATTTTCACAGAGAGCGGCTCCTTATCCGCGGAATAAAAATTTCCACTGCGACCGTGGGAGCTCGGTGATAAATTCTTATCACGGGTGGAGTTCCCTAAGTGACGGAAATAAATAGGAAATAAATAGAAAATAATTAGGAAATAAATCCGAGATAATCAGTTCGCTCTAGTTTTCCAACAATTGACGAACAGATAAAATTTCCCGAGTTATGTAGAAGTCGAAACCGAGAAGGGGAACCGACCGAGCGAGTGTCGCGCAATTCTTCCCTCTCTTGGTCGACTTTTACGTCGTTCTGCCCATTTCTGGGGCCCAGGGTCGTCGGATTCCGTCCCACTGACCCAGCTCCTCCGAGGTCGGTCGCACTTTTCCCACAAATCTACCTTTCTTCCCTAGGGAATCGCTCTCCCCGAAAATCCAGCCTCCCGTGGCCGAATGAAATAATCCTAGCTCGAACGGAAACGCCCTGCCGCGAGAGTCGTGAAATCATCGCGTTGAAAATAGAAAAACATCAGCATTCCTCTACGAGACGTTCCTCGAGATCGATGATCTCATATCGCATCATGTATCTCGGCTACAGTCATCGGTCGCTCTTGTCGCTTTTATGCGGAATCGATACAGGCTGGCTTTTAGACGCGATAAGGCGAACCGCGAGGTCAGCCTTATCGGCGCTCTTTATCACAATTCGGAACGGGATTTTCACCTGGGGAGGTGTCGTGTCAAACGGCGCTCATACCTTATGATAAAGCTACGCGATTTGTCCAAAACGTCGACTTAATCAATTTTCGTGTTTCTTTCAATTTAAAGATGACGACTTAACTTCAATGATAACGCTCTCTGTCAAGAATCGAAATTTTCACCTGGGGCGAATAATTCATAACGGATCCGAGGTTTTGACTCGATGGATTCTCAACAACTCGGTCGACTTTCAGATCTCTTACTCGCTAGCGAATCGTTAAAAGTGGCTACACCTCGAGACGAATTGACATTGGCGGGGCTGCGCACGTTTCAGTGATAAGAGCGAACGTATAATCGCGACAGAGGACACAATTCGCGTTTCACGCATTTTTTTTCCATCCCTGCAAGTTGACCATGAATGTAGGATAAAGAGAGAGGAAGAAACGGTACGAAGTTCACTCGAAACCTACTGCAACGAGTAATTAAAAACATTAACACGTGTTTAAGGCACTTTCGTAACCCCTTAAGAGAGACGGTGAGATTACAGCGCCGCCATCGGTAGTCTAGCGAACGATCGAGCATCAAACGTGCTATCGATCCTTGCTTCTATTGCGATTTCTGAATTCTCCGGCTAAAACTAATCTCTCTTTTGTTTCCAGATCGCCATGGCCACTATCACGAGGTTGACCATCGTCAAGTTCCTCGAGTTGGTGAGTATCTTCATCTCGAAATGCATAAAAGGAGGATTGAGCGCAATCACTCGGTAAAGTAGCCGTGAATGGAAAGAACGACGCACGTCGCGACGACGCGGGAAGAGAAAGATAACGAGATAAAAAGAGAGGAAACGAGAGGGTCAGCCTCGAGAATGGAGCGTGACATAATCGACGATTGCGACAATACTCGCGCGCCCATAGGCACGCTTTATTATTCGCATATACTCGCCACAGAAAACCGGAAGTGCCCGCCACGTACACTTCCGGCCTGACCATCGAAGAGAAACGAAAGGTGAAACGTAACGCGCTTGAAATTCGTAACCTCTCGATTCTCTTCATTGGACGCATTTCTTTAGATAGCTTTTATCATTTCGAGACGCAATCATGATACTACATCCCTATCCAGAGGTCTTAATCCCCGAATTCACGAGATATATCCTCCGTTCCAGCTGATAGTGTGCATCCTTATCGGACTGCACTACAACTCGTTCAATGCAGGCAGCAATCACACGGCGATGATCACCATGGGGACCTTCGGAGGATACCTTATCATCCTGGTGGGCCTCTTCGCCGGCAGCGTCATGGGAACCCCCGTAAACCGCCGAGTGGTAATATCTGAAATCAATGAATCCTTGATAAGAAAAAAAAACAAACAACAAAAGACACATAAAAAATTGCTCATTGGAAAATATCTTCGTTATCGAGTCGTGACGAGTTTTTCATAAAAAAAAAAAATAAGCGCCACCTCGTGATAAAAAATAGCTCATTTTAAATATCCTTGCAGGGCCTCTTTATCACTAAACAGCTGATTCGAAATATCCTTGCAGGACCTCTTCTTCAGCCTTATCGGCTGCGTGCTCTTCATCGTCGCGGGTGCCTTGAACATCGAGTTCTTCCAGAAGGTCAACTACAACTCGTCCTTCCGCGACACGGGCCTAGCCAAGGGGTCCATCAGCATCATCGAGGGGATCCTCTTCCTGGTGGACGCCTTCCTGACCTTCCGAGGGGACGCCTAAGCCCTGATAACAAAGGAATCCTGGGTATAGAGATAGGGACTGCTCGATTGATAACGCTCGATCGCGTCGCGATTACGGAGGTGCAAAGAGGGCGAAACCATGAAGAGAGGGAGATAAAAGAAAGAGAAAGAGAGAGAGAAAGAGAGACACACATTCCGGAGTACGAGGCGAGACGATAGGAGAATAGATCGATAAGACGAGGAGCCCGATAAGAACCCGAAGGAAGAACTGAAAAAAAAAATAGAACAAAAATAGAACCGAAGACCCTGGGTCGTCGATTTTCGCGACGATCTTAACAATTGTCCGAAAAGATAATTAGAAGGGAAAGAAAAAAAAGAAAAAGAAGCCGTCCAGAGGGTTGCATCCTCTTGGATGCATCTCATAGACTTATCGCATAATCGCCTTATCACCTAAACGCGAGAGAGGAGAGATAACGTTCCCGAAATACCCCGCGGGTGAGAACCGTCGCGGCAACAATTCGCGGATTCGTCCCGCGAGATTGGCCTGTCGCCTCGGTATAAATTCGCAAATTATTAAATCGCTCGTCTATTGAGAAGGAAGGGGAAGGGAGAGACAGAGAGGAGCTGTAAATCTCGGGAAAGTTCTCCTTCGCTTCTTATCGACTCCCTTAACGTCTCCCTTCGTCCTTTTCGAGGCAACTGGGAAGGGCCGGCCTTCGCCCACAAAACGAATAGTACAAACCGAGCGAGAGAAAGAGAGACTCGCTGTTAATTTATGTGCGAATCGCGGATTCTCTCTTCTACGTACCACATCGCGCGATATTTCACGCGTCGTACATATATAAATATATATTTTTTCTTTGTTTTATAACCGCGCGGACAGACTCGTAGCCAGGCAGTCCCTTAAAGTTAGGCTTAGTTAGTACCGCCGAGGAAAACCCAGTTTCAATTCTTCATCCGCGTCGTAATTCCCTTATTCGTTGATTCGCCTTAGAGGGAATGAAGAACAGAGAAAGGGACGTAGCCGATTTGCCAAGCATTCCCTTGCGTCCTTTTCTCAGTCGCGTCGCAGCGACTCAGGCGCAATGCAAGCTTCTTCTCACCGTTCACCTGTAAACGGGATTGATTAATCGATTTGCGCCGATTTCATGGTTTCGCGACGTCTCCTGATCGACGTTTTCTATTTTCCATCCGTCCCTCATTCCCCTGTCGCGCGTATTTTTATCGCACCCGGACTAAGATGCGTCCAAACCACGTTACATATACTATACGTTTTATATATATATTATATAATATACATATATAATATGTGTATGCATACTTTTAGTGCCGGTAACACGGCGTTACGTTCACTGTTTCTTTTACTCGTGTAAATAGATGTAAAACTGTGGAAAAAAAAAAAAGAAGAAGAAAGAACTTGGCTTCGTTCGGTCCCCAAAGTCCTTCGGTGAGGATGACAGCGGTCCTGATAAGAGGTATCGGTGGACATCCTTTATTGTTAAAAATGGGTCGAATGCGTCCTGCGACGCGCACTTTTGAGCCTCGACGTGGCTGGATTTTACAAAAGGTGTCGGAGAACCTTACAAAAGAACCGAAGGGCTCGTCACTTAAGTCACCGCAGAGAGACCGAAGGGTGGCAGCCCTTTATCGGGTTTAATTCGTTTCGGAATGAGTCGACTAATCGTCAGGAAATCTTCTTGCATGGATGACGAGGTGACAGGGAAAGCGAGACTAGGTGCAACGTGAGAGATACCGAGGCTTAAGCCTAAGCGATTGGTCCAGGAAAGTGACAGCTCGTGTCCTCGGGACCTTCCTGACAAGCACAGCGTAGAAAAACCAGGGAAACGTCACTCGCGAGGGGCAAACGCCTCCTGCGGTCTCTCTGCGATGCAGTCACTTTTAACACTCGATTACTTCCAAGTCACTATCGATATTACTTAAAGAGATCGCAGTTACATCCAGGCGCTTTTTCCCCGACATCTTAACAGAGCAGTGTAAGCCTGCGCAGTCACCGCAGATTATAATCGACGTGCACACTTATCACCATGGGTTATACTCGGCATCGTCCTGGTCGAACGTCATGAAGAATCCAACCAGCGTAAGGTAAACCACGACGTTACCTGCCAAAGTCAAATAACAGGCTCCCCACTGTATCTGCAATGTTTGAATTGTCTCGTTAAGTCTACAAATGTATAGCAGAGTGTGCAAAGACTGAACAAATAATATATTCACCACTGGATTGTTCACGGGTGAGCGGGCTAATACAATTGGTAAAGCAAACGAGGATATCACAAAACCCATTGTGAAGAAGATGGCCAATTCCAGGCAGGGATTACTGCCGTTGGCTGGGTCCTCGGTGTAACGTCTCGCCAGTATCGTGGGGATCGGGGCAAGTATGTAAAAGAGAACCACGAAGAATGGCCACCACACCCTACAACATGACACCGATTCAGAGGAACGTCCCACAGGCTTTGAACTCCTGCAATGTCGATACTAACTGGTACGCAGGCAGAGCGCAGCCCAGGATGACGAACGTCATGCCGATCGAGCCAGCAAAGGCCAACGTGACCAACCTAAAATCATTCTCCCATATAACTTTCTGAAAACCGACTTAACCTAGCTTACGATATGAATACTCACGCTGCAATTAGAATGCCAGAAACAGGTCGATCATGCAACAAAATCAAAGACCATTATAAGACGCTTAGAAACTATCGACGCTATTCCCTAGCCCTATTCTTAGTTAAGGATTAACTTTGAGATCTACCTGATAACCTTTCGATCCAGTACATAATTAAAAACCCGTCGACCCTCAAAAGCTGATAGTTTCTCAGGCAAGAAATACGACGAGAGGAAATGTAAATACGGACATTAGAATACACGCATAGCAAAAGTTATTCCAGTACTATAAAATGAATCGCGAGTGCGTCGTCGCAAGATGCGGATAGTGCATCATTAATAGACCCGACTACTCTGAAAAATTGATAGTTTGACAAGCAAGAGTCGAGACAACAGGAAAATAGAAACAATAGAATACACACGTAGTAAAGATTAATCCAGTAAAAAGTGAATCGCGAGAGTGTCATCGCAAGGTGCGGATTAAATTTCTGGTAGCAAAACCAAGAAAGACGATATTTCACGCTCGAGGTGGTCAGGAGGAAATCTAGGTTATGTTTGACGAGTCTTATCTTGAATGGGAACTCCTTTCCGGGATTATCCTTTATCAGAGAACCGGTGAATATTACCTTTGATGCCTGCCATTGCGAATCGATCTGCGAATTGTTGGTTACCTCCTGTTTCTCACTTCATCTGAGTGAGTAACTTAACGTCACGGACGACATGCAAATTGAAAACGCTGAATCTTTGACAGCCATTGACTGTCGGCTTCGTGCGAGGCAGAGAGAAGATGAGAGAAGCCACAAGCCCTACTTCCTAACTATTGCGCGGTGCTGCCCTCTGGGTAGCTGAAGCGTTGAAAGGCGCAACTACGTCGATAAACGTAGAGTCCATTCAGGTGTGGTAGAGCTGGGTAGAGTGGCAGCACAGGAGGCGATCGAGCGACCCTGCCCGTAAGCAATCTTCCAACTCATCTCTGTCGTTTATAGGACGAATTTGTGGTAATCCATTGGTTGGGATTACATTTTTAACGAGAGGATTTTCTGCTAGGACGAATCGGCGGATATACCCGCAAAGAGGTGGCGGATAATTTCTGAGGATCCGTCTCCTCTCCAAGTACTCTCTGAAACGGTCTAACGATAACTGGGACTAATGGAGGTTATGTAATGTTTAACTTGCTTGATATCTATTGGAACACGACGACGATAGATGCAACCTGTGTCGAGTTTTTAGTTGATTAACGCGCGTTTCTTTTTCATATCCTGAAAGAATGTCAACTTTCATGCTCTTCTAAAAGGATAGTAATGGCATTCGAGTAACTCGACGTTAGGTCCGATGCATTCGTCGACTCAGCCCAGTAGATTAGCATTGTGTTTGTATTCAATAGTAACATTTGAGGCTTATGATTTGTTTAGGAGTTAAGGGAACCATGGTATGAAAAGTATGCCAAACTTAGATACTTCAATGCCCCAGATGGCGAGGATTTACTCGGAAAGTTATGGGGTTCGGGGAGAATCGCCTTATTAACTGGAATTAATTTTGGACTACTCGATGCGTTAGTATTGTCTAGACCTTTCCGTGTACCGACTTTGAACAACCTCGCATATTCCACCATGCCTCTTCTTGGAATAGCTACTACCTTTACCTCTGTGACATATGCTGCAACGAACATCAGAGGAAAAGATGACGTTTACAATTACGTTCTTGGTGGTATGTCATGTTTATACCTTTCTATCATATTATACGTTGGTTTTTGGTATATTGTACTCGTTCAATGACACATTCATTTTTATTTTACAAATCTTAGCTGCAGCCACTGCGCCAGTTACACACCTGTGGCTGAAAAAGCCTTTTTGGACGTTCAATATTACGTTGTTCTTTATCTTTGCTGCGGTTACAAAGAAATTGGTTACCGAGGCTGGTGGCACATTCTTTCCTGATCAGGTGAAAAGAATGGAACTTTTGCGCTCGACGGATCTTACTCTAGTAAAGAAACATCCTCATGTATTGGATTAAATTACAATAATGAAAATACAGAGGCCAGTGCCGGTTGCACACTCCTGTCGGTCTTTCCATGGGTAATAATTGCTGTACCAAAATCAGGTAGTAATGTATATTATTAAATTAAAATGTTTTACTCTATTATTCACACGTGCTATATGTATCGGCAAAATTACAAATAAGTTAATGCGTTGGAGACATTATTTCGACTGTGTCTTTCCAAACACTTCCCATATTTATTTGCAACGATCCGTCAGCTGGTTTCCATCGCCATAAAAGTCGCCAAATATATTTTTTCAGATCCCAGATATGCAATATTTCCTCTGCAGTATTTAAGAAGTTAAGAAACCTCGAATTCGATATTCCTTTGATTCATTGCAGATGCGAATCGACTTTTTCCGAAACCAAGCCTATACCACGGTTATACCATGATTAAGGAGAGTCGAGGCGCCATCAATGCTTGCTTCCTATTGGTCGAGCCAATGCTCGCTTCCTATTGGTCGAGCCAATGCTCGCTTCCCATTGGTTGAGCCAATACTCGCTTCCCATTGGTTGAGCCAATGCTCGCTTCCCATTGGTCGAGCCAATGCCATTGGTCGAGCCAATGCTCGCTTCCCATTGGTTGAGCCAATGCTCGCTTCCCATTGGTCGAGCCAATGCTCGCTTCCCATTGGTCGAGCCAATGCTCGTGACCGCGAGCTATCGGGTGATGGCCGACGTGATCACGAGCTCTTGGTCGAACGACCTTGGTGACATTCCGCGGACATTTGCGACGTTCACCTCCTGGACAGGCGTACAGCTGAGAGTTCGAGAGGTTCGACCGATCGAAGTCGTTAATCGAGCCGTGTTCGCGACCGCAGCCGATGAAGCGTCGCGAGGGCTGAAAGGAAATCGACCGATCCGACCGCACGACCCAGGGGCACGCAGGTGAACGAGATGCCCTCCGCCGTGCAGATGTGCACGGGAGTGCTGCGGCGCGCCGGCGCCCTACGTCGGCGCCTGCTCCCCGCGGAGCCTCCCGGGCGCCACGTACAGGTTAGGTGAGAGTCGCAGCCCGGCGAGAGCTTGCGAGATGCATTACCCGGGGACAGAGGTTAGGTTCGCCCGTTTCCCCCTTTCAGGGCGGCGAGCTCGCGCATCGTACACACGGTGGCGCAGACCAACTGGGTGGCTAACCGGGACGAGAGCCGAGAGATGATGGCCGTGTGGCCTGACGTGGTGCGCGACCTGACGGACGCCGGTCGGCACCTCGACATCCCTGACGCCACCAAGTGGATGGCCAAGGTTCGACACCAACTAATAGCATTTTCAGCTGGCTATATTAAGTTGCGCTACTGGTGTATCAGGTTCGGCTTGACATCCTGTTGATAATGCGACTACTCTGCACTCAATTCGTTACACTTTTACCACTGTCACAGGGAACAAGTGAAACAAAAATGCAAGATGGCTATGTTTGACATAGTTAATGGAAACGGTCACATTGTTGGCATGAAATTTCAAGGCATTAATTTTTTTTTTAATTTTAGTAAATGTCATTATTTAACTTTCACATATTTGACCGGTGTCACAGAGTACCGAACTTCATTGATTGAGAAACGTACACATTATTGACACTGAAACCGTGTTGCTATGCACTCGCACTACACTTACGGAACACCGATGTAAGAAAGCGCAGCCTAGCTGAAAATCCCACGACACGACAGTCCTTGCATTCCATGATGTAAACTCAAACATTTCTCATTGGAGGTGCTACAGTACAACACGCCTGGAGGGAAGAAGCACCGGGGCTTGTCGTTGGTTTACGCTTACAGGAAGCTGGCCCCGGCAGAAGAGCTGACGGAGGAGAACGTCCGGCTGGCCAGGATCCTTGGATGGTGCACGGAATTGGTAACGTTCTCTTAACCCAGGCGATACATTCAGCGGGAGGGATGTCGTAGGCACTGTCTTTTGCACCGATTCTCACTGACGTTTGAGGGAATCGCGTGTTTGTACAGTACCAGGCATTCTTCCTGCTGGAGGATGATATCATGGATGGCTCGACGACCAGGCGCAACCAGCCCTGCTGGTACCTGCACAATGGCATTGGCCTGGCAGCTATCAACGACGGCCTCCTCCTCGAACAAGCTGTCTATCAGCTGCTGCGGATGCACTTCAAGGGAAAGCCGTGTTACCTGGACCTCCTGGAGACTTTCCATGATGTAAGTCTCCCTTATAAATCGAAAACCAGTGTTCGATGTGAAAACTCTTCCGCCCCTCAGATCACCTTGAAAACCACCATGGGTCAATCCCTGGACCTGCTATCCACAAACTTCGGGAAGAAGCCCAACCTGGACCTCTTCACCATGGACCGATATAATGCCATCGTCAAGTATAAGACTGCATACTATTCCTTCGTGATGCCTGTCATCCTGGCCATGTACTTTGTACGTGTTTATAAATTTGTCCGTCTAGAAATACACACGTATATGTATACATCTCTCATTCTACGTCTCTCCCAGGCTGGAGTCACTGACCCAGAGATGCACCGCCAAGCCAAGACGATCCTCCTGGAGATGGGCCACTTCTACCAGGTACAGGATGACTTCCTGGACTGCTATGGGGACCCTGAGATCACGGGGAAATTCGGCACCGATATTCGTGACGGGAAGTGCTCCTGGCTCATCGTAGTCGCCCTGCAGCGAGCCACTCCCTCCCAGAAGAGCATCCTCCAGGTGAGCTCCAGAACTGCTGGAGAACCTGGGGAACGAAATGGGGATAAATATCCATTTTGTTCGCTTCTCAGGAATGCTATGGATGCGACGATCCAGGAAAGATCGGAAGAGTTAAACAACTCTACAACGATCTGGGGCTGCCCACGACCTACACCATCTACGAGGAGGAGAGCTACAACCTGATGAACACCCATATTCAACAGATATCACGGGGCTTGCCACATGATCTCTTCTTCAAGTTCTTGGAGAGGATCTATCACAGGGATTCCTAGACAAGACCTACTCGAGGTGGAGGCATATTATTCCCACAGATGTCTTCGCGTTTTAAGGCGACATGAAAGTCGCATCCGAGAGGTCTCTCGTTTATGCAACTTTTCTCCAAACTGGAAATATTAAATCGTTTGAAATTTCACCACATGAATGTGGAAACCCTGAGGAAGGTCTCGATACCTGTGAAATGTCCATTTTTTCTTACATTTTTTTATAAACATTTTTCACTTTTATAGAAAATAATATCTCATAGTTGTCGAGACCTTCCTTAGGGTCTCCGTTTTTACATGGTGAAATTTCAAACGATTCTGTGTATATTATTAGGAAAAAAGTTTCATAAACGATCGACTACTTAGATGCCACTTTTGTGCCGCCCTTATTATTAATGATTAATTATTAACCAGAAGTTATAGACTCTGGTCGTGACTGCTCGCACATTTTTTTTAAATTCCCGCCGAGTTGGACGCGACCGAGGCATTCCTCGACTCGAACTTCATGTCGAATCAATGTTTAAATGCGCATTTTTGTGTATACGACCTTTTATACTTTATAATCTTTGTACCGTGTAATCGTTCTACTTGAATCTTACCGCTGGAACGTGGTAAAGGGTGTTTTTTAAATCTCTCCTCCGTGTATGAATAAATGAAGGAGACATTACCCATCGTTTGGATTTCCTTTTTCGACTCGTCTCTCTTTATCGTCCTCTCTTGGTTCTCCTTCGACCGGGAAGCTCTTTTCGCACGTTGTTGCGGATCTTCATTCGTACGATTTGTTTTAATTCTCGTCGCATGTTCTTGAAGTCCTCGGCTGGTGAACTAACCTCAAAGAACTCGTTAGCACCTGAAGAAAAGAAATGACTTTCGATGGATCATTATGAACGTAGAAAATATAGATATTTAATGTTGATCTATGAAGATCAATTTTCTTTTCGCTGCCTTTACAAGAATGTCAATGAACAGGATTTACCTCGGAAACGGGAATCGTCAGCAGTGAAGAAAAACTTATTTGTCGACTCTTCTTGGTCCCCCGAACTAAATGTGATACTCTTCAAGTTCGAGCCATCCTCTTCTTCCTGCTCTTCCTCTTCGTCGGATGAATCATATTTAAACACCTTTCCAGCAGCTTTATTAAACTGAAATGGCTCATCAGCTTTTGCCTTTTTATTCTTTGGGTCCTCTGCGAAGGAAAATGTAGCAAGCTTAATTTTTATAATTAAACTATTTGTAATGTTATCATTCAATTTCGTGAGTGTCATTAATTTAAAAAAAATTATTAGAGTTCTGTTACCTAGGAGAAGGATGATTGCAAAGTGATGAGCAGGTTTTGTGATAAACAAATAAATTAAACACTGCTTGATATCCCGAAGTAGTGGTAAAAAATTACCTTGTCGTTCTATGGTATCTGCTCTGCCTAATGTTTTCAACAAACTGAAACTCTCCTTTTCCTTCAGCGCGTCCTTCAGGGTATCAGTCACTTTGTAGAAGACTTCCTTCGAGACCTCTGGCTGAGGAGCACTCTCTTCTGGTTCAGTCACACTCAACTTCTTCTTCTTCTTCTTTTTTGTAGCACTCTGCTCCTTAGACTGTTCGGTTTTGACTTCGTACTCCTTATGATCTCCTTCTGTCGGGTCGTACCTTATCATCCTCTTTCTTGGGACTGTTTCGACTTTGTCAGGCCTTTTGACGGTTTTTCCAAGAACGTCGCTGAGGATATCCAATTGCCAGTTTTTCTCATCGGTTGGATCAGAGTTCGCATCGCCTGGCTGTTCGATATCCTCACCGTCATCCAAGAAACGATCGTCAAGTATGAATCGCTTGTCGTTCCCAACTTTCGACTGTAGTCTGGCCAACTGGAAATATGAAGACTTTAAAGTACAGGAAGAGCAAAGACAACTCATGGAATGGATGATTCTGGCTCACCTTCTGATTGGTGTTCTCCATCGATTCAAACTTCTCTTCGTTCCATGTCGTGTCATCATCGCCCTCGTCATCCTCAAACAGCTGTCTTCGATTTTTCGTCTCGCTCTGAATATTATTACACTTGTCTTCGTCATCCTCTGAGAAAATTATTTTATTACTCTTGCCAACGTCCTGAAAATTAAGCATTCAATTTATTCGCAATCTCGTTGATTGAAATTGAATTTTATTAAGTGCTACTCTACAAACCACTTTTTGTAGAGCTATCCGAATCAACTGTTCCTTAGTTCTGAATAATCTCTTTTTCTCTGTTAAGGATTTCAATCGTTTCTTCTCTGCCTCGCTAACGACTGACTCTTTGTTATATGCTTGTCGATGTACTTCATCATTTTGCTCAAGGAAATTGTTTGGACCATTCTTTGTGAATGTCGGAGTATTGCGTCTCTCCTTAATATTGTTTGCTTCATACTTCTCTTTCTTACGTTTCGTTCTCCCATTGATATCGTGTCTCCCCTCAATTCCGTTCGCTTCAAATACCTTCTCTTTCATTTGTTTTGTTTTCCCGTTGATGTCTTCGTGGGATGAAGTATTGAAATGGGATCTTTTATTTCGCTTCTGCTTAGATGTTTCGCTACCATCACCACTACTTACATGTAAGACAGCATTTGATTTAACATCAAAGGATCCTTTCTTAGACTCGTCACATTGAAAAATGACACTATTAGATTGTTTTGCAAAGACCGGTACATTGCTTTCGGTCAATCGAGTACGAGAAGCCTCATAGTGGGCCGTTTTTAGGTCCTTATCTTTAGTTCTTTCCGCAGCAGCCTCGGCCCTTTCTCTTTTTAAACGCTCATGGAAATTTTCCTTTGCCACCTCGACGAACAAATTTTGATCTCTTAAGATGGTTGCATTAATGTGCCTGAAACCTGATGGAATTTAACGATTAACCACAGCACAATGTAAACCCACAAAGTACATTCCAACTTACATGAATTCAACTTTTTGTGTTCAGTAACAATGTTAATGAACGCAAACTTGATCTTGTTGTCCTGGAAATCCATCTTCTCCTTAATATCAACGCCTTTTACAGTCCCATATTTTTCAAACAATTGTCGAATCTCCTTCTCTGATGCATCGACTGGTAAGTTCTTCAAAATCAGACGAAAGTCGCTCCCGGTCATCTTGCGACGAGAAAATACTTCTCCCTAGCACGAAGCTAATTCAAATAAAAATCTTCGTTTCAGCAAGAAACCCAGAGAAAACTGCAATACTTCCCCCGGTGTGCATGGAACGCCTGCAGGACACGTGAGCGATGCAAAATTAGGTTATGTGATCCGATCCTCCGATATCTCTAACACAACCAATCCTGTATTCTTCAATCTTTCAGTATTCTCTGAACCTTTAATTAATTTTGCAACTCTTCTTATCCTTTTCTCTAATATTTTATCTCTCTCTACATATAATAATTTTAGTCGTTAGTTGTGGTTATAGTTCTCTATATGACCGACAATGGCGCCCAGTCGAGGTTAAGTCTCGATACAGTAACCAGTGTTTTTACCGACAACCCACGTCCCTGATTTAGTCCGATTTCGGTAAAAGTATCGAGAAAAGGAAGAAGAACCTCAACGAAAATCAGTTTCAAACCAACGAAGCCCTCAACGATGTCAAAAAGTACATTCAATAGTCGGTAAACTCTCAAACGGTAACACTTTCAAGTCACCACGGTAACAGCTCTCGGTTGGCACTATACCCGCCGCTCTTTCCACCTTACTTTATTACTTTTCTTTGCTTCTGGCTCCTATCACTCATTTTTACATCATTTCTCGACGACGAGGGACCGAGTTTCCTTCAAGAGGTCTTTTGAACAAAGCTCAACGAGTTTCGTTAAGTTTTACTCCTCCTAAGCTATGATCGAGAGGTTAGGTTATCGGGCGATCGCGCGTAACCTCCCTCTCCCGCGATGTTACGTACGGCTTGAGAGTGTATATGCAGTTTTTGAGCATAATTACAGGGAATTTTGAGCTTGTCGACGAAAAAGGGGCCACGAAGCTCTTGAATGTACATTACTGGCCTTATTCCTAATAGCTCCAGTGGCGCAATTGGTTAGCGCACGGTACTTATAAGACAGTGTTCGTGAGCAATGCCGGGGTTGTGAGTTCGAGCCTCACCTGGAGCATTTTTTGAACTTTTTTTTTTCTTTTCCACCCAACATTTCGAGTGCCCCAAAAACACGAAAATGCTTCCACAAAGTTACGTCGAAGGAATCACGATAAATCATGTACATTCGCGAGTAATTCCACGTCACCATTACACTAAAACTAAAAATAATTATTCTAACGAATTCACAAGTCTCACCCCCAATTTATGATACTCTTTGTTGTACCAAGCTGGTGCGAAATAATATCGACAAATTGTAAAATGCAAACCTCGTTTAATGAATTCAGACCGCGACACATTTCTATACTGCGATTTCATTCTTTAGTTTAAAGAAATAAAAGAAAAGAGTGAATTAACGAACCAACTCGCTTATTGAATTTCTTATACTTATCTCGGAGAATGAGTAGGTTCGACTGAATTTCATTTGAATTACTTTTCATTTGAATTACTCTTCGTTTTTTATTTTCAGTGGTCTCATACGTATCTGAGGAAGGCTTTCACACCACCAACAGGAGTAGGTGATCTAATTATCGCGCATGCTGCTCACGGCTCCATAAATAAGAGCATTCGCCTATAAATACAGGTGGGTGCATAACGATGCCACATTGTCACGCTGTCGCCCATTCGAACGCGGCCTAATTAACAGCCAATCGATACCTGTTCGACCACCTACACGAGGAAAAAACCTCCTCTCGTCTCCTCGTTTGCCAGCTAATCGTACTCCCGCGAACGATCATTCCGCCTCGAATAAAAAAAACCAAGAAACCCGAAAAAAATGAAGAAAAAAGAACGAGACGTTCCGCGCCGGATTTTCATTTTCGCAAAATTAAGACAAGTACTCTCGTCATTCCAAAATTATAACAAGGAGCCTGTTATTAAAACCGCGTATAAAGTTCATGCCATATAAATGTACAAAGTTTCCCGAATTAATCTCATTGATTAGTTATTTTTAACGACTGACCCGTCGAATGTCCTTCCTAATGGAACGGGTTAAAGAGGAGAAAATTCACATGTAATTATAGTGAAATCAATGCACCAGGTTACTTTAATTAATTACAGGCATTGCCAGCGTAGAATGACCGTCTCGATCGAAGCTCTCCGCCCCTTGGAGACTCGTTTCCTCGTTTATTTGACGTTTCTGCATGTTTAATGCCCTTCGCGGGGGTTCGTTTACGCGGCGAGGGAGAAAGAGGGAGAGGAGGAGGAGGAGGAGGGGGGAGAACAGCTGATTCTTCTCCCTTTAAACGCGAGTGCGCATCTGGGTCAGTGAGTACTTTAGAAGATGAAAGATGTTTTTCCCGTAGCCAAGGGCCGCGCTTTTACCGGCTCTCGAAAAAGGGGGGGAAGAAAGAGGGGAAAAAAGAAAAACGCCGGGAATTAAAGGAAAGAATCGAGCGTGGCCCGACGAGCTTTTCTATTTTCCCCTCTTAGCCGCAGCCGCCGATTTTCCCTCTCGTTCCTTGCTGCCTCTTTTCCCCTCCTCTCCATCTTTTACCTCTTTTACCTCTTCCTTTGCCTTTGCGAAGACTTTCCCCGGTTCACTTGAGACGTCGGTCCTTCCTCTCGTCATTTATCTCGTTGTTTCTTCTATTTCCCTTTCTTTAATCAGCGACTTCGACCGCGCTCACGTTTCGGAATCTTTTATTTTATATTTTATATTTCATCTCGCCGTTGCTCTCATTTTTCTTCCTCCCCTTGTCATTTCTCCGCTCTTCATTCATCTCGGCGTTTCTCTAGTTTCTTTGGTCGTTCCTCCAAATAATTCTTCTCCCTCTAGGCCAGTTTATTTTTTAATCACCTTTGCGCGTCTCCTCCTCGAAGTGTAAATTAACAAACTGCGTCCGAAAATGTGTCTCCAAGCGAATTTCCACGCCGCTAAATGAAAAGAAAAAAGAAAAAGAGGGTGCAATTGATTCCCAAAACGTGTTAATTAACTCACGAGAGTCTCTAACGAGCACGGACAATTTTATCTCTTTAAATTGTCTCACCTATTTGTATCCCTTGAATTTCCATCCCTCTTCTTCTGTACCCCTTAAACTGCCTTGCCTCTCCTGTTCCTCTCAAATTCCCTTACCTCTCCAACTTTCCTCTTCCTCTCGACTGAGAGGGACCCCCTGCGAAGCTTCCTGGCTCTAACGAACGAACAATGGGACTCGGTTAGAATTTATTATTTAATAAACAGGAGGTAGGGGGAGATAAATGCGAGACGAGACAGCGGGTCTTACGTATTCATTTTATTCCGTTTATTCTCGAGCCTTTTTTACCTTTTTTCCTTTTCTACAAGACGCTTCGCTCTCCCTCGGCTTCCACCTGCGCGCATGCGCGATACTCTTTCCTCCTTTTCTTCCTCTCCTTTTCTAGAATTCTAAGGTAGGATCGGCGAGGTCGCGAGACGAGGATTCCCCTTCCTGCTATCTCCTTCTTTTATCACGAATTCCCTACTCCTTTCCATGCTTATCCAGATCTTATCCTTCTTTCTCGGAAAAGAGACGAACGAATTCCCGCTCGTCACTTCCGGAAGGAAGTTTACACGATTTCTACGTGGACGTAGGATAAATGGATCGGACTCGATCATTTTCTTTCATTTCTGTTCATATAAAATAATAATAAAAAAAGAAGCGTATCTGTTCATATAAAGTAAAACCAAAGAAGCAAGAAAATAGCTCCTTTATTGTTCCTTTTTCCGTTCTGTCCTCATAGACGCGAAATTTAATAGTCAAAACAAAAGAAAAGAAACGACCACTCTGTTCTTTTTCTACCTTGGTAAATACCTTCGCAATGAGGGAAAAAGTGTAAATAAAAATAAGGAAAGAAAAAAAGAAAGGGTCATTCTCCCTCCTTCAATTCTGCTTCGTTTATGATTCATCTCAAATCCAGCCATCCTACGTCCCTGAAAATAAAAATATCGGAATGATAAGAGACATCCTATCTGGGATATTTGATAGGTGGATTTTCAAAAGAGAAAAGAAAAATCCTCCAAGAGGACCCAATGACGATTACGTGCTAAACTTTCTGTAGGAGATTGCACGGGATTGGATACGTACATGTTAATATCGTTATCGTGTATACATATATGAACGCATGAGTGTGAGTGTATGTGTATATATCTATATATATAGAAAATTATACAAAGTTCGAAACCTAACCTCGAATGGCTCTCCCTAGCTTATTGTGTGTAATTTCCTCTAGACTGGTGCTTTTTCTCCCGGCTTTGGTCGTGAATTTCCCTCCTCGTAGATCTCACTCGCGAGATCCATTTTTCCTCGACTAAGGACCTCTAACCTTAAAATCGAAGATCGCCCTATAATTCCGACTAAGTCGACCGACCCCACTGGCGAGGATTTCTCTACTTCTCTTTCCTTCTTCCCCTCTACCTCGTTCTCTTTCTCTCAGGTACGCGAAAAGCGTATTACTTAGGAAAATGAATTCCGAAATTAATTAAGGTCGGCCAAGATGGCGTCGCTTCGGAGGGTCGCGAAGACGAAGGATTGGACTTCTTTTAAACTGAATTTTCTTCTTTACTCTTTGAATGTTCCCATTGTTTTCATTCCCGAAGTGGAGTTTATCTTTTTAACCGGGTCGATGATAACGAAACTAGCGAAACGTGTATTAATTTCACTCATAAACAGCTCGATGAAGAATTAATCAAGGCCTTTCAAGATGGCGTCCTCCCATCGAAGGATCTTATAAATGAACGGTCGAACTCCGTTCAAAATGGCAGTGTCTCTTCTTAGGCCCCCCAATCTCTGTTCCGGAAATTTTCTTACCGGACAGAAAGGAAAATGGGAAAAATCCTCGCCATTGGTTTCGTCAGTTTCGAGAAGCGTTAATTCGTTACTTGCCTATTCGTCGTAAAGGAGTCCATTGAGACAATCCCCGTTAATCCGACATTGTACCGCCGTTAATGCATCCTAACGACTTAATTATGCGTATCGCCGTGTTTCCACCCTCGTGCCTGTATCTCTATTTATATAATATTTGTATTTTTATTTATATCTACGACCGTGTATGGAAAAGTCCCCCCACGGTGCAGACTTTCCCACGAATCAGAACTCGCGGGGCGATTTAATTAATAAGTGTCTTTTTTCCTTTTTCCTTTTTCTTTCGTTTACCATAGTTTAAACCAACGTTATTCATATCATAACCTGAAATGAGAGCGCATTAATAAAACATCATTCTGGCGGAGATTAAATGAATATTAAATATTCCCTCCGTTACCAGGAATAGAAAACAATATAAATTGGACTAATTTCAACGGTTGTTAAATATTTTCCGTAAGATTAGGTCGCTAAAGCGAGGTAACAATTAGGATCGATTTAATAAATCAACTTATTAAATCGGTACAATAAATAAATCTCTCTACCTCGATCCGACTTAACAAACGTGGGAATTTCCTTTCCTCGTCGTATCGGGCTTTCCTTTCTCCCTTTCTTTTTTATTTTATACATATTAAATCGCCACCCGGTTTACGACGGGCGGAAACGATTCCGATGCACTTTGCCCAGGAAATGGTTTTCCACCGGGAACACAGGGTCCAAACTCCTGGACGACCTAAACTCCCCCGTTTCCCCGTGTTCCCAGCGAGTACTTTTCACGAGGAAAGGGGACGGGCGCGTTAATTAATCCGCCGAGCCGAACGGGGGAGAAAAAGGAAAACGAGGGGGAGAGGAGAGAGAGAAAAAAGAAGAAGAGGAAGAAAAAGAGAGAACGAAAAAGGCTCGCTCCCCGTTTCGGCGAGGTTGAACACTTTTCACTGGGGAAACTCGACCCCCGTCGAGAGCGTCCATCCCGGGTTGAGGAAATCGAGGCGACTCCTCGGCATCTTCCTCGGTGCACGTCCAGGATAATAAATGCCCAACCTGGAGGACCCTCGGAAGGGCGGCACCAGATGACTCCAGGTGGAGGAAGTTCATGGAGTTCCTCGGCATCTTCATCGGCAGATATCCCAGGTGCATGTACGTGCACTTTGAAGAGGATCCGCAGGAGATTAGCCAGACATCCAGGTTGAGGAAATCGATCGCAGTCCTCAGGTTCTTCCTCAGCACACGTTCCGGGTACACGGGTGCACACCTCGGGGCCAGGTACACGGGCGTGGAGTCGAGTGGACGGCGAGGCACGCGGAGCATCCGCGTCTCCAGACTTTCGCGACCCTAGACCGTCGTCTCCCGGTCGACGTGGATGTACTCCACGAAACCGGGGGTCTGCTGTCAGGAAGCCGCGTCGAGGAGGGTCTCCTCGGTGGGGGCTCGCCTGGGCCGCTTGCAGGGCTTTCCGTCATAATGGAGCCGCTTCGTCCGGGTCTTGGACCTGGAGAAAGAAACAACAAAAGAAAAAAGACAAGAAGAAAAGAGTACCGAAGAATTATCTGCACATAACTGATAAAATAATAAATAAAAAAATATATATACTGGTACAATAATGAAAGGTAAATGAAACAGCATATTGGAGCACTCCCTCGGAGGCGGGAAATCACCTTCCGACGAGGATGGCGATGAGGCAGGCGAAGACGGTGGCGATGCCGGTTACACCGACGACCATGAACCACATGGCAGGAGGCAGGAGTCCCAGAAGACGAGCGCCGTTCCCACAATGCGCCTCGTCGTGCCCAGAAGGACAGTGCACCCTGCCATCGCACCAGAGGCTGGGGGATATACAAGCCCCGAGTTCTGGACATTTATGGGCGCAGTCCTCGTGGGTAAGGGACTCGTTGCCCTCGATCTCGGGGCCCCTCTCCGGGAGTCGCAGGTGCCTCCTCAGGGCGGACCGAGTCTTCGAGATCTCGAGCCAGGAGGCCGCAGCTTGGCCGGACTCGCGGGCGACGAAGTCGAGGATGAGGGCCGGGGGTCGTGGGGGCCCAGGGTGGCGGCCCTCCGAGGTCGGGCCGAGCCACTCCTCGGAGAAGACGTGGACCGTGAAGTCGCGGGACCCCGGCTCGGCTGGACAGACCACCTGAGGAAGGGAGAGGAGATGCGAGGTGTTATTCGGTGCCACGAGGTGTGAGGAGCGACGAGGAAGAGTTAAAAGTCACCAGGAACTATTAAGAGGCATCAAGAGCCACCAAGGATCATTGGGAGGCATCACAGGTGCAGGGAGAGACCCTGGCCTACCTTGAGCAGCCGGGGCGGCCAGCCCGAGTAGAGGAGCACGCGGTTGGTCGTGGGACACCTGGGGACACCCTCGGTGCCCTCGGGGGTGGGCAGAGGCTCCAGGGGTAGGAACCATCCCCAGGTGAGCACGAAGAGGGACCTGTTCTCCCGGGCCTCCACCAACCAAGGAAGACCCTCGCAGTAGATATCCGGCCTGGAGAGAGGCGGCGCCACGAAGCGCAGTTCCCCACCTGCGGATATATAGAGCGAGTATTTAAATGACTAAAATACGTATTTTATCCGTATTTAAATCGCTAACTCGGTCTTAATCCTTCAAAAGGTGCACCTGGTGCGCCCATTACGCAAAAGTGAAGACTCGAGAGTATAAGACCAAAGTCAAGACCACGACCGCGATAGGTCATGATCTCGAGCTCGCACTTTCCCATCCCCGAGAGCAAGCACTACCTTCTCCCCGGATCCGCTGCTTCCTGGGACACTCGGGTGCGCGGACGAGCTCGAAACTCGCATAGAAGAAGAGAGTCTCGAAATCCTCGTGGGGGGCCTGCTGGTCGACGAGGAAGACCACCTCCAGGGCGCGTCCAGTGGACACGTGGGTCAAGGGGAGGTGCGAGGTGTTGTCGCAGAGGCAGGCGCGAGAAAGTCGAACGTCCCTCCAGGGTGCCTCGAAGAGGGTCAGCCGGGCCTCCCTGGAGCCGGCCTCGGGGAGACACCTGGGTCTTCCCGTGTGCGGATCGGGCTCGTTGGCGCAGGTCGTCGACTCGCCCAGGCTGACGTTGTGCAGGGTCAACCTGACCCTTTCCCCGCTACTGGCCTCGATTCTGTACCGGCACTCTATCCTCGAGGCCCCACCTCTGCCGAAGAGTCGCACGTCCCTGGGGGAGGTCACCTCGCCGCTTCGCACTTTCCTCCAGATCCTCGAGCACAGTCCGTCACCCCAGGGCTCGCCGCCCTGCTGCGTGGAGATGAACTCGTAGTGCGCCTGCAAAACGTCCTTTATTAAGGCGAGGTGAAGGTACCGTCGAAGAGGTCTCGTTTGAGACTTATCCCCGAACCGGGTGCACCGAATCGTATTAACCTCACAAAATGAGAACGTAGAGGCTACGAGGAAGATCTTGCAAACAAATTGGCGCACCCGATTCGGAGAATACCTCCACGAGCAATTGACCCTTCGGACGCCACTTTCACATCCCCTTAAGGTCGGACTCGCCTGGAAGTTGACGGTGTGGAGGGCGGTACCGTCGGGTCCGGTCTCCAGGTGCAGGGTCATGCCGGAAGCCCCGGAGACGTAGCTCTCCGCCTTGGCGCAGGGCCTGGTGGCCCTGGTGGCGTTCCTTAAGGCCGCATGGGCGCAGAGCCTGGGGGTCTCGTCGCAGAGGCTGGCGATGGGGAGTCCGGACACGTAGCTGCCGTCCCAGATGGTCATCCTGACCGCGCAGGACCCGTCCGGGGCCCAGACGGTCGCGTTGTTTTCCGGCGCCCCCGTCAGGTCGCGCTGGAAGTACGACGAGAAGTAGACCCAGACCCGGTCGCCGGGTGCCCCGCGGATGTTCCAGGTGCAGTTGGTGTTCGGCGGTAAAGCGTGGAGTGGCGCTCTCAGGACGCCGCTCCTCTTGGCGGTGCCGTTCACGAAGAAGTGGCACCCCTGGAAAGAAAAAGAAAAGATAGGGACAAGTCGATATCGTGAAAGACTTCTAACCCTTTCAGTGGACCCATAAGTGTGTTCGACGTTTGGTCCAATATTGCATGTACGCACCGATGAAATTCGCCCATACGCCAAAATATAAATAAACGAAGGATCCCACTTTCGCCTTCCTCTTAAGATAAATGTCCTTTCAATATAAAAAAATAAATAAAATAAATAAAATAAGAAAAGGCTTGAATTTTCAGGACTCGTCGACTCATCCTCACCTGAGAGCCCCTGGCGTAGTCAAGGCCATCGGAGTCTACGTAGACGACCCGAGTCTCGAGCTCGACCCTCAGGGTGGAGGCGCCGAGAGGCATAGCTAGGGGCGAGCTGCGGAACTCGACCAGCATGCTAGGCCCCCGGGAGGTGACTCTAGGCAGCGGTCCGCCGCAGTAGACCAGGAGGACCGGGTCGTCGGTCCTGGCGCCGTCCCTGAAGATGAGGCGGTCCTTGTCGGGGCCGCAGTCCTGCCACACGGCCAGGGAGCCGTTTCTCCCGGGCCCGACGATTCCGGACGGGCTCAGCCGGACCGACATCATCGCGTGCTTGCACGTAGGCACCTCCTTCTGGCGCAGGGTGATCAGGCAGGTGGCATTCCGGGGATACTCGCCGGGGTAGTTCGGACTCTGCACCCTGCATGCTCTCTGGTGGCACTCGTAGAAGTTCCTGGAGCAGTAAGTCCCGGGCACCGGGGATCCTCTCTCGAGGGGCACCTCAGGACGACCAAGACGGGCCACCGCCTCGCCCCTCGACACGAATCGGTACCTGGGGACATTGTTGTATAATAAGTAACCGTAACAATTATTCGTCTTAAACAATACAACGTGAATACCGAGGCTACCAGGAAAGTCCTGACACTCGTGAAATTTCACTTTTGTTTCTATATCACCAATTTTGAAAATACCTATAAACAAATTTTCTTTTTTAAATTGAAATTTCATGATTTCATTTTCATTTCCGAGGTGACGCGGTGACGCGTTCGGCGCCCGGAGCCCCAGGAGGGCGTCGGGGCGCACCTGAGGCTGAACTCGAAGGGCACCGTAGGCGGCGCCTGGAAGAGCCTGATGGAGGCAGTGATGGTGCTGGTCTCGCTGTAGTAAGAAGCCGAGTCCTTGAAGCCGCCGCACCAGGAGCCGCCGGTGAAGGGCCGATTGAGCTCGGCGAGCTCTAAGGAACCCTCGGGGCACCCGGGGACGAAGGCCGAGGGGTCGGGCTCCAGCCTGCCGACACTGAAGGCCTCCCACAGGAGCTGCACCAGCTCGCCGTAGCCCTGGCCGCCGGCGGTGAAGGTCAGGTGGCAGAGGAAGGGCAGCTGCGAGCTCGAGGGCCTGGAGATGTTCAGTCGGTAGGTGTGACCCTCCCGACCGTGGTAGGTACGGTTGCAGGGCGTGCAGAGGCTGGGCTCGTCGCTTCCGTCGCCGCAGTCGTCCTGGCCGTTGCAGTAGGCGTCGCCGGCCACGCAGTGCCCGTCCAGGCAGGAGAGCTCCGCCAGGCCGCAGCTGCCGGCCGACGCGAGGACCAAGCCCGGCAGCATCACCACCAGCAGCCGCAGGCTCAGCCCCGCATCAGCTATCTCCTGGAACGAAGGTTAACCCTTTATCTCAATACCTGATAGCCTTATCGCAACAACTCAACATGGTAAAATAGGATTTTCTGCTACATTTTCAGGGAGATTCAAGTGGTTTTCCTGGGAATTTAACGACAGCAGCCCCGCATCAGCTATCTCCTGGAACGAAGGTTAACCCTTTATCTCAATACCTGATAGCCTTATCGCAACAACTCAACATGGTAAAATAGGATTTTCTGCTACATTTTCAGGGAGATTCAAATGGTTTTCAAGGGAATTTAACAACAGCCCTGCATAAACTCTCTTCTGGAATGAAGCTTAACCCTTTATCTCAATACCTGATAGCCTTATCGCAATAACCCAACATGGTAAAGGAGGACTTTTTGCTACATTTTCAGGTGATGTGAAAGTGGCGACACAGAGGTCTCGTTTGTGAAACTTTCGACTGAATCGAGAGTACCAGATCGTCTCAAACATTATAACGTGCATGTGGAGGCTATCAGGAAAGTCCTGACACCCATGAAATTTCAATTTTTTTTTTGTTGCAGTATTTAATAGGTATTCTTCAAATTTTTTTTTTTAATGAAACTACGGGTATCAGGACCTTCCTTGCAGCCTCCATATCCACGATGTAAAGTTCGAAACGATTCGGTACGCTCGGTACGGAGAAAAGTATTACATTTTGACGTTTTATGTACATATAATGACCCTCTCGCATCACCTTAAGGGCCAATCTAAAAAAAAAAAGGAAAGGACTCGATATGAAATCTTGCACATCTTAAGCTTCCAGCTTAATTAACGCCGGTATATAGGGACCCGGAATTACATCTCCCCTCCCGTCGGTTCCACCAAGCTCCTATAGGTACTCGGCAAATATATCCTCCGTACTCGGGCGGGCGAATATAATCAAGAGGTCGAAGGCTAATTACCATAATCCCCGCTCGGTCGGTCTTGCATCACAGGAGACAATACGCCGTCACGGGGGACGGGGGGCTAGCATCCCCAGGGCGAGGTAATCGGACTGCCGAATCACGGGCGGGCGTGACTGCAGACTCGGCTGCAGCACCGCCCCCCCGGCGCCATGGGCGAGAGGTGAGAGAAGAAAACGGGACGACCGATTCACCCCCTCCCAGCCCCTCCAGGGCGACCCTCGAGATCGAGGATGCCGAGTTTCGAGGAACCCCCCTCCACCCGGGTCGAGGACTCTCCGGGTGCTCCTTGCTTCCCTCTTCCTCCCTCTTCTTCCGTATCTCTCTCGTTCCACCGGGTCGACCACGTGTCACGGTTGATCGACCCGGCCTCACCCCCGGCCGTTACCCTCGACTCCTGGAGGAGTTCCTTGCCTGGCCAGCCGGTATCTCGAGGGTCCTTGAAGACCTCCACGGGGTCCAGGAACTCGTTTAATGACTCTCGGCGTGCTTTCTCGCCTTTGGTCAGTGTTAAGGATACCTGGAGGAGTCTTGGTTATTCTTCACTCCTGGAGGAATCTCTCGGCTCGTCCAACCGCTGCCTGAAGAGTCCTTGATAACGTTCCCTGATGTTATAATTTGGTGATTACAGGTGCTTTTCCGCGTGTGGTCGCATTTGAGGTTCCTTAGAGGGGTTTGGCTGGACGGGATGTGTCCTTCTATAAAGGGTTAACCTAGATTGGATAGGACATTTTCTAGTCTTCCATGACTTCCAAGACGTCCACGAAAATTTGCTACGATGATCACAGATGTTTCCTCGTCCTCAGCTCGTGTCCTTCCAGCTTCCCGGACATGCAGACAGGAGATGTCTCTTGTAACAAAAGACCTTGATAACTATAGAGTCCTTGCACGTCCGTCAGCTATCCAGGAAGTCCTCGATGACCTCCCCGAATTTTCGCTCCGATGACTAGAGGTGATTCCTGGTCTCCGACCTTCCTCGAGGCAGCTTCCTGGGAGACGTTTCGACGACTCCTGGACATCCTCCTCGGCGAGAGGTCCTGGCTCCTTTCATCCTCTTCCCGCCTGTAGAGAGTAACTTGCGAATCCCCTTTCTTTATCCTCTTCAGATACCGTTTTCGATTTCCAGGACCTTCGACCACCAGGAGGCCTCTCTTCCAGGGACTCCCAGGACGAACTGCACAATCGACTCCTTCGGGGATAATTCTTTCTCCTTTCTTCCCTCTTCCTCCAGGTACGACCTACCACATCAACCCTTTAAAACGGGCGCTCCAATTTCTTACATTTAAATTTCTTTTGTTAACGAAAGTCCACAAGTTCCCGAGTCTCCTGAGAGCATTTTACTCACTCCCGGAAGGACCTGCACCCGGATGTACCCTCTTATTGCGAGTTCCTGGGAGTATCCAGGTCTTCCTTCCAGAGCAACCGCTTAAGAAGGCCCTCGGGGGTGGCGGGTCCGGGGCACCGTGCACCTGACGTCCCCTGACGTCACCTGCGGGCACACCTCGTGGCGCACTCCTTCTCCGACACCTCTCGGGGGCGCGTTCTGCGTGCAACTGCGCTCGTCGCGAGCGCCATACACTCGCCCGCTCCCTCCAGGGAGTTCGGCGGCGTTCGGGAGTACTCGGATGTTTTCGGCGGCCGGTCAGCTCCGGGGGTGTCAACGGGGTTGAAAGGAGCCTCGCCGGAGCGGCGGAAAGAGCCGAACGCGGCCGAGCGGCTCCCGAAGCCACCCCGCATCGATCGCCCCGTCTCCCCCTTCCACGCGACGCGCTTGGAGCCGAGCGCATCCGAAGATCGCCGAAGACTGCCGAGCGCGGTCGGGGCCACGCGGCGTGCACCTAACCCTACTTTTTCATAGCGAGCTCCGTTCGACGATCCTGCCGGGCGACTGTCCCTCTCTCTCTCCCTCCCTCGGCTTTTTATCCCCTATCTCGCGCGATCGACCCGACTCCCGCGAGAGCGGAGCCGGTCCGAGGCGGTCCCATCCCTCAATTAGGCAAATTAGACCGATGGGAGCCCCCTTTCGAGCCCGGGGTAGTTTCGCCCACTTGAGCCCTCGAGGGGGCGGCTCTCCGCTTCCCGATCCAACCACGCTCGTGACTCCGCAAGAATGTCGTTCCTCCTGCATGCTCCGTGGTCCCTTCGGGTACTCCTGCGCCTATCGCTCCGAAAGGACGTGCTCCAGATTTCACGTATTCCGTTTCCTTCCTTTCTGATCTTGCAAGCGTAGCGGGTAAAAACCCGTTCATCCCTCACTAATCCTTCAACAACTAGACGTGTATAAAATAGCAACACACAATAAATTGCAAAAATTCATACAATCTATGTGTTTAAGGCGTCCAAAAGTCAGTTTAATCCATGCTTATCGGTTTGCGCATATTTATCGGAACGATTAATCGTTACGTAGTGGTGTATAAACCTCGAGGGGAATTTGCGCCTAAGAAGCGCGCATTCTGCAAGAAACTTGCGGTCGACACTTGACCACCGAGGAGGCCGTCGTCCCGTGCATTAGGGAGACCCGCAAGTGAGGTTAGAAGGGTGAGAGAGAGAAAAAAAAATGAGGGAAAGCGGGAAAGAAAGGAGTAGAGTAGAGAGGAGAGAAAGTCCCTTTGAAATCCCGGCGAAAGAGTGCGGGGAGCGCCGAGGGGAACGAGGAAATGGCCCTCTTTCGAGGCGGCCGGAAGAGTGCCATTGACTCGACGAGTCGATAAAAACTGATATTGACGCGCTCGGGTAGTAGGGAAGGGGAACGATCCCTCGTAGAAAGGATTTCGGATTTCCGGAAGAAATTCCGGCGAGAAAGGACGGAGAAATTGAATATCCCTTTAAAGGGTTCCAGACGAAAGTACTCGATTCGTCGCGAGAATTTAATTTCAGATAATCGATTCGCCTTTCCGTTTGAATTCGAAAATTTCGCGCGCCGCGCTCGAGTGACGCCATCCCTCGGCGGCCGCGGGAAACTACTACCTAACGGCGCCTCGCCCCGATGATCATTCAACGACAGTTTTAATACGATCGAAAGAAATCACTTTTATCGAGATTGCTTATATCGCTTGTTTTGACCTGTTGAAACTGCCGTTGTGTATTTCATATGCATATTTATGCAATTTCTTTAATATTGGACGACATTTTTCAGTTTCCCGGTTATCGCACGATGACACGTCAGGCGTGTTTAACCTCACTTATCGGGGTAGACGGTTTTTCCGCGGTTTGGGTGCCGCGAAGTCTCTCGCCGCTTGTTCTTTATCTTACATGTTCTGTATACAAGACTGAAAAGTATGTTCGACGTACACTCAATCTAATAGTTAAAGCGCTTCCACGTAAACTCGAGCTTGCAGAAATATTTCGGCTCTTCAGCGATCACGTACCATGAAGAGCACACTAGCTACTCTGTTGATTACTGTTTTAGTAAACAGTATTGTTGCTGTTAATCCAGAGGAGCAAGAAGGCGTTAAATATGCGAACAAGTGCGAGGGTGAGCTTGAGAGAATTTTTGTATGCCTTGCAAACTCCCAAAGTATTAATTAAATATCTTCTTCGATGCCGATTCCAGTGTGTAAGGTCGTAGCGACCGAACTGGAAGCAAGATTGGATGAGACCGGAAAGACAAGCGAGGTCTTGGAAATTGGATACTCGTTAGAAGATGTCAAGCCTAAGAAGGAGAAGGAATATAAGAAATCGTAAGGTCCAGGAGTAATTAAATGGAAAATACCCTAATTCGTGTGTAGTTTGTTTAACTTCTCTATTTTTGAAGAGAGCTACGGCTCGTCGAGTCCCTGGAGAATGTCTGCGACCGAATCCTGGAATACAACATCCATAAGGAGCGGGAAGACAGCTCGAGGTTTGCCAAGGGAATGAGCCAGACCTTTAAGACGCTCCATGGTCTTGTGTACTGTACAAAATTTTGCGTTAGTATTTAAAAATACTGTGGAGAATTTTGGTGGTTACGTTGTATGTAATTTTTACAGAGATAAAGGGGTGAAAGTTGAGCTAGGAATACCATACGAATTATGGGACAAACCTTCGGTGGAGATCACGGCTCTTAAAGCTCAGTGCGAAAATCTCATTGAGAATCATGAGTCTGACATCGAGGACTGGTATAATAACAAACAAGGGGAGGTTCCTCTCATAACGTAATGTTCTTTTCCCTTTCTTCTTATGCTTTTACAGTAACTAGATTCTACATTCAATTAAATCGATGCAAATGCGTTTCAGTTACTTGTGCTCCGAGCGAGCGTTGAAAGGTCAAGACGATTCCTGCTTGAAAGAAAAAGGCGATACCGGACGAGCTGAGCTCACCAAGGACAAGAAGCAAAGGAAAAAGAAAAAAAAGAAGAAGAGCTTAAACAGCGCGAAATCTCCAGAAAGTGTCCCAAAGAATGCTAAGGAAGAACTGTAGGAAAGTCATACATTCGTTCCGCAAAGTGTAACTGTTACGGATGCCTAGTGAATTTCACTCCGAGTAAAGTTTCCTTTCCGGTACTTACATCACTACGCTCTTCGATAAGAAGAATGGAAGAACCCGCTTTGTTTCAAAGTGCCACAAACACGTTTTACACACATGTAATAGGACTCGTTTTAAATTATAACCTCTGCTTTAAAAATGTTAACTCGTAAGTCATAGCGATCTCGTTTACTTCCAACAAAATATTTATTTCAAAGTAAGATTTGTTAGTCTCATCAGGAAAGATGAACAGACAACCAAGACTCCCTTCGAGAAGTGTTCCAAGGGATTCAGTGTTCAATACTCTTCTTTTCTAAATAATTAATAAAATCCAACCTCAAAGTTCTCGACATGTTCTTGACTTTGCAATTTTTCCTGATTTTTCCAGCAGCCTGAACTCACTTGCGAAGGAAAAACAAACGACAGAGGTTCTCTAGTCAAGTTGGAGGAAATATGTCAAAATACATAGTACCGCTTCTGGTATTGTCAAACTGGCAAGGATGCTATGGCAGTACATTACGAGGCACGAGGGCACGAGAAGGCCAGTTCCCCTGGTTGATCCAGTTCCAGACAATAGCACCCTGCGGAGGAGTACTCATCTCTCCAGACTGGGTGCTCACCGCAGCCCAGTGCGTGCAGCACAATCGGAACGTGAGCCCAAATCTCGTTAATTCAAGATTCCCCACAATTACATGCATTAAAAGGATCGAAAACCTCCTCGGAAGCATTTATAAAAATCCCCGAGAGGCTCCGATTCACTCCGTTATTTGATAAACACATCCAGGGCAAAACTGTCACTGCGAGAAGTGTACCACTTCACCGGCAAGCCACAATTTTAACCTACAAACTATCTCCCTTTCCTTCAGTCAATTGAGTTGTACGCGGTGGGACTCAATGGAACAGGCTCCAGGCAGACCGTCAACGTCAAGGCCACGTACATATTCCCTCAGTTCGTGTCATACTCCAAGGTGAGGGACCACGACCACAACATCGCCCTCCTCAAGCTGGTGCAGGCCTTCGACATGTGTGACAGCAAGGTCCGACTCCTTGACATCGCCCCGGTCAGACTTGATGACAACTACAAATCCTGCCTGATATTCGGCTGGCAGAGTTATGTCGCTCCGACGGCCAAAGTCCTGGCCAAGCCGGTGCAGTACAGCGAGGTGATACTCAATTCGTGGAAGCTGTGCATGTACATGCTAAAGAGCAACGCCAGCTACGGGAACGTATTCTGCACGATGATCGAAGCAGAAGATGGTATGAAGGCCTGCGCAGGGAATCCAGGTTCTCCAGTGGTCTGCGAGGACCAATACCAGAGGATGGTGCTCCTAGGGATCGCTTCCTGGTCTAACTTCTCCTTGGACTGCGGTGGATTGCCCACATATCTCGGCGTCAGTGTGTTCAGGTAATATTCAGGAACTCGGAGAAAAGGTTAAATTCTTTGCTACGATTTAATCGATTTTCTTCCTCTATACAAGATAATCTTTGGCAGTAAATTATTCATCGTAGAAGGTTTACCTGTGTAAGTAGTTTGATGAAATTAAATCCATGGTCTAGGTCCTGGATGTACGATCTGATCTTTAACGACAAGAAGATGGAACAGTTGGAGTCTGGGTTTGAGCCCCATGGTGGAGCTTGCAAACGTGAGAGATACCTCGGTGGGATATCGATCGAGAGCAGTGGCCAGAATTACACCGACCTGCTGCAGCTCAGTGGTCAGCCATCGGTATCCAAAGTAGAGGTCAGGTCGGAACCCCAGGAGACCTGGAAATTGTCGGGTGGAGATGTGATACCAAAGGTCCTTCGCAAGTCCCCGTATGGAGCACCGAAACTATCGGAACTACAGTCCAAGCTCGAGCCACCTTTATTCGATAATCACGTCAATGATTATGGGAGAGTATCGACATTGTTTGGTACTCAAGACGGAATGCCATTTGGAAATGTGGTGAAGGAACGAGACAGCAGTCTCAGACAGTATCAAGAGATCGGAAAGGTGGACGATGTCATGGCAATATCAGCGGAGCACAGTCGACCGAGCTTCTTAGACAAGCCAATGGTTTATCAAACGCAGTTTCGAAAGGAGATCCATGAAGATGGGGAAGATGATGAACCTGATGACAATATGGAGGTCGACTATGAGGATATCACTCGATCCTGTTGTTCACGGTTTAATGTCAGTCTCAGATTATTTTATATCCCTTATTTAGAAATCCTCTACATTATCTTTAGTGCAATTTATTGAGACTATGAGGTATGTGTAATGGAAAACAATACATACGGATTTAAAGGTAATGTTTCTTCTCTTTCTTGCCCTCTCCCTTCTTTCTATCGCCCTTGCCTCGGAGCTCTCTAAGTCTCTCGTACTCCTCTTTGAAATCCTGGTGCTCGTCTCGGAAGAGTCCATAGTCCCGCAAGTGTTTCATCAGTAGGCCTGTCTCGATGTGCCTTGGATAATACTCCACGATGGCAGACCGCTGGTCGATGGGCTCCTCGCTGAACAGTTGAACAACTTTCATCGACTTGTTGGATGTAGGTCTTGTAACCTCTCCAAATATCGAATTACTGAGGCGGTTCATGCGCTTTGCATAATTCGACGCAACGTTCGAAAGTTTCACGTATTTATGCGCAGCCGCCATCTAAAAACAACGAACTATCAATTAAGACCAGACATAATACATGTTATTTACAATGAAGGCAAATTTAGTCCCGATAAGTGGGGTTAAGTCGCTTTCAAACGTCGTAAGTAACGAGGCATTATATGGCAACCAGAAATAAACATTTACAAGGCTTACTTATCATTCTTATTGCACTGAATTGATAGTTTCAATAAATTTTAAACCTTTTAAATGCGAAAAGAAGTAGTCGATCCACCGATTCTCCTGTCCTCAGTCACCGACCATAAAATTTTGCAAGACTCCCCTCTTACGAATTTTTCTGGACAAATACTGTGTTGCCCTCTGTCGGAGATTTTTGACGGCTGTCAAATACATTCGCAGAATTTCATTACCGATGGAGACTGGCCAGTCTTAATCAGTTAAACAGAAACCCTCTTTGAACAATTATATTCTATAATTTATCAGATTTCACCCAAAGTAACGCCTAGCATAGAAAACTTGCATTTTATTTATCAATTGCCTTACACGTCTAGAGTTATAATTCCAATAGATACGCCTCGTCTAAATAGATCTGTTTCACCCGTACAACTGTAAGTAGCGGCAATACCTCTTTTGTAGAAATTACAACGTTTTAACCTATAAGTCTGCAGCCTGAGCCCGGCACTGAAGTACAGAATCGCGGTGAGGAAACACGTGGGAGGTTAAGGCTGCGTCGTAGACGACGATTCCCTGATACCTATCGAAAAACCTAACCTATCGTCCATAACGACCCCGTCTCAAGATAACTCAGTGTTTGCACGAATGCTTATATAAAATAAATTGTAAATACAAAATCTCTGTTCACCATAAGACATCGGCCGCGAGACGACGTGACTACCTCGAAGCAGAGATCCCCTTCCCCGATTCGCACCGCTTCGTATACGTCACCTTATAAGCGAAGGGACTGCCTTCCTCACGATATAAACATTAACCTCTACAAATCCACTGAACCAATCGACGACCAATCACTGTCTGGCATTATGTTCAGTCTCTAAAAGGCATTCACGGACTAGGATCCTGGCATGCTGAATGCCCATTTTGAGCCGTTCCGCTGCACTGCGGCTCCCAGCATAAGACAGACGTATATCACGTCCGAGTTCCTCGATGATCACTAAAAGCTGGGCGTACTTCCCCTGGCCAGGCACCGAAGGGAAGTTGATTGTACTCGACGGACTGGCTTGCGCCACCTGCACAGCCTGGACGTTCTGCAAGTTCCTGGGATTTGGCACTGTTATAACAGGCTCTGGAATGCGAGGTATCTCTGGCACCTTCTGCGGCATTGGGTCGTTCAGCTTGGTTATAGTGATCTCGTTAAGCTTGGCCAGTTCCGTCAGCTTGGCCATCTCTGCCATCTTTGAGTACTCTGGCATCTTCACGGTCATGTCGTTCTGCATGTTGGCCATCTTCATCATCTCGTTCATCTTGGTCTTTTCATTCAGCTTGGCGATTTCCTTGGCCATCTCGTTGATCTGTGCGATCTCATTTAACTTTGTGATGTCGTTATTGTACTTGGCCATCTCCGTCATCTTCACCATCTCGTTGAGCTTAGCTATCTCGTTCATCCGCTGTACCTCGTTGATCTTGGCCATCTGCGACATCTTCATCATCTCGTTCATCTTGGCGATCTCGTTCATCTTAGTCATGTCATTGTACTTGGCCATCTCAGTAAACTTAACCATCTCGTTCATCTTTGCAATCTCATGGAGCTTCATGTACTCCGTGGTCTTGGCATACTCAGCCATCTTCTCAAGCTCGTACCTCTTGGCCATGTCTTGCGACATCTTGTTCAGCTCCGTCATTTTACTGAACTCAGCTAGCTGAGCCATCTGTACGATGTGCTCTGGCACCTTACCCCTTTCCATCATCTGCTTAAGCTCTGCCGAGATCTTGTTCATGTTCATCTCCGACATTTGAGTTATCGTTGCCGAATCGGGCATCTTCGAGAGTTCGGCAATCTTCGATATCTCCCGGGCGAGGTTCTCGTCGAGACATCTCTTCTTCTTAGCCCGATGCCTGGCCATCCTCTGCGCCTCCTGCATCCTCCTCAGGGCCGCCTGCTCCTCCGTCTCCTTCGTCCTGGCGTTCTTCATTCTTTCCACCGCAGTGTACAGTTTCGCAGCACGTTCCTCCGCAGTCTCTGACATCAGCTTCTGGTATTGATAACCTTGCATCTCCCTTACCTTCCCGAGGAAGAGCTTCCCTTCGACCCTGGGCATAGCACAGAGCCACGAGCAGCTGCACGACTACCACCATCCAACCAGGTATCCATCTTTGACCGAGCTGACAAAAGTCTTTCTGAATTGCACAAACTGTGCAGAATTACCTTACACTCCTCCCTCGTTTTTCTATTTCCTCTGAAAGTCCTTGAACGTAGTCACGGTACTTCTTCGTTACTATCTACCGCAACCTTTTTCTGTAGCCAAATACCTATTAAAAACACAGAACACTCTCAGAATTACCGTTATAACCAGACAATCAGCAATAAATCACCTCACCTGTCAACTTTGAGGCACGTCAGCATCTCCAACTCACCGCACACGTCCTAACCCCAAAATCCTCTTCTTCCCTCTCCCTCGCTCTCGCAATCGCAGCGAAACCGCACTCGACAAGCTGAGAAACATAAAATCCCTCCGTTTTCGATTATCAGATTAAACAACTATTAATAACGCAGCGCCGAGTCGGCATGTCCAAGGATCACGAAAGTTTGAATCGGAGCGTCGTTGAATCAATCACTGCGCATGCGCGTCGAGCTAAGATCGCCGTCTTAACGGAAAGCGACCAATCACAGCCGCGGACGCGACAAAAGCAAAACAGAGGTTAGGTCAGTCACCGTTGAATTTCCATTAGATCTCCTGAACTCAAATACTCACAAAACTCATGAACTCGACGAACGATATCACCATGCCAATAATTCGCGCGCGTAAAATCGGTCAAAAACCGCGAACAAAAGCGTCGACTAGACAAGCGTGCGCAGCGAGCTAAGAACCGCGTCTTATCAGGCACCGGCCAATCAAAATGGCGGACACGGCGCGCCGAGACGCGGACGATCACCTTGCAGCCGTCGACCTTTGTAACGGAGAGTTCTCGGAGTTCTCTCTACAAGAGGTAAACGTGAAACGTGAAGAAGTTCACTGCACCGTTCGGTCGGAAATGGAGACTGTCAGACTGCGAACTGTCACTCCTTAGGGCGGTCCGCGCACATGCGCAGTGAGGTAAGAACGTTGTCTTCGCGGATCGCGCAACAATGGCGGCCGCGACTCGGCGACTTTGTCCGAGTCGAGAAAGCGTACCGACGATCGCGCCAACCTCCCGCTACACGATCTTGCGATACGTCCGTCGAATCTTTCTCGATGTTTTTATCGGTAGAGGGTTATAGCGCGTCCTTGTACTCGCAATTACCAGGAATATTCACGGACTAACGCACAGAGCCCGCGTCCGCCGATATGTAAGATTTTCCCTCGGAGCGACTTTAAGAGGCCAAGCGGGATCGCCGATAGGCTGCCCGTGACGTGCTGCGTTTATTGACCATAACCCCTTCCCGACCCGGAATGGCGTCATTCGGACCTAGGGTCGACAGGTGCGACTCGCAGGTGCTTGCCCTAATTTTCGGGTCGTGCACTCGATGCCTTTAGGTTAGGGTGACACCAAATTTGTCCTCTTCTCCATGCGTCTTTTGTTTTAGCGTAAAACTTCGACTTATCTAAGAAACCGCGGGTCTCCTATTTGTACTGACATTGAGGTTATGAATGCTTATAGATTTCTCTTCGATACTGCAGGCTTATGTGATGCACACACGTCAGATGTTGAGCAATACTGTCACACGTAACACGTGCTACTTGTTGCAGATTGAGTTGATACACACTTTTAAAGAGTAATTCGTGTTATGTTTAGATGCCTATGTATATATGTAATATAACGTATAACATGCACAGATATTTTGTAACGCAGTGCAACATGCTATAAATTCGTACGTGCTAATGAAATGTCGGAGTATCTGTACCGTTTTATATAATGGAAAAGAGGGTGTGAATTAAGACACTCGATTCTTTACCTATTGGCTTTTCTATTCTTCTTAGTTTTTCTGTTTCTTTCTCTTTTAGTAGAGGCATCGGCATCGGCGAGAAGTATCGAGATACAGTGGATGCAGCAATTGCTGGCATTGGCAGCTCACCATGTATGTCACAAGCTGCGAGTACTACTTCCTCTTACTCATGGTCATAATTCCGGTCTACCTCTTTTTCAAGCTGTGGTCCTGGCTTGGCTGGGAGCTGTTCGTCAATAATTAAGGGACCGTCCAAGGATATCAGAAGGAGTAACTGTGCGATAGCATGTATTTTGTAAGAAAAAGAAAAATATATGCACGTATATATGCATATACGCGTATTTCATTGACCGATCAATGCCATTACATTCCTCCTGTGTACTAGAATACGTGAAAAGTGTGCAAGTGTATGTACATCAAATGCAAGTGCTCTTTGACCAATGAATAAATACAAGCCTCTCTTTAAATCTTGTCCGTGACAAACAACTCGTCCAGGCCCATCGACCCGAGATGCCTCCAGATTCTGTACCTGGCGACGTCCTTTCGCGTTATCATCCCGACGACCTGCAACGCGAGTTTAATAAGCCTAAAAAGTTTACAACAACGGATACAATAAATAATTCTCCTCTATCATTTACCTCATTTGTATCGTTGACAATTGGTAGATGACGGAGGCCCACTCCTCGGAAGAGATGAAACACTCGAGGCAGGGACGCTGACTGAAGTGCAAATAATATTAAACGAAACAGTTAATAAAAAATCCAAAAGTTTCAACATAACAATGTTTCAAATAATACATACGTGTTGTAACGTGTAAGGCGACGGGTTCATGAAAGGTCTGAGATCCATCGTGTAAGTCTTCTCATCCTCGGTGATGCTGACCTGCTCTATTGTTGGGTACCTCGGATACTCGTTCCTAAATAATTGAATGTCGACCTCGCGGTCCCAACTCTCGCTGTACTCGTTGAACACCTTATTCTGCAGAAGAACTATCAACTGCGACCTTAATATCAGACCCCGAAACCTTCCGTAACAGTTGATCTCCTCCTGCGTAGATGTTAGCTTTCAGTTTTAAAGGAGTTCACAATCAAGATCATTCACTTAGTCTAACTATTAACCTGATCACTATTCGGTGGATCGACCACTGGGAACCCATTGAAAGTGATACACTTCAGAAGTTCAGCTACGTGTCCGACGTTCTCGATTGTCTTCAATGTGACGACAGGATGGCTCATCACTTCGCTGGCATAGATGTTGTTTGACAGTGGTGGAGCCTCCCAGGGAAGTAGGGGAATCCCCGCCATTTGTATGTGAATCTCGTAAATACCCTGTTTGGTTCGATTTACAATTAAGAACAAATGACAGAGTAATACAGCAGGGAATCCATTGATAAGAAATGTACAAAACTGCATCATACCTCATTAAAGAAGTCACCGACCCACTTGGCCATGATCAGGACAATGATGAGTGGCAAGCCAAAGGATATCCCCTGAGTGGCTTCGATCAGGATCGCAGTCAGACTGATCGTCATTCTTACCACACCTCCTAGCTGGGCAGCAGCCCCAAGAAGAGCATATTTTCCAGGATCGAGCAGCTCCTGTCACGCGTAAAATGGGAGAATAACTCCTTCCGCTAAATTTTTCAAACCAATAAAAATCAATGAAAAATACCAAGTGCCATCGATCTACAACTTACGTTATTTGGGAATATTTTAGACAAGCCCGAACCAAAGAGTCGACCCCATGCAGCTCCGATTAGCAGCGTAGGGATGAAAAGTCCACTGGACATAGAGAGACCAAAGGTGCAGACCGCCAGAAAAAAATAAAGGACTACGAATATGGCCAATGTGACATCGTTGTGAGAGCCTATAAAAATACCTTAATAGACAAGGAGTAATGTTTATCGACCTGATAGATTACTAATTACTGACCGATTGGGTTATGGAAGAGAGAGCGTACGCTGCTCTCAGGTGTTTGGAACCAGAGCGCGGCAACTGCATTGTATTCTCCTTCCATACAGTGGAACTGAATTGGAAACTTGGTTGGGTCCTTCCCCAGTGGCTTGCAGTCATCGATGAAATAGATCATGAGAAAACCCATTAGTGCACTGATAACCGCTATGAAGAGAGCCTCCAATACTTTCAAGCCCTTTGCGTTTATGTAGTTCAGCCGGAAACAGCTGATTTTATAGTTAAGGTGGTTCCATAAAGCTCCTAATGCCCCTCCGATGGCTCCCACCAGAACGAACAGTGGTATCTCATAGATTTGATATGGAATAGTCTCAAATTTCCCCAAATTCAAGAGACCCTGGTACGACAAGTCACCCAGGTGACCATGATAAGCACTCAAAACAACATTCAGTACAAAAGTTGTCGTCATACAAGCAAATAATGTCCTCCAAGTCAAGCCCTGATTAAAAAAACTTGTGCCCTCCTCGATACTAAACAACACACCACCTGAAATAATTACAGCCATGCTATTTGAACCTGTCAGTCAATATTCAATATATCTCTTCTGTACACTTGTTCCCAAATATGCTGTTTATAAATATATGACTTTAAAAGACTCACCGATGGGTGCTCCAAAAGCTGCGGAGACTCCAGCCGCAGCACCTCCAGAAACAAAGTCTCTCTTTTCATGATCCTCCCGAAAGTATTTGAATATCCCTAGGTCCTTCTTAAAAGTCGTACTCTTGCCCTGAGATATGCCTGCAGCTATTACAGCTCCGGAATGTATCATTGGTCCTTCCTTTAAAAAATAATTAATTTATTCAGTGTTTCTAGATTAATTTTAGCAAGTAGACTTTATTACCTTTCCTCCGGCAAGGCCACCGACCACTGTTGTTATCACACCGATTGTCTTCACAGCAAGGGTCTTAATTCTAACCACTCGTGGCACCTTGATGCCATTTAAATAACATTTAACTTGAGGAATTCCACTGCCTGCAGCAATGGGTTCCACATAAGCCACCAAAATGGAGCCTATTAGTACCGGCACTAGATTCATGGTCAGCCACATGAGGAGTGGCAACCACAGACAGCTATTTACAACACATAGGTCCATATCTACATCAATATTAATAAGAAAATAATATGTAGATTATGACCTAAAATCACTTCAGATAACATGATGACTTGATGTATAGAGAGCGTAATGATGCAATCTCCGTCGTTAGAATTATGTAACCAAAGTGACTGTATTTGCATCTTGTCTTGGTTTATTAGATCGAAAAGAGGTTACCCCTCATTTTTATGAAGGTCTAATAAAAAAGGATACACGTCTTTAACAGTCCGTATTTAAAAGTGGATAACACCTCGATGGAGATGTCAACGAAGCATGCAGTGAGCGCTGTACATATACCAATCAATAAGAATATGAGCCAGCGCGCCAGATTCTTCTTTACTATGAATTTGTAGCCTTTCTTCCTCTGCTCTTCCTGGAGAAGAGAGTTCTCACAGGGATCGTAATCCAAGCTCTAAAACACAAGACAGTTTTCAAAATACCGAAATAAATTTCCCACGGATAAATATTACCTCATAATTGGTGGACAAAAAATTGGTATCGCCGAGCCTTATTTCTCGAGGCCCCAATCTGTTTATATGTCGATGAGAAAGGCTTTCCAAGACACTCGAAAATGGGAGTCTTATGTTATTGGTGATACTCTGAAAATTAGGTTATATTACTTCTCTAATCTCGATCTTTTTAAGAATACACTTCCAAACATCACTCCATTGCGCTTACTCGAAATCTAATGCTGACGTCATCATTCAAATACGATGCAAAATTGTTTCTGGGTTTGACGAGTCTTTCTCCCTCGTCTAAATTCACGTCGGAGCTGTTAGGCTCGACGCTACTATTTATTGAAATGTTTGGATGTTCCAGAGGACTAGCCATGTTTCTCAATCAGAGCTGACTCGAACTAACTTCGATTCATCCTATATACAGATCATCACCGACGTCCTCGAAGCTGCAGATTGTTGACAGTGATCCTTGCCTCGGTCAGGACTTTCAATGATTTGAAACTGTTGCAATAAGCTCTTGGAATATGACCCTGGCATGTAAGACTAGTGACAGGAAATGGAACAATTGACACAAATTGAACACTCGGCTTTGATTCAATCCAAACGCCTCAACAGACGTTTTGGGTGTCACACTCGTGAAATACTCACTCCAGGTTCATTGTTCTCCTAAATGTATGCGAATACACGTTAAATGACTCACGAGACGTAACGACACCTTTTGTCTGCCCCCTTTTGAACGCGATGTGTGCACGTATAGTTTATGATGCTTACGCGCAGCTACCCAAAAAAAATGAAATCATAACTGCATATACACTGTGCTAGCTGGCATTGTACAGCTGTTTGTATGTGAATGCACATGTTAAAAGCCTTAACTTTTTCTATTCATTCAATTGGCCGTTCGTACTGGATTATAAAAGTTATTTTATATACATTCTTTACTACTCTTCGGTTCGTGGCGCTATCATCTCGCCGACTTTTGACGATTCCCATTGGTCGATCTAACCTCAGCTCCACCAATCACAGGGTTCCTAAATAAAAATGGCGGTGTTGCCAGTCTGCACAACGTTGTGCATGGTTGTTCTCCGTTGGTTGACCTGCGGAACCGTGCACGAGTTTCGAGATATGGCTGCTCCAATTTAAGGTGAAAAATAATGCTTTCCAGCGAATAGTTAAATCTCGGAAGATTAAAAACTAGTGCATCAGTGGGAGGAACATCCTGAACGTTTCCTTACCAGGTTTTACGGTTAATTCCAATTAATTCCGAGTGAGCGACGCGCCGCATAGGTTAGGTCGCCGCTTTCTTGGTGGCCTCGATTTTGAATTTGAGGTTTGAAAGGAAAAAATGTACCCGAAAATAGTGAAGATCATAGCGATAAGTTGTGAAGAACTCAGCTGATCTTCGTTGTGTCAGTGGCAAGCTTTGCAGCTGATCTTTGAAGTACATCTTTGTCATGAATTGTAACTGAGACTGAACACAATTCAAGGCGATCACTTGTAGCTGAACACAAGTGTGTGGTAGTAAGCATCTCTGAAATATCTATGAATTTCTAAATATATGCTGGGTAGTGATTGCGTTCCCAGTCCCACTTCGTTCTGGTATCTCCAGCTATGAGAACTGGACTCAAGAAGAAGTCAGGTTCTTTTGTGGTCTGAGTTTGTTGTGTCTATATTGTTTATAAATTTTGTACATTTTTTATGAATGATCGTTTAGTGAGTGGAGCGTCTTATGTTTAAAGAAATGGAGGGAGATCGAGCAACGACAACTGTTCCTGGAAAAGACGAGTCCAAGGGCACTGGCAAATGTTTAGGCTTGACAACTACGGAAGCTTTGGATACTCTGCGAAGGGACATTGCTCGAGTTCTTGAGGAGTATGAAAAGGACTGCAAGAAAAGCAAGAAGTACAGAGATTGGTTGAAAGATACTCTGCACCATCGCAGTCAGTACACAACTCTGTGCTGGACGTCGGCGATTGCCCTTCTACTGAACTCTGTCATACTCATCGTTGCTTTCTATGCAGTCAATGACATATGGTAAATTCTCCCAGTAATTAAAATGAATTATATTTATATGTTTACATGGATGCTGTAAATATTTAACTCAAATATTGGGATCAAAATCTTGCTTTACCCAGGAATACCACATTGCCTTACGAGGGACCGATCGTGTGTTGCCTTATCTTGCTGAACTTTACATTGGTCGCATCCGACAACAAATTAAGACACCGAGAAATTCCCCACAGAGTTCAGCTGTTATTGCGGAAAGTAGAAGGTACTTTTATAAGCGAACGAAAGAATTAAATTAAAGGCATCATTTATTTAATCAAGAATTTAATTAGTTTCTTTAAACTTTACAGCTGCCAAATCTAAATGTCGTTGGGATTCTGAGAATTATCCTCATTTGTGCAGTCCCCTTTCCCCCTGTTTGACATTGCAATGGACCTACAGAGATGGGCGAATTGTCAATCTGCCTTGGGCTTTGCTCGTCGCAGGGGACATCATCATCATAAAGCCTGGCCAGCAGGCACCAGGATACTGTGTACCATACGACGTAAGGATATAAAATCAAAGCTGTTCTTTAACTAGGTCTTAATCGTCACTATAAATTTTAACAAATCATGTTAGGATCCACAAGCATCGGTGTTACGCAGCAGGGAAGTCTACAGTCCACAGTGTCATGGTGCCAATGAGATATTTTCTACACCACAGATTCGAACGCCTTTAAAGAACAAGCTCTACAAACTTCAGGAGACTCCGTACCTAGCTAACTTGAGACTAGCATTGGATCAGGCACTCGACAGGCCTATTACTTACCATAATAAAGAACGGCATCTAGTTATGGTGTGCTGCATCGAGCAATTGGCATATCCGATTCTTTTGATATCAATTTTCGTGCTTAATCTCTTTAGATACTTGTACTTGTTCGAGTATGTTGGCACCGGTCACTGGACCGAGATCCTTTTACTGCAACCCGCAGCTGCAACTCTGCCGCTACTGCCACTGGTGTTTCCAGCTTGCTGGATAGTCCTAAACTGTTTCGGTATGGCGAGGTTCAAGGCCCTCTTCAAGCTCTATCAGTCGTCAAAGAAGATGCCGGTACTTGGTTATTTATTTTTTTACATAAAATATTTAATTTTAAAATCCCTTTTTTTATGTGAAATATTTAATCAAATTTAATGCATTCGATCATTAATTTAGTTTTTAGATCCTTTCGAAGACGTTGACATCTCTGGACCAACTCATCCCGATGTCTTGTACAACTGGTCGGAGGTGACGGACTATTTCTTTGCAATTCTCTGCGGAAAGGAACACATGATGTCGAGGTCCGCCAGCATACTTCACGTACTGGGCTCTGTTACGGTAGGATTTTTAAAGATTATTCAACTTGTTGATTGTAAATAAATGGCACTACATAAAGTATAGGTTAAGGCAGACTTTTCTTGATGCTCACAGGCCTTGTGCTGCATCGACAAGAAAGGTATTTTATCCTGGCCTAATCCAACTGCTGAGAAGGTCTTCTTTTTGAGGAATGCAAGTGCAGTGTCTCGTGCCTCCAGGTAAATTAAGAGTTTATCTTGCTTGTAGCTGTTTGAAAACTTATGTTAATTAACATTGTAGCACCGTAAGTTTGGAAAAACCTGATTCCAATCGGCAGTCTGACCCAAGCAGTAAACACGCAGACGAGACTGGAGGCACACGTTATGTACAACACGGAGGTACATTCTTGATTAATTTATGTTGACACTTTTATATACGACATGGCTTTGTTTTATTCATGTAAAAAATATTATATATCCTTAGATTCCTCCCATTCGGTAGCCGAAGTGTTAGATTTGACGCACGATCACGCATTGCCGTTTCGCCTTCAGTTCGATGACCATGCATGGCGTCAACACTTGAACTCATTGAAGCCTCTCGGACTGGGGATTCTTCTCAACACTTGTAATATGGAGACCCAGGAGCATTACATGCAATTCTGCTGTCATGTAACCTGCGAAGCACTACACAATGAGAATCTGGTGCCAGTGACAAACAGAAGGTTAGGATTTAATTCGATTGGAAAGACAAGTCTTAATTTTGTTTAAAACACTTGCCAAAAAAAAAAAGAAAAAAATTTTAACCTAACCTCTTTGATTATTTATTTGTCGTCAGATGTCTGTGCGAATTGGCAAAGCAAATTGGTTTCCAAGAGCAGGCTCAGGAGATATTCCAACTGGACCGTCAACTCTCTACATTTAGACACGTGGTAAGTGCGTTCTTTCTCTACATTGGCGCTAACAATTAATGTCCTATGTGGTTTACCTTTTCTAGATGTTTGTATTCTATTTTTATACAGCAGCCAGAGATGGTCAGGAGGGATATAAAGTTTGCTCGGTCCCTGAGCATCGCAACGAAGTTGAAATTCCCATTTCCACACATGGTGGCGGTGGTCGTCAAAGAACGTGCTGGTGGTGGGCTGCAATTGTTGACGCAGGGCACTGCAGACATTATCCTTGACACTTGCATCGACTTCTGGGACGGACACGATCTCTGCCCTCTCTCAGCCTCCGACAGGTGAATTTTAATTTCTCGTTTCCTATGTATATTATAGATTATCATAACTTTTAAATTCTGTGTTTTCTCAAAGAATGTCTGCGATGATTAATTAGTGATAAATGTATCACACATAATGATGTGTAGTGTAATGGCTAGAACGATTTTAGAAGATTCTTTGCTTCCTCAGGAAAAAGGTGCAAGATTTTTACCAGCGGACCAGCCTAACCTCTTACTGCACTGCCTTCGCATACCGGCCACTGACACGTGGGATTAACAGCAAGCTGTCGAGTGTGTACTTAGAGCTGCCGGCTGACAGTAAGCATCTTTATACTCCGCACAGGAGTCCCACTCCTTTGCCGTGGGACTTTAGAAACGTTCTGGATCCCAGAGTGAAGGGATTACTCGGGCAGTTTCATTCGACCGGTAAGCTGGACTCTCGACTCGAGAACAAAGTGTTACCCTAGCCTCGGCACTGGTACCCACTCTCATGATTTAACCACTTCTTAGAAACGTTACAACGCGTCACGCTTCTGTTTTCTTTATTTCTTCGCCCACGAATCACAAATAGTAGTCATTAGATGTGTCGAACTCCTCCAGAAGGGTGTGTCTCTTCTGAACTGACATGCTTAGATCGCACCAGTGTCCCTGGCTATTCGCTAGAATTTGCCCTTTCGTGCAACCCCTTACGGCACTTCATCTCGTAGAAGGCCCTCTTCGATGTGAAACTCAGCCTTAAACGCTTGCAGTTGTGCCGTAGTACCGGACAGTTGTTCATTGCGTCCTGTCAAGGCTTCCTTGCATGATTGTCGTCTGCAAAGCGGTCCGTTATGATCCCTTCGATTAGTCAGCCTAGCGAAAGGCTTCCGGGAGAAAGTACATGCCATTTCACTCTGGTCCAGATTCCCTCCTGTGCAGCGAGAATCGCGAGGAGGAGGTAAACGACGTTGAGAGCTGTTTCGAGCTCCAGTGCAACCAAGTATTCATCGGTATGGTCACTATGCAGTACCAAGCGCAGACGGATATGGTAAAGTCAGGTCACTTTCTTAGCTAAGCGCCTCCTGTAACCACCGAGCGACCGTTTTCCTAGTTTCCTCCATTGGAGATAAAGATAACATCAAAATACCGCGAGCTTACGCGCTCCACGTTCGGTGTGCCATCATAGATTATCCACTTTATCGTTCGACAGGTCCAGCTTATCGAGCAGCTAGAAAGAGCCTGCATCAGGTTCGTCCACTTTAGTAAGGAGAACGAGCTCAGGTCGAGAGTCTTCTCGGAGAAGATGGGCCTGGAGAGCGGATGGAACTGTCACATTTCCCTACTCAGCGAGAGAGCTGCCAGGTAACAACAAAGAACACCTAAACTAGAATCTGTAACGTCGTAGTAGATTAATATGTCATAACCTTTAAATTTATGCTTGTAAATGTTCTTTTGTCAATTTGTTTCAATGACATTGGTATTTTATTTAGGTCGGAGAGTCCTGCAGGCTGGTGGGCGAACCAGGGAGCTACCGTGTCCTCTCCGACGACCTCCGTCAAGTCTCAGAGCCAGAAGCAAAATGCCTCTCGTAACGAGGAAGCTAATCATCTGCTGGAACACGTCTCTTCCAGGTGAGTTCTCTTTAGTGTGATGGGTCGGGCTTGCCTCCTTGTCCCTTTATTTATTGTGCGGACTGCCAAGACTCTGATTTCGCAGGACGAACCTGGATAACTGCAGGTTAATGAGCATGTCGGCGCCCAGTGCGATTAATACCGAGCTCGCCACTGTTAAGTTTGAGGATGGTGCCACCGAATGGAACGTCACTGTCGATCGCACACAGGCTAAAAGCGTTGCGAGTCATAGGTTCGTTGTATAGCAGACTGCTAGAGACGGAGAAGAGCGAACCTTTAATAGTAGTCGAAGTAAACCTTTGCATGGCATCGAGTAAATTGTGTGGCCTTGTGTGTGAATAACAACTCGGTCAACTGCAAGTAGATAAAAATTAAAAATGACACGCTTATCGAGCTTGTAAACTCATGCGATAGAACATCACTGTAGACCTACTATGAACATTTCTGTAGACTGTAGAGTTACTAAGTTATAAACTGGTAGAGGAAGACAGAAATAGCACATCGGTTATTATCTAGGTCTTACAGGTTATGGAGCATCGGACCAGTGCATGGCTGTCAGTAACGCACCTTTTCTGATATGACTGTTTATAGGTTAGAGGTTAATAGTGTGCAAAAATACACGTTTTTGGTGAAGTTAAGAAGAAACGTGTGTGTTTTTTAGGGAACAGGACATCGTTAGGAGCGAAGACAGTGTATTGGTTCAGAGCGTAGACCTGGGATCTGTTCCGGAGGCCTGGCAGTCCCTGAGTTGCCTGACCGACAGCACTGAGCAGAGCGCACCTGTCAATTTTGATCTGTCAAACAGGGTGAGGACCTGCGAGTGAGTGAGCGAGTGAACGGTCTCTTTACTACATGGGGACACTTTGCAATAAATTAGGAATTAGATCACTCTAGATCATTGCTAAAAAAAATTAGATGTCCCTTCGATCAGATTGAACAGTGTCTTGGTTCTCTGCTCTCCGATGACCAGTTGATGTGTATTTTAGGCCAAGCTGCCTCGGGGCATCGACAAGATCAGACCTCATCTGGAACTGATCGACAATGTGCCACTTCTAGTCTCGCTGTTTACTGACTGTAACACTGCGGTGACCAGAGAGATGCTGCACATCATGCAGGACTATGGAGAGGTCGTCTGCGTGCTGGGCTCCTCGGCTAATTCCGAGAACATGCCGATATTCATGCAAGCTGATGCAGGGTAAACGTTAATTCCCATTTATTTAGGTAGAATATTATTCGATTAAGCTTCCATTAATTTATTAGAATCTACAGAGATGCTTTAGGGTAGTCGAAGTCCTGACGGGGAGATTGTTTATTTATTGCCTCTTGTAACACGCAGTGCGCCGGAATCATGTAGCTAGATTTGTAAGTAGTGTCACATTCGATTGTTCCAAAAGATAAATACTTTCTCTGTCTCTTGGGATGAGCTTTCAGGGGTATCTTTTCATACGATGTACGGTAGATCGTGTTGTAATCCGATACGGGAATTTTAATGCGATCCTGAATGGAAAACCGTGTGTCCTTACAAGGAGTTTTGAGGTTACATATGTTTGGCATTTGATATGACTCTTTCATTACGGTCCCACATTCCATCATAACTGGCTCTTTAACTATCCCAAGAGATGGTTTACATTCCGCTGATTTTTCTCCTCCGGTGGCCAAATACGATCTCCTGCATGGGGGGTTATGTAGACCTGACCTTATTTTATCTTATATTTTATGCATTTTAATTACCTGTAAGTTGTGGACATTAAGTTAATACAGTTAGAAGTTCCAAGATGTGTTCGGGGCACAATCAGTCTAGCTGGGGTTCCTATTTTACTATTGTAAGACATGTTGTTTGTCGTGGACATGTCGAATGTACCCAAGGTGTCTTTTAAGAGTTTCCCTTGTTCTGGGATCACTGGCTTCTGTCGTGCGAAACCAATATTGTTCTTATAAGAAGAACAATATGTGGTTGTCGATTCAAATCCAATTGTTGGTTTTTTATATGGTTTGTATGGAAGAAATGGTTTTGTCTTCATAGGTCGACAATAGAAGACATTCCCTTTATTCTGGACAAGACTCTTCGATTCTATATCATCACGAGAATTATTTTCTTTCGTAATAAGAACACATGCGGATTTCGCCTCACCCATCATAACCTCTTACACAAATTCACATGACACTTGACATTTGTTCGACAAAACCTGTAAAATATTTGAAAATCATATGTAACTGTTTATTTTTTCTTTCTTTCTTAAAGGGTGGCGGTGGAACCTTTATACCCACAAGTGTGTCAGCGAGTACCTGTCATGACTCCAACGAAGGAAGACCAGGGACCTTCTCCAGTTGACCTGAGCCGAGAGCTTAATTCGGTGTCCTGTTCACTAAGTGTCAAAAGAGAAGATCCCATTGCCTTGTACCACCTTGTCATGGAGGTAACCTCATTAAGAACAACCATTCAATTTATGATATTCACGAGATATTCGACAGAGACGATTAATTAGTATTTATTTTATATTTTTTCTGCTCTCTCGATTACACGCCAAACACTAGGCGAGGCATTACATGAAGTGCCTGTGGAACTGTGTGCAATTCTGGCTGTGCTGTGTAGTGACAGCGTCTGTGGCTCAATCGCTGTCTGCATTTTTGTTGCTACCACCGATGTTCACCGTTGGCCAGGTTTTGTGGCTCAGCTGTGTGATCGTTCCTCTGCTGTCGGTGTCTATGGTGGCAACCCCTACAGACCCCATGATAATGCAGAGAGCTACTGGGAAGAATCAGTGCGTCGTCACTTTGCAGGTTAAAAATCTGTTTTAATAGGATAAATTAAGGTCTTTTAATTATTTTATTTACGTTCTAACGGAAGATTTCATAGATTTATATTTTCTTATTAGGTCGCCTTGTTCGTGCTATGGTGCTACGGGAGCAAATTCCTGCCTACAATTGTCACCATAGTCCTATCGCAAAGTCTCTCGTTGATGACTCTGTGTCCACATTACGTGCCGCAAGGTTCTAAGTGTGTCTACGTGTATCCTAACGTGGAAGGAAGTGATTCCTGGGGAGGATGGGGTGCAAGGCCGAATGTCATTCTGGTTGTGCAGCATTTTGCCCTCGCACTGATGGTTCTACACTTTGGTAGGGATATTAATATTCATGTAGAACGGTGAAGTATCATTAACACTTTTCTTACTGTCAATTTATAGTAACCATATCAACGAGCTTCGTTCACCGGGAGTACTCCATCTGGAGGAAGCTGCCCATTGACAACTGGATCTGGTTCCTTGCGGCCCTTGTGACGTAAGTTTCATAACCTAAAATACTATCTGGATATTTGTGTGATAATTATGATACCTAGATTTAATTGAAACCTTGGATTAATAATTAATATAACGAGGAATACATTTTCAGGTTATGTGCACAGGCAGTTTTTTCTGGAACAGTTCTCTGTGAGTTCTGGAGAGGAGACGGTCGCAGGATCGATGACTTTCCTCTTCACCTGCCTCCATTCTTCTTGCTCTCTGTGCCACTGGTCTTCGCTGTCAACGAGCTTGTCAAATGGCAGGAAATCAAGTAGATAAACTCCTCTAAATTTTATTCTTTACAGTCAACGTAAGACCGTATATAACCTGTTTTATTCCTTTTACCTTAGAGTGAACGTAAGATACCAGAAACGAGCTCGACTGGAATTCGGCACGAAGTTGGGCATGAACTCGCCGTTTTAGAGTAGATTATTCGAAGAGGCTCTCCGAAATTCTCCATTTGCATCCCACGAGTTGTCAAAAGATTACTCGAGGGAGAAATACCTTGACTGCTGGATCGATGGATCCCCAACTTGGCGATGGACTCGCCGAAGGGCTCTGCAAGCTAACCGAACTGCCTTGTGTGCTCAATGTGTGGAAGTGTTGCGGAGTGCAAGTTTAATTCTCAATAGGTGCCGTACCCATGGCTAGTGTTCGATAAAAGATTCAAGCAACTCTGTCTGTTCTTACAGTCTGGATTCCGTGAGTACTCGCAGTGTACGTTGTATAGCTACATCGGGACAATTTTAACGTACACGTTTGACCTGTGATTTTGTACAGCGTGTATCTGTGTACTTCAACGAATAGTAACAAATGCCAAGATCAAAGTAAACAATGTCTTTGTTGATTCTGTCAACTAATTAAGCCTCGGAATGAGAACGGAGTGAGTGCTTACAATGGGTTAAAAGTTACACGTTTTGTTTCTCAGTCAATCATTCTTGTTTTATTTCAGTTTTTTATTAACTACGTAATCGTGGAATAGGAATATAGTGGACACGGTTAATACTGTTAAATATATCACTGCACAGTGCATCGCCTCATAGAGCAGCTTTGGTGAGAACACCGACCAGACGAACAAGTGATGTCGCTGGATGACGACAACGATTGTGTACACTGCTGTAGGCAGCAACCTACACACGATGAGGTTCCTTGCGATCGTCCACATAGTTCTGCTCAACCTGAACATGAAGATTAACGTTAACAATGGATAATAATCATTGTGCAAGTTTTATTTCAAAGACTCGAGTAATTTCACCAACACTTTTGACGTTTCCTGAGTCACCCAGTGGATCAGCGTCAGATAGGCAAGGACCGGAGCTGAGTATGTGTTAATTGTTATCAGTGCTGCGATGAAAACTGGTCGGTAGGACTCCAAACCGACGTAACCTGCAGCTATGTCGATAGTAGCCAGGCTGTTCGAATTTCCCTGAATATTGAGGTCAAGTTAAAAATATTTTTTAAAATAGAGACCTTAATTCTAATCTCAAATACGTCTTTCTACAAATTACTTTCTCACCTGGTAGAAGTAGAAGACGTTGCCAAGCCACACAAAGATTTGTGCAATGATGGTGTTTCGCCTGTCGGAGGGCTTTACTGTGTTTTTCATGACGGAGCTGACTATTATTTGGATCGGAAGGAGGCAAACGTTGTGAGGCCTGTGCAACATTGCCGAAACAGCAACCCAAGTCTCCAGCATGAAAGTAGAGATGAGTAATGCGGATTTATTTTCAGAACCGTCGTTTCTTGCGGTTCTTCTCTTGTGAATGAAAAGTGTAGTGACATTCCAAGTCAACTTCAGGCAGGACACTACGAGCAGCAGCCAGAATGCTCGCACTTCGTAGATCCCCCTGGCGAGAATGTTAGCTTGCGTTACTCTTTTATTTACAATTGGTTCTCTCTTTCTTGAGGATTTTTAGAAGTTACCTTGAGAAAGGGTAGAATGGAATTCTGGTTACCGTTTCATCGACTGCGTGTCTCAGGTAAATGCAAATTGCCAATGCAATGTGAAGAAACAAGGATTGTCGGTCTCTTTTCGGTCTGCACATAGACCCGATCCAAACCAGGGAAAGGAGCGCTAAATTAGGAAAGGAATTGTACAAAGTAGAATTATACATGCTCAATTAAATTTCTGCACTGAGAATTAGAATTAGATCTCTCCGACACTTCCAGTAATTTTAATGTTTCGCTGAGTAATTCAAGTTTTACCAGCTAGTAAAAGAATTGTCATGGTGAAGTGGGTCTCCTCGTGTTCCTGGAGCCAGTCGGCAATGTCGGGAAGATTGGCAAATTTATTCCCAGTGCTGTTGAGATTCCTGAGGAATCGGTGAACTAGGAGCACCGTCACCAAGCCTGCGGTCTCCTTCAATTTGGGATTCCCTGACTCCTGTTCGAAAATGGGCCTACTCAGAGGATTATTTTCTGGTCTAGAATTAAATGAGAAATCTCCAGGAGGTTCTGATTACCTTCTTCGAGGGAATAAGACTCCGATGTTATTGATGAGTAACGTGACGAGTAACGTCGTCCAGAAAAAGTACCAGGTTTGGTGTTCTTCTTCAACGAAGCTACTGCTACTCAGGCTCAAAGCATGTCCCAAAGAAGCCAGGGGGAACAGCCATTGCCAAAACTCGAATTTTGACATCCTCTTTGCCTGGAAATATTACAAATGTCTAATTACAGGTCTCCGTAAATCCCGCACAAAATCTTCGTAATACGTAAACCCTTAGAATTTATAACTCATCAATTTATTTGAGTACTTAATAAATTTATTTGGGTGCTTACGTCGATGGTCCATAGAGAAATTATCGCGTGTTTTATCGTAGCAAACAGCCAACTTGACAAAAAAATTGCAACGAGTGCCATGATTGTCAATAGACCACTTGAACCAATTTTTTTCACACCGAAATCTTCCCTCTCTTTATTAAAAGGGAATTTTCGCTGATCGATGATCCAGCATATGCTTAGGTCGATCACTAAGGTGTAGATAATTCTCGATCCTTTTGGCAAGGGTTCACTGTCCTCAGTTTCATTCAACAGCACATAAAGAATCTGTAGACATTAAAATCGTCTTTCAGCTGATTTTTGTAAACCAGGAATTATTATTCATTACTATTTATCGAGAATTCTATTTGGTTAACAGATTGACTCAGCCGCGGTACTTGTTGCACCACATTTTAGGCACTCACTACGTTAAGAACGAGTTTTCTACTTGAAGCTAGCTATTGTTCCAAGCTACAATTATTATAATTACTGTCACTGATAACAATGTCCCTGGTTCACTAAATTTACGTAAGGAAAGTAGCACTTCACGTTGAGGTATTTAAATATTCTTTGCTAAGAATTTATTTAACGATAGTTTGTGTCATCGATGTGAAATTATATTCAACTTACTTTGCATAGAACGATTGATGCTAGGATTATTGTGTGTAGATCGTAATCTATTATGTCACTTGCTAGTGTTTCCCTCATAGCTTTAAGAGCAGAGAGGTAAGCTTGACGAGTCTTTGACACATCTTCCTCGGGCCACTCCTGACTTGAACGCAGCCAAGAACCATGAAGTCTCTCTGCTTCGATGTACTTTATATAGCCATCTGTAAATGTAATTATGACTTGTGTAATTTTAGTCGATCATTTAAAATTTTTGTAAGTTAAGTTGGCTTCCATGCATCATAAGGCATCGCAGACTTTTGCCTTACATTGAGATTTGTATTCAGGGAGTGTCTCGAAGTGCCTCAACAGTTGCTTAGAGTTATAATTTAGCAAGAACAGTTGCCTGGAGGTGGACAAATTTCCGAGTAGGTTTAATGAGATTCTGCCGAGGTTGGTCGATGGAATTGGTACACCCAGAAGAACTGACAGTGTCGCTGCGAAATCTACTTGGGCAATTTGTGGTGGTTCTCTGACACCAGTTTTTGGATTTAAGAGTTTTTCTTGGGGACATCCGATACCAACTGTCACCAATGGTACTCGAGTCTCTTCCAAGGTTGCTCCTCCGTGTCCTCCGGAGTCCTTCATCCCATGGTCAGCACAGATGAGTAGTAATGATGAAATACCCTTCGCATTCTATGAGTAATAGATTCTTTATTGTCAAATATTATGCGAGAAGGAATTATTAAGTAAACTTTACCCAGTCGAAGATTTGTTCTTTGATAGTGCCGATGATACTATCCATCTCTCTTAGTTTTGGTATCATTTTAGAATGACGAGGCCCTCCAATGTGTCCAATGTGATCAACACCTAAATAATGTAAAATCAGTACCGACCAGTCATCGTTGTGCAGCTCTCGATAGATGTGCCTAGTTACATTATTATCCACCTGAATTGTGGTGAAATTCGTCTTCTTATTTAACGAACTCTTATGTTCTATTGCAGATTTATTGAAACACTGTACTATTCTTTGGGATGTAGATAGACACATTGACACTCACTTCGGTGAAGTCATTTACGAAAAACGATGTCGTTCCATCTGAACGGTGAAACGAGTCAGGGAAAAGTTTTATCCAAGTATCATCCCCGTAGAAAACTAGTTTATGATTGTGATATTTCGCTTGGAGGATGAAGCTGTCGCTCGTTACAGCCTGCCCACCAAGATTCAATATGACGTCGACAAAACTGGACATCATTCCAGTCATCATTTCCTATTCAAGTGACAAATATTAGATTAATTTTAGAAGGATTAATTCAGCACATAAATGAATTTACCCTAATCTTTGGCATCGTCACTGTAGGTATATTCACAGTACTCTCTTGTAGGCATGCAAGATCATTTTTTAATAACTTGTCAACTGTTGGCATAGCAACCTCTCCAATTGGTCCAGTTACAAAATCCCATCGCAATGCGTCGATTACCATGATTACTACCTTTTTAACTATTGGCTTATAAAGTTCTTCTTTATTTACTCTGAAAATGAATTCTTTTGTGGTGTTGCATCGTAAAACATGAAGCAAAAACTAAGTATTATAGAAACTACGTTTACACATAATATACCTAATGCCGTCTATAGCATCCGGAACATCATTCATAGTGGCGATATCTCCGGAAAAGATTTTAACTGGGAAAAAACCCAGTAGGAATAAATTTATCGCTATCAGAGCAACCACTGTGGCGCAGAACAGTTTGCAATATTTGAGAAACATGTTCCGGTATTGAAGCTAAAACATCTTCAAGAATTTCCTATTAAAAGTACCTCAGTCGAGAAGTAACTTGTGAATAAAAAAAAAAAGATCAATTAAACTCCTGCTCTTTTGGCATCGTTTCCATTCTTCGAATACTCACTTTTCAAATTTACTTCGAGTACTACGCCCAAAGTCAACATAGATCATTAGTAAATAGACATTGCAGTAATAACCTCATTCTCGGTTAAATACCTGATCTCGTAATTTAGAATTCATTATATTTCTTATTTATTAATCGAGATGAGAAATAAATACGTCAAGTGTGTTATTCCATCTCATTTAATGTGATTGAAGTCGCAAAGCGACCGAGATAATCGACAGATAATCAGAACCTGAATTAAAACATTCTAGACGGCGGATATCACATCGAATGGCAAGGAGGTTAATGTACAAGTTTTCACGGCGCTCCGTTAGATGGCACCACCGCCGCGGGCTTCGAATAACTTTTCGCAATTTATAAACTGATAACCACAATTAACGTATACTGGGGTGTAAGAAAATTCTCTTTAACGTAAATAATTTAATAGAAACTGTAGGAGCTTGTACAGAGTGTATGCTAGCGTATATTTTACATTATCTCGTACTGGTTGCGCCTGAGATGGTCGATCCTTTTTCCTCGCGTTGCGCTAAGGATCAAGGCGCTCAGTTTAAGCTTATCTAATCAAAGTTGATGATTTAACTTTCATTCCTCTTCCTCGGTCTTTCGCCTAGCGTCGTGAACTCTGTACTCAGCTCCGGGTGGCCGGTAATTGCCGGTGAAAGGTTGATTATTAATAGCCACTTGTCTGTAGTACTGCTCGATCCTGTTCTCGCGACTGAACGATTTCGGCCCTTCCTCGTACACTGTAGAGAAGAATGATCAATTTTGGGACTCCCAGGACTCTTTGAATACTCTGGAATTTTTCGATCGACTTACCGAAATGATGCACGAACATGAAGAGCCAAAGAGAAACCCCAACCCAGAACATGGCCCACCCGATGATGGACTTCCACTCGGAAGTTGGAGCCTCGAATTCGGTGAACGTTTGACAAAAGCTCGCCCTGTATAAACATCTTTTTTCTTCCAGGCTTAATTTGCGCCAGTCGCCGCGCTCCTTCTCCCGGAGTGCCTGGAAGAAGAGAAATTCTATTAATATACAATACGATACGACCATCAAGACTCAGTCTAAACCCCTGAGTATAGAAACGTGAGATTTAAATTTTCATATTCCTTTTCCAACTTCTGAACCAGACACACTCACCATAAAGTCCGGTGTACATTCTCTGTATCGGATCGCTGGAAATGGAAAATCGCAGCGGTCTATGTAGCTGTATTCTCCGTTCATGCCGAAGCCTACGACCTCCCGGTTGCCGATTTTTGCCCGACCGTAAGCCCCGGCGGAAGGCACACGCATTCTCAGGGTTTGATTTCCTCCTAGAAGTCGCAAGACTCCGCAACAATTTCGCGTTCCAGCCCTCAAGGCGAACATCCCTCCGCGTTTTTCGAAGGAGGTTGCTTTCAGGACGCCACAGACCTCGCTAAAAATCCAGAATGTTTATTAAAGCCGCCTGGTTCTTACTTTTCGTGGGTCTACTCACCGTCTGGTTGGGAATTCTGTAAACGGAACAGGGTAATGTCAACGTTCCTCCGAATGGACATTTCGGACGGAATCGAGAAACAAATGCTAGACGCGAAATTACGGGATGCTCTTGTTAAGGGGAGGGCTTTTTATCTGGATTTATTTGACCCGAAATATCAGAGATTTTAGAGATTTTTCCTCATGCCAGTCGTCCTGTAAATATGGTCAGTGTCAGATCAGGAAATTCGGTAGAGTTTTCTGCCAAATATTCACACTTGTATGCGTGCATATTATTAAGATGTTTCTGGCTTCAATGAAAAGGATAAAGTATTTGTGGTCCATTTTTTATTCATTTTTATCTTAGCTGTTAGCTCCGTAAAGAGATTTACATTGATATTTACGTTACATTTTATATTTAAGCTCTTTTTAGGTGCGTGTTCTTGCTAAGTGTGGACCAGTTTCGGGTTTCCGGCGCGAGATGTCGCCATTCCTTAATAGCAGAGAAACAGATCACGCAGTTTCCATTATTCTTTGTAAATATTGAGCCTTTTTGTATGTTTTAAAAGTCTCGTGAAAAATGTCATCACAAATGGTGAGTACGGTTGTTTGTTGATTATGCTGGGCCAGTTGTAAGTCAGAGAGAGTTTCTTTTCTGGAATATTGTGTAGGAAACTTAGATTTATGAGATCTAACCTAAAAAAATGTTGAGGCTTGCTGGTCATGTTAACGTGGTATGTTTCAGGCTGGAGATACGCTTCGAGTTTTGCATCTACCAGCTCATTTGAGTGACAGCCAGAGGGACGTTCTGCTCAAGAAATATGGAGCCACAAAGACAAGGACCGTTAGAAAGTCCGATAAGTATGCCGCAACGTTTGCTGCATTTCCATCGAAGCATGCAGCTACGGAAGCGTTTCTGCGCCTGCATCAGCTGCAGGTGAAAGGACGCTACCTTTCGGTGGAGTTTGCCAAACAATCGATTCCCTCTGACTCGTCGGCAGAGTTATTAGAGGCAGTGGGTGCTGGAAAGGACGGTGCTAAAGACTCGTCGCATACGGAGCATCTGCAAGCTTTTCTGAAGCAATTAAATAGCTGGACAGGAAATCATGTATTTACACAACCGCCATCTCCTAATGTTTGTTACAAGTATCCATCGCCCACAAAGAACACTCTGTTGAGGATAGCGATTCAGCTTTTAAAGGAACCGGCATTTTACACACAGGTTAGTCGTGCAATTCCATATTTTCTTTTGTTTTGGAACACACAATTTATTTAACTATTTTTCAGGTATTACATTTAATGAACAGAATGAACTTGCCTCCCCCATTTGAGGAACTAGAGGGAGAATTTCCAATGCTGGCAGAGGCGTACGACATGGAGAGGTATAAGAATATTTTTGGAATCCGTAGAACGGGTAAGGATGACGGTAGAGAAGATGAGGATGAAGAAGAGGAAGAATCGGAGCTCGAGTCCGAAGAGGAACAAGACAGGCCTGTGGAAGTGATCCCAGCGAAACGGAAACGTCTTCAGCCGACAAAACGTCTGAAGATCCCTAAATTTGTAAATCCTGCAAAACAAAAGATTTCCACCGCGAGTCAAAGGCCAGTGAGGCCGGAAGATGTATTTGAGCCTGTGCAACACGACGAGGCAAAGAATGTGAAAATCGAGATGAAATTGTCGGAAACTGTGATGAATAGTGCGGAAACAATACCTGAGAGCAGAATGGAAGTAGAAAGTGGTTTTGGTCTGATGTTCCCGGCGAAAAGAGATGAGGAGGAAGAATCTATGCCTCGAGTCTCTGACGATGACTCCGAAGTACAGGAATGTATCACGTCGGAACAGCTAGCAAGTAACAGGATATCTGCGAATGGTAAAAATACTTTTCACAATGAACTCAGTTTTGTATTATTCTCGCATCTTATTGGAAATTTGCGTTTTAGACCAGAGACTGCTTCCCGTGTTTAAAAACTACCACGCTGGGAAACCGTCTTGTCGTTTGTATATAAAAAATCTTGCGAAGCAAGTAGAGCCAAAGGACCTCGACTTCATCTATAGGAAGTACCTACTTCCAAGCTCAGAAAAGTTCGAATCAGAGTAAGTTATCGTTGAAGGCATTAATGGGATCATTTTTGTAGGTGAGGAAACTAAACGAATCTTCTTTCTAGGTTTAATGTAAGATTGATGCAGGAGGGACGGATGAAAGGGCAAGCATTTGTCACGCTGCAAAACCTGGAGCAAGCCCATTTAGCTCTCGAGGAAACTAACGGCTACATATTAAAGGACAAGCCGATGGTCGTGCAATTTGCGAAAGCACCAAAGAGCTAATCTCGAATCAAAGACAAAGACTGCTTCTCTATTTATACCGCTCTAATTTATACAGCGCGTTGTTGTACATATATAAATATAAAGTAATACGGTTTGGATTTGGAGATGGAACACAGTAACGATACGAATAATTTATAATTCGTAAATTCACGTGGCCTTTCGAAAACGAAGCATAACAATTTGGAACATTACAATGATAAAACATTACACGTTCCCGAAGGAAATATCGCGATAAGTTTCATAAATGCATGCAGACCAAAATTCTAGATCCTATCTTGGACCCAAAGTACTTAAATGACTTAAATTGCATTATTGCCGGAAAGAGCTTCAAATGATACATCAGAACTTCTTTTGTCGATTAAAGTTTGACTGAACATTTTTCAACGACTTCGCGTCATAATCAATTTCGTTGGATTTCAAACGCGGTGAAATTCCGTTAAATTTGAATTGCCGCGTTTCTGAGGTGGCCGCCATCTTGGTTCTGGAAGTGTTCGCAAGATGGTGGGCGGCGTATCCGTCGCCGCAGTCGCCATCGCAGCGCGCGCACATCGAGTGCCGTCGCAGCTGTTCTCGGTCGGGTATTACGCTCGTATCCGGCACGCTCGGCGGCTGCGTGTCGGCGTTGGCACCGCGCGTCATCTCCGTCGGCCCTCGTTTCCCGTCCAAGTCCCGGAAATCCTCGTCGAAACGCGAGCTGTACCGATCTCGACATGGACGCGGCGCTCCTGCTTCAGCACACGCAGTATGCGGTCCCCGTTGGCATCGTCCTCGTTTTGGCGGTCCTGGTCTTCGCGTTCGGCTTCAAGAACGCCGAGCAGCCGCCCTTCGGCCAGCTCTCGGCAGTCGCCGACCTCGAGCGCAAGCAGGCGGGCAAGAAACGCGTCAGGACCCGAGAAAAGGTTTGTAGGTTAAGATCAGTTGAGGCCGTGGACGCTCGTGAGAAGCATGCATATGTTAGCCATTTCGCCATATGGTTCAATGTAGGTAAAAGCATATCTGCTGTAAAAGATTCCGGAGAGATGTAGAGGATACGTAGAGCCATGCGTAACTATGCGATAGTTGATTCTCAATTTAACGTCTTAATTGCAGAGATCGGCCAATGGCCAGGTTACATCGGAGAAGGCCAGTCCAGGCAAGAAGGCTTCTCCGGCTAAAGCCGAGTCCGTCAAGAAGAGCAGTCCTAAGAATGAGGATATCGACGGCAAGCTGAAGGAGCGTAAGCAGAATGATGAGGAGCCTATTTTAGTCACGAAGAAGAAAACTCCAACTGCGCCTAAGCCTGGGAAGGAGAACAAAGTCGAACAGAAGAATAAGAAGAATGCGAAGAATTTAATTCAGGAGAAGCCGGTCGACTATGACGATGGTAAGGTTATGTGGTTATTGGGTGATTATTACGAATGGTCGGGTTTTAAGAAGAGGTTTGAGAGATTTAAATCGTGACTTCAGGCGACTGGGAGCAGGCTTATTCGAGGAAGGATAAGAAGAACAAGAAGAAGGAGGAGGACACTCCTTCTAAGAAAAGTAAGAAGTCTTCAAAGAAGGCAGAGATTGTCGACGACGGCCTGATAAAGGAGAAGGAGTTTGAGAAAGTGGAGATCAAGGACAAGGTTGCAAAGGAAACGGAAAACAAAGAACTGAAAGAGAAGGACAAGAAAGAGGTTGTCCTGACTCCTATTATCGATGGAAACAGTTCCAAGGAAGAGGAGCCCGAAGTGAAGGACGAGCTGATAAATAAGGTAATTAGCTAAATAAATAATTAATATTGAGTATATCTTGAAACACACGCGCTTTGTCCACAGTCGGAAAAGATCGAAAAAGAGGAAAAGAAAAGCAAGTCGAAGAAGGGAAAAAAGCGTAGCGAGGGAGAGAATTCACCTCCTGGCTCTAATCCAGTTACCCCTAAGAAGGAACAAAAGGTGTCGGAGAAGGTGATCGAGAAATTGCCAGAGAAGAAAGTAGAAGAGGTTAAGAAGGATAAGGAGATTAAGGAGGTTAAGGAGGATAAAGATATTGAGGAGATTAACGAGGTTAAGGAGATTAAGGAGGTGGAGGTACCCAAGGTGCCAATTATCGAGAATCCCTCTGGAAAGGGTGGTGTCATGTTCGACGAATTAGGCGGTAAGTCGAGATAATTTCAATGTACTCCTATTACAATCATGTTACAATTTCTTTCACTTGTTTGCAGACGCTTGGACGGAAGCCAAGCCTCAGAAGAAGATTAAGAAGAAGGCTCGCAGGGAGAACTGAGAACGATGAGATGATTTAAACCCCCTCGGTGAGGAAGACCGAGAGCCTGCCGGGTCGAGAAGGCAGATCTGTCACCTCAGTTGGAGTGGGTGTGCTTTAGTTAAATTAATTACCTAACACCTGACCAAATTCAACCTCTTCCCTCTGTACATATTACCGTCCGGATGGGTATTTTCGATTCGTCAGAGGGCTTGTCGGACCCGGTGACAGCTGTCATAAGAGACTAGATGGATATTTTTGACTCGCTGAACACTCTGCCATTGACATCTGTCATGCGAGCAGACTGTTGGTCCGAAACACTTAAATCCAGGTTCGCCGCAACTGTCAGCGAGGTAGTAAATGGAAATCTAGATTGACCTAGACTCGTGCAATTTGCCTTGATCGTCGTTTTGAGGTTAGATCTCAGGTTTGACGAAGACTTTAGTTGATCCTGTACACGGTCTGGAGAATGTTAAACTCCTCCAGTTGGTGCAGTATCGCAGTAATTCCAGTAGTTCCCTCATTTTCATCGTGATATATTTAATCGTACACTCCGGTAACTCTTTCTTCTTCTGCGTTATATATAGTTTATAACGTGATGGTCTGCAGCGCATGTCATCAATGTGCGTTAGGGATTAACTTTCGGTGTAGCTCGTTAGAGTTTGTTAACTAGGCCTCTTGCAAGGGTCCAACTCTCTCGGAGGCTTTATTATATGTACACATAATCTAGAAGTAAGGTTATCAATTCCGTTGGCGAGCACTTCCGTCTTGCTGCACGTTAATTAAGATTCGAAATTACCCATTTATCGACATTAGTCAGCGAAAATGTAAGCTGATACCGTGTGGCCTGTCGACTCTGTGTTTGTGCATCGGATCGAAGAGACACGGCAAGACATAACGATGGGTTCCCCTGCGAAGCTTGCCTCTAATATCGGACCCCCTTGTATATTTTATCTAGAGCGCCGCAGCTTATATTTTATCACAAAATGTGTTGAAAAACGTGGAGAGAAAAAAAAAGAACAAAATTAAAATGAAAAGGACAAAAGGGAAGAGATGGTTGCATAAACTCTGGCTTGCATAGGAAGCCATCGAAGGCATTATTAGAGATGTCAGGTGCACGTTATGTGTGGGAATTTTTAATGGTGTACCGAGAGTGGAAAGGAAATACTTGCCGATGAGTTAGAGTCGATTGTTTTTGATGATAAATATTTCTCTAAGGTGTTTGGGAGGGGGCGAAGCAGGTCAGGGCGGAGATGTATTGCAATGATAGTGCAACATTGTGATAAGTGTACTCGATACCTGAGCTCATTAACTTCGAAGTGTCTCTTAAGCGAGAGCTATTATTCCATTGCGATTATCTTCGACTATTCCGGAAAGGTGGAAGAGGGATTAACGATTAAAAACCGAAGGAACAATCTTAGGAACACGTGCAAGGGAGAGTAAGGTTAGGGAAAAAAATGATAATACGCAGCTGATTATATATTTTGTACAATTATTATCGTCCCGGACTCTGACTAAGTGTTGAATATGCGTAGACATACGTACTGTACGTACATATATGTATATTATATAGTTATGTACAAAGTGAAGGGGTGCGATCACTGTTAAGGAGGATTGCACTCGATGTAACACATTGTATCGGAAAGGGTCATCGTGTAGATTTGTAACAGGCTTCGAGGGCTCCGTGTTTGTTTTTTTTCCCCCGTTTAAAGGATAAGATGATTGTTGCAGTTTTATTATTAACGCTAGGAGAATTAATGTTAACCCGAGTGCGATCGGTACCCATTCGATGCGTTGTATTTAAATTGGATGCGGTGACACATTTGCTACGCTGCATATTGTGTGCCCAGCGATGAGCTCCAATTCCATCCTGCATTTTTGTTTCCTCTGTTTCTTTTCCTCTAAAAGGAACTATTCTATTTCATTTTTTTTCTTTTACTCTGTTCTATTGTTATGTTAAATATTATTCCACTTGGAGGGGATCGGAGCTCTTCTCTGTGAGAGTTAAATAAGTTAGCGGAACAGAAGTACTTTGTAAATTTGTTATCGTAGGCTATGCAACTGGCTTACTTTGCGGTGTGACACTCTCTCAGAGGTGACTCAGACTTCTTCGTTTCCATGTGGCCACCGAGGCATTGTGAAGGCACTATTGTTTGTCCCTTTAAGGCATCGTTGGCAGTTTTCGAAGTAGTTCCTCCTCGCCGATTATTCGTATCTCTGTGCCAAAAAGGATTTGCCACTCTGCGTCGATGCCTATTCTATCCATCGATGACTTAGAATCTCTGCGGAGTCTCTGTGCAAGAGGTGCCAACTGATTTGCATAAATAATAAGCGTAAAATCCAACATCAATTTTAAATTGCCCACGAAGGAAATGACAGACAAGTCTAAATCTTTTAGAAAACTAACGAATCGTCCAGTTTTTACGCATTAACATGAAATACGTATCTTTTTAAAATACCCTTTTCTTTTTTTTAACGCAAAAGTGCAATTCCCACCTTTTATGCAAATTCGTCGGCACTTCTATTATGAGATAAGAATTTGTTTGGGCAGATTTGGAGATGTTAAAGGATCCAAAAAGCGGGGAAAGGAAGAAGAAAGAAAGGGGAAACGAAGATTACGAGGGACCGTGTATAATCAGTCGTGCTTTTCCATGTCCTCGCGATAACGATTAGATGTACTTAATTAATATTGATTTCCCTGCATCGAGGAAAGGCGGAACGGCCAGTGGAATTATTGGGGAAAAGAGGTAGAGGATGGGGATATAACGAGGGAATGAATTATCGAGGCTCGGAAGAAAGGACCTCTGTAATTTCCAAGGCGTATATTTTTGTAAACGAGCCGACGAATTTTTCCTCCCCCTAGTTCGCGCCCGTCATTGTATAATACACTGTTACAGAGTGGAAATGTCATATTTTGAGTATCACACTTGTACATATACATATATTATATATCTATAAATATATATATATATGTATGCGAGCGTTTTCATGTATTACGGGGCGGCGCAGCTCTTGGCGGGGACGTTTTATTCCTCGGAAGGAAATGGGAGAATAAACGTCGTTTCATTCCTTAGGTGAAGGATCTTCTTGAGTGTGGTTGTTACGGAGTACTTAGATCGAAAGAGAAAATCCTAGATGATGGGATGGAAAAATGGCAAATATACATTTCGAGGGTAAAGAGTAACTTTCTTGCCGATGTGTCAGACCGGCGATGGGAAATGTCGGAGACGGTGTTTCAGTTTTTTTTTTAGCGTTAATTTTTATAAAAGGCTCGGTTTGGATTTTTCTCGGGTTTCTTTTTCTTTTGGTCCGTTCTTTCTCCTGGGTCTTCCTTATTTTCTGGTACTCGACCTGGTCAGACCGAGAACTTCGCTCTTGTACTAGATATTGTTAATCGATGCACCGTTGTACAGGTACCGAGAGTAATGTGGTTGTTCGTTATTAATTGTTGAAGGGAGAGAAATTAGATTAACCGGTTGGAAACGAGGAGAGAAGCGGATAGACGCGTTATCATTAAAGGCTATATTTTTTCCAGCATTTATCCGCCGGGTGTTTATTAAGCCTCGCGTATACGGAAATGTTAACACGGGGAGGTATCTTAATTTTAATTCTTAATCCTTAATTAATGACTCGCTGTCTATCGGAGATTACGCACTCTCTTTCTCTCCATACTTTACGTTGACCTTTTCAAGCTTTCACTTGGGCAGGAATCGCTGTATAACTTTAGTCCTTAATCTTTAATCACGGACACGTGGTCTCGCGAAGATCGTACTTTTCATTTTCTTTCCATACTTTACATAAAAAAAAAAATTTAAAGGCTCACTGGCGATTTCTTTTTTTTTTTTTAATCCTCGGGCCACCTGTAATTAGTCGTCTTTAATGGTTTGGTAATTCTACGGTTAATTTTACTCGGCTGCCACGATGTTTAACCCTTCCGAAATTTACATATCGCTTCAATTTAGCCATTATTCGCGGTTTAGAATTAATAAAAATTCCGGCCTCGAGACCACGTGTCCGTATTCCTGATACTAAAATGTCTCGTTAAGGGTCAGACCTCCTCCTCGACCTCTTGCACATCACCTAGGTGTCCGTGGACCTAGATTTACGCCTTCTTCCCGAATTTGCTGCACTTCCTCCTGAACCTCTTCTTCTTCCCCTCGCCCTCGTCCTCCTCGTCTTTCTGGCTCCTCTCGGTCTTTGACCTCTTCTCGGTCTCCCCTTCTTTTGCGGGTTTCCTGACCTTGCGAACTAGCAACCTGACGCTCTTCCTCGGGGTCCTCTTCTTCTTCCTCGGCGTCTTCTTCTTGTCGTCCATGCCGGCGATTATCGCGGCAGTCTCCGGGGAGGGTTTGCTCTTCTGCTGTTGGGGGCTCACCGTTACCCTGATGAAGGCCTCGTAGAGGATGTCCCCGCAGCTCTCCCCGGCGCAGAACTCTTCTCCGCACTCGTCGCAGACCTTCACACAGCTCTCGATTATGCCTGCTCGGTTTTTGTTCCTTTTTATGGGACTCGTCCTGCACCGGCGTTCCCTTGCTGCCGTCCTCAGCTCCAGTTTCCCCATCTCCACCTGGGATAAATCAGTATTAATAATTGTTAATAAGGACCGGTCGCTCTTTCCTTTAGGGTCACCGCGATAGTAGCATGGGAATGGTTGGGCTTGCTCCATGTATCCTCCATGGGGAATACCATGGGATTCTATACGACCTCGTGATCGTCGAGTTGGCTTCAGGGGTCTTGAAATTTTTTTTTAGAAAATTTTTGGGGGTCTTTAGGGGCATGTTTACCAGCCGCGAGAACATGTCCTCGTCCTGCCGGATCTTGGGCCTGATGGGGGTCAGCATCCTCCAATCTATCGGGACCTTTTGCAACTCCTGGAGGTTCAGTCCTCTCATGTCCGGGGGAACTGGGTCCCCGTAGCCCCAGTCCTTTTCCAGAGCCTTTAACTCACGTTTCGTGATCTTCCAGGAGAAGTCCTTGTCTCGCACCTTCGTGTTCTCGCGTCGCACCTGGATTTCGTTTCCTTTAGTGATCTAGGACTAGAGCGAGGGAGGATAGGCTGACCTGGTGACGAGCAAACTCGGTTTTTTTAAGGGTTTAAGACCTAAATGTATCTGCATATAAAATACTAGAAAATCAAGATTGTAAGACCTAGATCAAGATCAATTTTGCTCATCACTAGATCGACATTGACGATCACGTGCAGGACCTTTTCTGGCTTGATCTTGTAATCCGGACATTGCTCCAGGAGCCGCTTTAGCTCCTGTTCGGAATTGCAGGTCGCCCTGCTGAAGTCGGGGATCGCGGCTCCGCCCTTCCTCTCGTCGTTCAGGAGGTCGTCCAGCTGAAAGGCCATCCTCGAGGGCCTTTAATTCGCTCTGGAAGGACGACAAAATCCACCCTGTAGCCTCTTGGACCCCCCAGGTCGCGCCTCTCTCTTTCTCTCTCTCCCCCTTGGGTCTTAACCTTACAGCGAATCTATTTCAAAGGAGAAAAGGAAAATACGCAAAAGAAAAGCGTGCGCTCCGGTGCTCCTTCTTCGTCCTCTTAAGGGCTTCTGGTATCTCCTCGAGGCTCGGTCAATAGACTTCCGAGCCTGGCGAGACCAGACATCTCTGGTCCCATTCTCGTTGCTTCATCAGGAGACCCTGAAAATGATTTGCCAATTTTTTTTTTCATTTCGCTCCTTTGGACGGTCCACTTTACTCTTTAAGGCGACGCGAAAGTGACGCTTCGGGTTTCGCTTATGACACTTTCCTTCGAACTGGATGCAACAAATAGTCTGACACTTTAACACGTGATCAAGGAGGTCCTGGCGAAGGTTTTGAAACTCCTGAATTTTTTTTATCACGAACCAAAAGGAGATAGTTTTTTTTATTTATTTTTTTTTCCCCAGAAAAATGAAATTTCACCGGCATCGGGTGCTTCTTTAAGGCCTCCCTAATCACGTGTTAACGTTTTAGATAACTCGGTGCACTTGGCTGGGAGAAAAGCTTCACAGATGCTTTGACGTTTCAATGTGTACAGAGTAACACTTTCATGCCACCTTAAGGTTACATTCTTAACGATAAATCGCAGCGATTTGTTGCTTGGGAAGTTAGAACATGCTCTTTTATGGCGTCACCGAAGGATCAATTAAATCTTGAGGATCAGTTTTTGTGGAGATTTATCGCGACGATTTTTCGTTTCTTGGGTATGCCACCCCCTTAAGGCTCACGTTTCTCAGAGAAGCCAGCTGCGACAAGATGTCTCTCCCACACCAGGAATCCGAATGCTCGTTGATCTCCTCGATCGTTATTCGATCCTTTTCGTTCGCCTCTCTACCTCGGGATTTATCCCTAGGGTTGATCTTCAATGGCTCCACGGTTACTCTTCCGTTTTTATCGATCCTTAGAGGCACGATCGAGGTAAGGCTGTCCATTGATAAATCCCCGTCGTAGCTGTCGATCTTTAACTTCCTTCGGGCTGTGCCTCTCGTCTTCGGCTTCGCCGTGATCGGTTTCCTGCGATCCAGCGAGGGCGATCTGTGCAGGACAATATTAATTTTTTTTTTTTTCCAATAAAAATTAAGGCGATGGTTCATAATAGGATTTTTAAAGAGATAATGTTTCATGGGTGCAGGGGTGTTTTTTAGGACATCTCCATTTATATGGAAGATTTTAAACAATTTGGTACACCTAGAAAGGGAGGAAAGTTATTGTTAATAATCCCTCAGACGGCACTTTCGTATCGCCTTGAGTATATCGTATTATGTTATATCTGCCATATTAATGATAATTTAACGAGGGAATTGAAGTAAGTACCTCGACCCCTCGTCGCTTGTTTCCACCTGTCTTCTTCTCAGTCGCAATCGCCTCTGATAGTGTGGGTCCTTCTCGCTCTGGGTCCGATAACGAGTTCCTGGCCTGTGTCAAAGCCTGACGTTACTTAGAGTGTCGATACACTTGTTCCAATATTATTTATTAAACAAGTGCCGCCGCCTGTTTCTCGGCTTTACGTCGGTTTACCGATTGGCGTTCCATCGAGGCCTCGACTCGAGACTCGTCCTGGGCTGAGACTTCGACCTGGAGAAGGTCTTCATCGACATGTCCTCCGAGGTGCCCAAACTCGTCGACCTTCGGTTATCGAAACGAATTGGTCGTGTTAATTGATATTAATTAATATCCTCGTTCCACCGTAAACCTAACTTATTGGGTCCTCCTATAAATTCGATTTCCTAGGAATTTTCTTTGGCAGAAAATCGATACACTTATTATTTTTCTGCTTATATCAAACTGTCAGAGAGAGGGAGAATGTTAATAATTAATACACGGTTCCTTTCCTTGGAAAAGGAATTAATTTTTCGAGCCTTTAGAAATTTGTCATGGGCCCCATGGAAGTGGGCAATTTTTTTCCAATATTTTATAAGGAGTTCAAGGAGGACTAAGAGGTCCTTGAGCCCTCCTTAAATCCGAAATAAAAAATATTCGGCAGTTCGAGAAATTCGTAAGGACTGAACATTTTATTTATTTATTTATTTTTTGAACGAATGGAACCGTGTATTAATTAACAGTCTCTGTCAGTTTCATTCAAGGACCTTTCTAGGTCCTTGAGGCCTCCTTGAATCGAGCAAAGGATCGGGAGAATAAAAAGATCTTCACTTCTCGCCATCCCTGCGGTTCGAGTTCGTAGCTTCCTTCCTCTCCTTCATGGTGACGTCCTTGATGCCTCCTTCCTGGAGGTCCTGGAGGTCCTGGAGGTCCTTGAGGTCCCTTTCGACGTTGGTCTGCGTGCCGAAATCTCTCCCAGTGGGGATCCTGTATTTGCTGGGGGTCAGCAGTCTATTTTCCACCCTCCTGGGGGAGATGATCGTCCTGCAGGATGTCCTCCAGGACTCTGGACTGCCTAGGCCATGGACCAACGCGTTGAATCCGCATTTCAAGGTGTTCGAGGAGTTGTCCGACTTGCTGGACTTTTTTGGAGACGAGGCGACCACTAAATTCAGGACGTTGGTTCCATTAAGGATCTCCGAGTCCTCGATCCTGCCGCTCAGGACGATCGCCACGTCCTTGCTGACCGGGAGTCGAATTATACTGCTGTTCTCTTCTAGATCCTCCGAGGATTTACTTGAGGATTTCCTCGATGACTTGCTTGAGGTCTTGTCCAGGTCGCATTCCCATTGGTTGTTTAATTGCTTGGTCTCCTTCTCGTTGATGCTCTCCTCCAGGATCTTGGGTCCTGGAGATGAAAATAATTACTGGTCTTAACGGTAGTAGTTGAAAGGCAATTATTGAATGGTAATTGTTCATGGGAAATTATTTAACAGTGACTTGTTCGACTATTGAAGCAGCAATGAAATGAAGTATGAAAGAAGATTCGCTTTGAAATATAATCTTCGATTACCGGCTGCACTTTTCGTGTAAGGATTCTCTTCAATCGCAGGACTCTTTAAATCCTCCGAATTTAAAACGTAGGTCGGCTCGGAATTTCTCTCCTTAAAAGTCGGCTCGAACATGTCCTCTCCTTTTCGAACGCTTTCCTGATTCTGGCGAGGGTCCTCCTCGTCTCTTCTTCGTCTCTGCTTCTTCTCTTCCCTGGCGAGTCTCTCGGCAGCCTCCAAAACTTCTCTCATGGCTTCCGCCTTCTTCTGCTTAGCCTCCTCCTTCTCTTTGAGCCTTCTCTGCTCCTCCTCGAACCTGAAAATTGGCGGAAAAAAAATAATTCCTAGTGAAGGTGGTTCAATTTTGAAAATTAAGGTGAAGTGAAATCCCCCTCAAATCAGTCGATTCTAATTACACTTTTTTAAAGGGTATTGCATCGAGCCCTCGGAAACTTTGACATGTCACCCGTGAGCACCTAGGAATTATTCTGACAATTTGGAAAACTTTGGATTTTTTATAAAAATCTTTTAACTTAGCCCGGACCAGAAGGTTCACTTCACATTAATTCCCTGGTTAAGGAATATCGATTAATAGTTAAAGGATCTTCGCTCGACCTCTCCTTCTCCTTTTCTCGCTCTCTGCGGATCCTTTCCTCCTCTTCTCTCTCTTCTCGGAGACGACGCTCCTTCTCTTCCTTCCTCTGGCGATCTCTCTCTTCCAATTGTTGCTTGATCGCGCTCTGCAGCTCCAGGGCCTTCTGCCTTCTTGCTTCTCGTTCCTGGAGGACGTCCGCGTCCACCGGGATGTTCTGGCCCCTTAGGTACGTCTTGTTCGAGTCCGATCCTGCGGATCCTGTGCTCGAGGTGTCGGGACTGCTCGTACTGTCGTGGGTGATTACCAACACCTGCGAGAAACAATTACTGATAAGCGAAATCAATTTTGCAGTTCCGCAAAAAAGACAAGACCGTAATTGCAGGACCATGATCGAAATTGGAGGGTGCGAGATCAAGATCGAAACATAGTAGTTTTCGTTAGGAACAAAATTAACCAAAAAAAAACAGGAAAATTACAAAAAGTGTCACGCCTTCCGGTGAAAGATCGGTACAATTGCCCTTAAATGTTATGGATTTTTTTTTCTTTTTTTTTATGGACCTGGCTATTGTGATCCAGGCGAGAGAGTCCTCTCTCCAGCCAGGACGGAGGTGGAGGATCGTTTCTCAGATTTTCCTGACTCCAAACTCCACCCCATCGGGGCCTGTTCAGCTCCATCGCCCTGAGTTCCGAGATCTTCCTGGAAGGTGGCAGGGATCCCGCGGGACTCCCATGGCAGGGGTTCCTCCAGGTGTTCTCGCCCATCTTGCACCCGGGTAAGAGGCTGGCTGGATTTGCGTGTAATTTAAAGAGACAAGTTATTTAATTAATTATTGATCTTGAGATGGAACTACTGCTAAGTTACTTTCTTTTCTTCTAGGGGATCCATCTATTATTTAAACAATGGATAGGACCTTGTGTTGGTGGTAGAGGCGCCTCTAGGGAGTCGCTGGCGTATCCGGATGTCTCCCCTTCGCGTTCCTCTCGAGGAGAGCCGTACCTGTGCAGGTCGCCTCGGTTTACCTGGTGCACCAGCTGACTCTGCTTCTGCACGTAGAACCTGGAATTCTCGGCCTCGAGTTCCCGCTGCTCCTGGAAGTATTTAAAAAATTGTTATTAATATTAAAAACCTAGATTAGTGCACATAGTGTGCTATGTCGTAGGTCATGGGCGTAGGGTATATGTACTCGTAATTAGTAGTAGCCTGTTGAATTAATTTTACTAGAATTGATAGGTAAGGCCCGAAATGTCGGATACATACCTCCGCTGAAAATGCATTAGCTCATTCGAAAGATCCTATATTTTTCTACGTACTTCGGTGTTTATCATTAAAAAAAGATAATTCTTTTGAATGACCTAATACATGGTTAAATATGTATTCAGCTTGTCGCGTGACAGGTGACGAAAGGTAGGATATCGAGCCAGTGCCAACTGGTACCGGTTTGCAATCAGACTTATTCCTTAGACCGGCATGTTCTGTATCTACATATATACTAGTACATGTAAATACGTATACATATATTAACCGGGGAGACCTGGCATTAATCCAAGCACAGACCAGGGGGCCTCCCTCGAAAAGAACATTTATCGTCACGCAAACCGCGGTCCAATAACTCTAGGATTATACCCCAGGAGAATTGACTTTGTCATGACAAGCGATTCGCATTAACGGACGATCTGTCGTCCTAGGTTTGCAATTACTCGCGGCCTAGTTACTTGTACAATTTCTCTGGCCCATTTTTTGAGAAGGCGATGTACACGGTCGGGGAAGAAAATCATTCCTAGAGGATTACTGGCTTAAGGGGGTGCAAAAGTCCCCTTAAAAAAATTAATTTGTCACACTTTCCGCCGAGTTGGGGACACAGAATCGTTTCAGAACTTTACAACGTGAATTTGGAGGTTCTAAGACATTTTTTTAATTTTTGTACGAAAGGTGAAGAGTCAGGGGTGTTAGGATCTTCCTTGTAGACTTCATAATTACGTTGTAAAGTGTCGAACTAATTAATGCTCTCGGGTCACAGAGAAATATTGGGATCGACGTCTTTTTGACGACTTTTTTAAGTCTCCTTAAGGGGAGAGAAATGGAGAAAAATCGGGAAATGTTTCCCAGGAATTCTGGAAGGAAGTCGTATCGTGCCAGCCCTCTCTTCTTGGCCTCCATTCCGTCGGGGTGAACAACCCTCGGCACGATATGAATCGATTCGATAAAGGCCTCCCTTTCTTTCGCGACGTTTCAACCCCTCTGTAGAATTGAACCTGCCTTCCCCCTTTTCTGCGATTTTCCATCCCGTTCCGGAAATTTCCCCCAATATGGGATTTTTCTTCCTCGTTTAGGAGATCTTCCTCCGAATGGGTGCACCTAATCGTAATCAAACGTCCCCACGTGGACGTGGAGGCAATAAGAAAGATCCCGACACCCATGAGATTTCACTTTCGTTTTTCATTTTAAATGTCTTTAGACACTTTTCTATATTTTTCTGTAAAAGGTGAAATTTCGAAGGGGTGTCAGGACCTTCCTTATAGTCTCCCCATTCACGTTGTAAGGAACTATTCGGTAAATCGAGCTGGGAAAAAAGTTTTATAAACAATACCTCTTCAATGCCACTTTCACTTAAACTTAAGTTTAGAGTTGTGCCCATAATTATAAAAGTGGTCTAAGTCATATATTTTTTGTTTCGAAATTACATTGAATTAATTTCGTTTGAAATAATATGGCGTGAAATAACTGATAAACTCATTTTTTTTTTAATTTTGACTTAGACCTCTTTCATAATTATGGGCACAGTTAAGAGCATTTCACCTGGGACAGGTGCTCCTTGTTTCGTATCGGCGGCAGACTGGGACTCCTCTTCCTCGTCCTGGTGATCTCAGGATTCTCGTGGAATCCTGGGAAACATTCCCCAGGAAATTCGGGGCCTCTCAGACTTTCTAAGCTCTCAGTCTCGAGACTTCTCAAGCTCACCGCGCTCCCGTAATGTCCTCCTCGCAGGGGTTGCGTGCTCTTCGGATTTATTTCCGTCAGGGACATTCTCGTGCTCGTCGGGTATGTGCTGTGCAACAGGACAGATCGTAAAGACAGGGCGAGCCCTCGTACCTCCGAAAAGGAAGGACGCTTGTATCCTCAGAAACGAGCGAAAACGTCGATAAGAGGTCCTGGGAAAAGGACATTGGCAAATTCATTATGCTTAGCGTTTCTTCCTGACAACCTTTTTCTGGGAGACCTCATTTCGAGCGATATATATACTTTTTTTTTTATACACGAAATGTACAGACAGTTCTCTCACTTTACGAATTTTTATTTCGACATTTGCTTAATTTTACGAATATCTGTTTTTAAGATTGCCTGCGTTACACATTTTCTTTTTTTTTTTTTTTCATACGGACGTTTGCGGGGAGTCAATTAATTCGTTAATGAGAGAACTATTTAGGGCAAGGTGTAGGCGAGCGTAATTACGAATTTAATCGATTATGAGGGTAATTGAATGTGAATTTACCGGATCGCCGTGCGGACAGAATCGTTCGCCTTGAGGGGAGCCCATTGTCCGCAGAGTCTCGCCATTTCTTCTGGGGATTTCAGATTTCAAAGCTCGTGCACCTCCTCCAGAGGCCCAGGACGTCATTCTTTCTCTCATGTCGAGGACCTCGAGGGTGATATTCTAGAGACAAGTCTATTCTCTACGGAGAAGGCAGGAAAGCGGGCCCTGCCTCTGTTTCAATTCGAACTTCTATACCGAGAAAAAAGAAATCCATCGAGCCAAAGAGAAATATCTCTTAGAAGAGTACCAAAGAAACATTAACTCGAAGAATAAGCGACCCAAGTAAGCTGAAATAAATTGCGATAATTCCGAAGAAGCGTTGCATCCAATTTTTATTCGAGTCCATTCGAGTCGAATAATTCTTCGAATCTACGAAATATATTTCTTTGGTACTTTTCGAAGAAACATCTCTTTGGTTTATTGAAATTCATTTTTTTTTTTCTTCAGTTTAGTATTCCAGATACCAGTACTCTTGGCTCGTCCCTTTTCCATCTTCCTTTATCGCGGTTACTCCGTTCCTCCCGAGCTTTATCACTTTAACTATCCATGAGAATCATCGAACGAAAGTCAAGTTCGTTTTCAAAAATTAGGAAAAAAAGAAAAAGAAAACATTTATATACAAATAGTTAACGAAGTCTAATGTTCACAATTTTCACGCAATATTTGATTTTTCTCTTGGCTTGGAAGAAAAAGATTGCAGATAGTTCAATGTCTATCAGCGGCGCAAGCTCGAGAGGGCCAGAATTTTCGTGCGGGTTCACTACTCTATTTGTTTTAAAGCGCTTACAAGTAACAAAAAAAAAAATAAACAAATGAGAACGTACATCTCGCGTGAACTAAGAAGCGCTTTTCTCGTTCCAGGATTAACTTTCAACTCACCCCTTTCCTTGGCCCACTGCAGTCTCTTGCGCTCCAGCAGGGAGACTCTTCCTGTCATTTTGACGTTTGTCACGTGGTCGACCACGTGGTCGCCTGTCACGTGGTCGCGCCGCTTGTCAGTGCGAGGGAGAGAGAGAGAAGGGGAGGGCGAGCGACTGAAAGCTCTACTATTCGCGACTATTCTCCAGTGCTTCTCTAAATGTCTTAACGTTTCCTAAATTCGTGCCAGGTCGTACCTAGGTCTATAGAAAGTCAAACCAGGAAGTCCTTCTCCAGTAGACGACGTTCCTCGACGAGGAAGCGCAACTTGATGTCCAAAAGCCGCAGAATTTATCGAATAAGAATTCTCTTCACAGAAGAGATGTTCCCGTCTCTTCCCCCTGGTTAAATTCCGAATCTTCCGTTCGTTAACAATCCCTTGATCGACCTACATCCACGGAAGTCGCTCCAAGGGACGACGTTCATCGCAAGCCCTCCATCGGTAGGCTTCGTTACGTCGAGCGATTCTTTTGGATTTTTTTGGGGAGGGTTCTCTTGCTGCCTTCCATTTGTAGTCTTTTTTCTCACGTTCTAGAGGTCCCCAGGAAGGGGTAGTAATTTTTGGGAAGAGGAAGTTTGATCGGTCTTGACGTAACGAGGATCGCAGAGAGACTGAAGGCGAGTCTCTTCGGGAACGAAGGTGGCCCTCTTCGATCTGCTTCCGTTTGTATACCTCGCGCTACCTGGACTTCCTCCTCCACTTCCAGGGGGAAATGTGGGTTTTCGATCGCTGGTTTCTATGGGAACTATCGCGAATCAACCTCGAGCTTTGTCAGGGTCGATATTACGCTGACACGGAGGATGCGAGTCGAGGGATAATGACCTCGACGCGTCCATTGACGGTCACCACCCTCGGCCGATGAAGGGAGGGGTGTTGTCTTTTTTCCTCTTTTCTTGCTTTCTCCTTCATGGATCGAATGAAAATTGCAACTCTTCCTCGACCTTTCTCGGAAAAGTAAAGGCTTGATCCTAGCACTCGGAAGTTCTGAAATAAACTGTAAATTCGTGGTAATTTTTTGTCGTTTTATTTATAAGGGAATGTCTCTTGATATTGTATACAATACTGGACCAAAGGATTCTATGAGGTTTCTCCCTCGACGATGCACTGCTTCAGACATGTCAGCTGACCCTCTAGTACGCTTATTTTCTGAAAAGATATATTGTTGGAACACGTTTGTTCCTTATTTAATTTATGCATATTATTAGGAGTGCACTTTTACCTTAAGATATGTCTCTCGCTGACTGTTCGCAGCAGCACCCACTGCTGCGAAGAGAGCTTTGTATCTGTCTTCGAGGGAGCCAACCATGCTATCCAGTTCGCACTGTTTTTCAGAACTGAGGGACGTCGACAGCTCGCTACGTTGCCCCTGAAGACGAAGCTGTAGAGTCTCGATCTCGAGTTCCTTGTCCTGTAATTTAATTTAACATGTGACTCATCGATGGCAAAAATTCCTCCGAAGGCCCTTCGAGCAGACCCAACCTCCAAATAAATTAGAGACCTTGAGAATACGAAAGATCTTCTTCTCGTACTCCTGCCTCAGCTTCTCCCTGGACTTCTCCAGTTTGAGGATGCCCCTCTTCAGCAAAGTATTCTTATTCACCAAGCTCTGGTTCTGCCGCTGCATGGCCAATTCCATGTCAGTCCTCATCTTACCGAACTCTTCCTTCATTGCTGTACACTGCTCCGTTACCACAACCTGCAGTCTGCTTTCCTAATCAAACGTGTGAGATTAATAATCCAATAAAGCATTCCACGATCTCAAATGTTCAGCCTGCTAGATTATAATACGTCTTCGATCTTCTTTCCCAGCCTTTTCTCCAAATCTTGAATCTTGCCGATGAGGATATCGATCTCTTCTTTTTGTGTCGAGTCCTTCTGGGCCTGTTCGTTGTCCTTTGAGTTAATTATTTCACTCATGTCACGCAGTTCTCTCTCTTTTTCTTCTAGCAACTCTTCGTAGTGTTTCTGTACACTATCCAAATTTTGCTTCCACTCTTTCTCAATGGTGTTGGCTTCAATCTCCTGAAATATTCTATTTTTAATTCACTTAATTCACTGCACAGAATGTTTGACAAGTCAAATTGCAAAAGCCTAACCCTAACACGTATCATTTCTTCAAGCTGTTGAGTGATCGTCAACACTGTGTTGTCTAGAGTTATATTTCTGCTCTGTGCTTCTTGGAGCCGAGTCTTAAGTTTCTTGAACTGCTCCGTCACAGCAGTCTTGTATCGCTGTATAACCTCTCTGTGATTCGCTTCGGTCAAACTGTTCATCTGCTGTGTATCGGCTAGCCTGTGAAAAAACTGTGAAATATATTTTGCATCATCTCCTCGAAAAAAACATACACATAAGTAAGACCTGCGACAATGAGTTACTTCCTCCGGTATCGATGAAATTAACATCGAAGAAACTAACTTAGCTTTCAGCCTGGCGACTTCGGCATTGAGCTCATCGATGTTCTCCTGCATTTCCAGAGCCCTTCCTGAGATGCACTTCTCCTGGCACCTCGAGAGATCCTGTCTCAGTTTCTCGTTCTCCATTTGCAGCTCCTTAATGATCATCGACAAAGTCTCTATTCGCTGCTTATAAGTCTTCGGTTTGTTCTTCTCGGAGCACTGTCCTTCCTCGTAGGCCAACATCTGCGAAGAGATCCTGACACCATGGACGCAGTGAACCGAACTGCTGGAGTCGGATTCCAGTGGCCTCGAAGGAGTTTTACTCCTGGAATACCCTCGGGATGCTTTAAAATTACTGGGTCTCTTCCACTTATGACAAGTTGAAGAGCTAACCTCTGACAAGTCACTCTGAGAAGAGCTTAGGTTAACCTAAAACACACGATTTCACTTTCTAATCTCCAATCCTTGGTCTAATAAATTGAATATGATGGATTTAAGCAACTCAAAGCAGTAATATTATTAAAAAGTGAGGTTACTCACTGGATGATAACTTGTCGAAAGAGATGACAGCGGACCGTTGACTGGTGGATCGATGAATATTCCTCCAAGATGTCCTGACTGCAGCTGTCGATAGAGTTCCACGAGGTATTCGTTCCTGAGGACTCGTTGACTCGATGAGTGACTGAGTTTGTCGAGCCAGGCTCTACAAAGCTGAGCATTTTCTGGTGAATTCAATGCCAAGAGGTGAGGTCTGATGCGTGACAGAGTCTCTTTAAAGGATTCATCTAATTTCAGGGCCTCTTGCTCGTCACGTTCCTTCGGTCTGGACATTTCATAGGAGAGCTGTCGAACTGTCAACGCTCCATGGAGGAGCTATTTTCTGTCTGTTAACTTAGCTGTCAAGATAACTGTTTAGTCATGTCTTAGGCGATCTTCTGTTATTCCGCATCTATCTAGACAAGGGTTTTAAAAGCAGGTTTTGTCTAACTACTTTCAGGATAATCCAAAAATGCAATTACATTTGCCGTTGACTTTAATTCTCTTAAAATTTTCTAACATTAGTTTAAACACAATTATATGACTTAGTATTTTTATCGTTTTATTCTCGATTATCACAGCATAGAGCAGGAATATTCCAAAAGACTAAGTAAGTATTTTTTAAGTCAACAGGGAGTCACAAATTGTTATGTGTAAACCGACGGTAAACTAAGTTAGACTACCGAACGGTGTTCTACAAAATATTGTACATACAGTGCGAATAAATACTCTGTATAAAACTAGACGCTCCCTAATCTTCAAGAAAGGGCTAATCAGAAGTCTTTAAAAGGCTCTTGCTACATTAAAAGTCACTAAGGGTGATCCTCTCCTCGATAACCTTAAAGAAATATATATCTCTGTATTTGTTTACAAGAGAGGTATTTTATATAAAATAATATACACCTCTTCACTTAATTAAAAACTACTGCTAAACTAGAAATATAACAGATTATTATCTGCTACGCTAAGTAGGACTAAACGTCATCTTTAAAAGGATTTAAAGCGCTAAAGTATTTATGTTTAACACTCAATATAAAATTTAGATGCTCTCTGTTCTCTACTTAAAGATACCTAAAGTTTCCTCGACTTTATTTATAATACCTCTACTTGAATATCTTCTATGAAAAATGTAGATTTTGACCAATGCTCTGTACAAGTGTATGTGACATTAAGTACGACTAAGAATTAAACGTTATTGGAATCTAAAGTTTGACAAAATACATCTTAAGATATCAAGTACGGTCGAACGCATACTAGAATCTAAAGATCCCTAAGAATGGCATAATTACCTCTTCGAATGTGCAACATCGAAGACTACTCGATAATATCACCTTCTCGACAAAGTAGCGTTGAGTGAGAAACTAGCCTTTGATTGCTTAATCTTATACAAAATTGTGCATCTTCCATTCCAAAGTCTTATATAACAATTATACAAGAAGAATTTTAATGTTTCCTCGGTAACAGGACCCCAAGTCCAAATGAGAAATTACTCACCAATGGTAGACACATCTGATCGACTTTATGTTACAGAGATAGAGGTTATGTGAAATCTTCTCATAAAATACGAGCCCTTTTGTTAAAATACTATGTTCGACATCCCAATTTCAGTTGATTTTCGGTGGTTCTCTTCAGTTCCTTCAGCTTGTCCTTCATAGGCTCGATGTGAGTGCCGAACCATTCGTCGATTGTAAATGGGAAGAACATCGCTTCCATCTGGACTTTCAAATACCCCTCCAGTGAAGACAGTTCCAGCAATAGACTACACAGTAATTCGAAGGAAATGTTAACACCCATTTGTAATTACTACTAATGTCATTGGAATATCTACGTACTTAGTTATGGCAGGTACGAGACTCTCAAGTTGCATAGGGTTGGTAAAGTTGTTCGCCACTTGCCATGGATTCATCCAAGTCCTTATTCTATTAACGTAACCGCATAATATTAATATAAATATTGTGTACCAAGCATGAAGAATCTTGTACTCACTGTTCACTTTCAGTGACGTTGTGGAATTTTGCCTTGAAGTTTAGAAACCATTCGATACCGACGGCAACCTGCCATCCAGGAAAAAGGAGACTACTTGGTATCGGAGCAGGTCTCGGTTGAGGAGTGACGTGTAGAGGATGTTCGATGTAGCCAAGGCTCTTTGCTACTTCAGTGAAAATCTGCTCGGTGTAGCCATGTAACCAAACTTTCAGACACAGAGCCAAAGAAGGTATCGCTGTGGGCAGCAGCTCACACATTGTTGCATAATGATCGTACCTGAAAATCAAATTTCAGGTTAAGACGATATGAAACTTGTATCTGAGTTTCATTTATAAAATTATTTCCATATAAGTTATTATTGCATAAAGAACTAACCTGGACCAACCAGTGAATGCAGTTCCTCGAAACTCATGCACTTTGTTGACGTGAGTGCTCAGCTCTTCCAACCACCTCTCGTGATTGCTGACGTGGTGGTGGATTATAGGAATATGCTGGCACGATCCTGTGGCTCCTTTGAACGCAGTCGCAGCCCAAATATTAGGAAACACAGAGCTGTACTTGTCCCACAGATCTAAAAGTGAATATCATTGATCTCATCGTTCACTAAAAGCATGAATGATTCTATAACTTAAGAATTTCACCTGGAGGTAATGAAAAGGTCTCCCTTGCACTGTAATGCCATATCATCGGTTCGACGTACTTTCCGACATAATATTCTGGAAGAACAGGAAAAAAAAGACGTTGAGCCTTGCAAGGCTACGCAGTTCTTGAATAATCTATGGCAATACCCTTCAAAACCTGTAAGTCTATCGATCGTAGCATGTCGTCCCAGATGATGATCTTCAGGTAGGGATACGTGTCCTGGATAAACTGTGCAATAGCCAGAATGTGTTCTAAATATAAGGAGGACCTTCCATGCTTGCTAGATGTGGCACGTTTTATGCAGACCGAACAGAGGCCTAAATGCCAGATCTCATCAGCCCCGATATGCAGGTACTGGATGTCAGGGTGGAACGTGACGATCTGCCGGATAAGGGACTTCACTAGCAGCAGCGTTCCTGGGTTAGAGGGACACATGGAGCTGGGAAAGTGTTCAACTTCCCGCAGCGATCTCCATTCCTTGTGCTTTAAGACAAACTGAAGAAACATTTAGTTATCCCTCTTTTACTAAACTCTATCTCGATATAACATATTTAATAATAACCTCCATGTGTCCAAAGGTCTGAACCAGTGGAATCACCGCCAAGCCGGAGTCACCTGCCATTTGTAGTAACTGACGAGCTTCCTGGTTGGTATAGCCACTCGACTGGCCCTGTAGGCCATTGCTCCCAATTGGAGTTAGCTCTCGGGTGTACGGAAAGGTCTCCTCCCATTCCAGAAGCAGGCCCGTAGCTCCCCATGACCTTAACAATGGAAATAGCTGAAAAGAATGAATGCAATTTGGTTCAATCGTTATTTGACTGAGAAGGTGAATAAATTCACATAACTCCCCATGCTTTACGTGCACCCAACAATTTGCAAATCAGATTTTAAAGGAAGAACAATTGCACGCCACTAATTGTTATCGAAATAAAAATCAAGCATCGAGAAGCTGTCACAAGGAAGCAATTGTTGACATAACGAAAGGTACCCACTTTTTCAAAGTAACACAAGCGAGGCGGGGCGCCTTTCAGATCCAGATGTACCAATCTGCGAAAAAGAGAAGTATTCCCGTAAAACCAATCCTTCATTTAACTACGGCAGCCTTATTTTTGTTTACCTGTGCGAGCCAAACGTCAACGCGTCCATCTTTGTTTTCACATTGTTACCACGAAAGACAACAATATCTCCATTATTGGAGACCCTATAAGGGCTCTAGTAAGTAAATAAACCTGCCTAAAAAAAGAAACATTAATCGCACTCTTAATTTCAAGTATCATTCGATAAAGTTCATTAACGGGCTTGAAATTCCCTCGAATAACCTCAAAACGAGGATCCAATTATTTCCGTCTCCGGTCAGCCATCTTGTTTTCCATCTTCGTTTTAGTACTCGCCCTGGAGTTTCTTATAGATGGCGTGGCATGGCGTGGCGTAATAAACTATTTTTCCGACGCATGTCAAGGGATATTAAGCATTTTTTATACAAACAATCAAGGAAACCATTATTTAGATTCCTTTGTTACTAAAATAACACACGACGTTCGAATGATGTGCAATCAGGCGTTTTCCGAGTGACATGGTAGCTATTGGGTATTTCTTGTGTAGCGGATGCGGCGGACCAATCAGAGCGCTCGATTTCCCTTGGGTCGGAAAGTGCGCTCCCTGGCAAAGCCTCCTTGCCCCGCGACATAACCTTGTGCGCATGTCAGAGGAATATCAAATAATCTCGCAATACAGGTCCTAGACATGAGCTCTCCCTCGCCATGGGCCTCACTCGCGCTTGGAACCGCGGCCGGAGCGAGTCGGTCGGTGTTTCCGAGTCCTGTCACTTGATCTCGTGCACGCGCCACCAGGTGCACCTGCAGGCTCAACGAGTCATGGCTCTTTGACACTTTTCGGTGTCTATAAGCGATGTCTCGTTTCCTGGACGCTCCTAACGAAGAGAGCAACGGATCCTCTGTATCGCTCGTCCCCTGCAAATGATACAAGAAGACATACAAGCGGTGACTTCTCCTCACTTCGAGCAGCACTTTTATGATTCGACGCCAAGGCTCGAGCATCTGTCACACCTGAAACCGTATGCTGAGTAAATATCCATTGATTTGTAGAGGGAAATTATAACAGGGCGTGTCTTTATTATAATCCAGCATGCAGACGGCACAGGAAAGCATGAGAGTATTGGGAATTACTTTGGCGCAGTCTTCGCGTAGTATCGATTGTCTGATATTTCTACCTTGGAAATCGTTCCAAAGTCTTTGGCCTCTGGGATGTAACGAGTGTATCTTCGAATGCCTGCTTTAGCTCTTCAGGTCACCGTCCGATGCATTGATGACTTTTTCTTCATAGATGACACAAGAGATGCAGGTGGGATTCGACGGGACGTACTTGGTTTCGGTGTGGACACCTGCTCTAACGAGATAACACCTTGATAGGGCGGCGTGGTTCAGATTCTCCTCTTGGGTTATCCTGAAATCGGTTGGTCGCCGTGTTTGCCGACATGGATGCCTCTTGCCTACGACGTATTGCCCTCCTGCCGATAAAGAACCTCCTGCAATTTCACTGGATCAAAGAGTAAGGCAAATGGACAAAAGAAAGACTGCTCTTTCAACATGCGCATCGGTGCTACTCTTAGCTTTCCCAGCCGCAACCTAATCGCTAGCTGCATGAGCCTGAGTTTTTGTTAAACAATTACTAGCGCTCCAGCCACTGTTGAAATGCATGTTGAGAAACCATCCAGGACGTTTGATCCTAGTAGTCTTCTTTCAACAAGCCCAGGAATGGCAAAAACTCTGCGGAAGTAGAAAATACCTGCATGTCGTCATTGCGCTCGGTGCTTCGAGAGATACCTCGAAGAAACATTTGATTAGATGCGTTTTTATTCGCCAGTACTGCTTTTTATCCTGCACGAGATTTTCCCCGCAGTATTCGCTATTGAAGCAAAAAGTGCATCGTAACAACTTCAAGAAAGGGAAAAAAAAATCACCGAAGATTTATACATCGACCCAGAAAATAAATTCCATTGTTTTACCTAAACGTATTTGGTGTGAAACACAGCACCGGAGGAAAACGGCACGTCTCGGAAAACAGAAGGCCTTCGACAGTGAGAAATAATTAACCGAATGAATTAACAAGTCTTGAAAGAGCTCTTCGATGTTTCCCAGGGGGTCGAAAGACCCCTTCGAGGGGTTCGACAACATTTCAATATTTCTTGACATTCGTTCATACGGCCGACCCGTGCGAAAATCTCGCGGGTCAATTGAATCCTATTAATCCTAATTGCACATTGATGGTGATACATAAGGTACTTCCAGTTGACGTTGCAGAATTGATCGCAACGTGTTATGTAAGGCGAACTTCAATCCCGGTTTATGTAATCCCAAAGCCATACAGGTGTAGGATTACTCAACGCGAACTTAACACCTGTCAGTCTTCAAAGGATTTACTTAGACAATTAAATTCGCCTTGAAGATAACCCAAAAAACCAGAGATAGGAAAAGAGAATATATATAAAAAGAAGAAACCATCCCAAATAATAATTGTCAATCGGCTCTCCCGCAGCGACATAGAAATTGGGCAATTTGGTCATGTCCGATGAGAGGTCAATTGAAAAGTGGACGCGCCATTTGCAGGCCTCGTTAACGGAGCACGCGATTCCTCAAGGACGAGTCAGGGAAAGAAATATTCCATCTACGAGTGCACCGAATAATCCGCCTATTCCCACGGACAATACAATGGCCATTACACGATTACAATTCGTGCATTGTAATAGTTTTGAGAATCTCTCCTCATTGACCACAATGACTAGAAATTCATAAAACTGATTTTTCAACAGGGTCGACCCTTCACTGTCAAGATCCCAGGCGAACCCTCTACCATCAATCACATCCAACCATTAACGGAGTTAAAATGGATGAATAAAATCCATTAGGAAGACACAATGAAACCGAATAACCGAGGCGAGTAACTCGACGTGAAGAAAACTCCTAACAAGAGTGAAGGTTCGCCGAGGGGGTCCAGGAATAACATCACCCCGCCGAAGTCGACGGTCTGAATTCGGTGCAACGTCCGCGAGGTGAATCACCTCCCGGGGCTTTGCGTAAACCGTCTGCCGGGCTTAATTATCGGCTTCGATAACCGGGCGATTGCCGTGCACGTGCGCTTAACAATTGCGATCGCCGAGCCAACCGTCTGCGCAAGTAAAAGTAAACATTGATAACGAGTATCCCGCTGATAGCGCGCAGATCCAGCGGCTCGTTTCGGTTCCTGCTTCTTTAAACATCCGCCGATTTGCATGTAGGTGTTGATAAGGGAAATCGTCGCCCAAGGTCGGTATATACATATATAAAAGACCTAGAACTACGTATATTATACATATTATATACGTATAAAATTGTGTAAGATGTACGGAGCGCGTCGCCGGTACATCTTTACCCTCTGTGAAACCTCCGTCGAGGTACAAAGAAAGGAGAGACAGAGATATACAAAGAGAGTGAAATTGTCCGCGTTGTCGGGATTACTCCTAATTGACCCGATTGCGTTAACTATGTCGGCTGGTTTTGCAGGGTCCGCTGGATGAATCCACGTCCGTGCACTAACGAGGCGTACTCCCCGACGACTGTGGAGCACGTGGCCAACGTGCTGACCCATGGGATATGGGTGATGCCTTCCCTGGTGGGGATGCTCGAGCTGATGCGAAGATCTTCAAGTTGGAGGCAGCTGCTCTCGGCCTGCGTATACGGGAGTTGCCTGTTGCTGGTCTTCGTGGTGTCCACGACCTTCCACAGCGTGCACTACTGTAATCGCAATAGGTAATGGTACTCAATAACCGATAACTAGGTGATTACAGTAATTTTAAGGTGATGCGAAACGAGGATCTCGTTTGCACCTCCATCAACGGGAATAAAAAGGCAGCCCCATGAAACTTAGTAAATTGTATAAAATTGCAGACAAAAAATATTAAAAAATTAAATACAGCCTCCATATTCACGTTGTAAATTTCACACGATTCCCTTTCGCATCGCCTTGACGAGATACAGCGTCATCTTCATGGCTAATCCTTCCAGGAAACTGAAGGACGTGCTGCACCGGTGCGACCGGGCGATGATATACCTGTTCATAGCCGCGAGCTACTTCCCATGGCTGTACCTGAAGGAGTTCCCGAACCGGGAGGAGCTCTCCTCGATGAGATACCTGGTCTGGATAATGGCCGTCCTGGGTATCCTCTACCAGCAAGTCTTCCACGAGCGCTACAAGATGCTGGAGACGACCTTCTATCTAGTCATGGGCCTAGGTCCTAGCATAGGGATTATAAACGTCGTGAGTGATACCCTGAGGAGTACCCCAACCCTGTGTACCATACCTGGGGCGTACTCCGGGTTTACAGAATCTCTTTCCATTCGATCCCGCAGAAGGAGATCACCGACATCGACGAGCTGAAAGCCGGGGGTCTGATCTACGTCCTGGGGGTCTTCTTCTTCAAGTCGGACGGCCGGATTCCCTGCGCCCACGCGATCTGGCACCTCTTCGTGGCAGCCGCGGCCGGATTCCACTACTACGCCATCCTGAATCACCTTTTCCCAAGTGTCGACGAGCAGGAGGGTACCCTGGCCTCGGCGGTGCCTCCTCTTCCAGGGCTCTTCGAGTCCCTCTTCGACTTGTGATAGAATTCACCCCGAGTGTCCCTCTTCGGGTACGAGCCCTCGCGTTTTACTCGCCTCCCGAGTCCTCGAGGACCTCGACCCAGGTCGGGGTGTCGACCCTCTTCCACGTAGGACTCGGGAGAACGAGAGAATTCGATTCTTCCTTTACGAAACGGCCTTACCTTCGACCTCTTCGTCCGACCCGAGTATATACGAACGTCTCTCCTTCCTCCGAAATTATTTTTTAAGGAGAAGGACTCCTTCCAAGGATCCACCGATAGGATATGCTCGTTGTACGATAAAAATCTAGAGAGAGAATAATTCTCGAGAAGGTATAGCCAAATCCTGGGAGCGTGGAATTAATTTCTAGGGACATAGAAGGAATTGCTGGGTATATATATATATATAAAAAAATTGCTGGGGACATGCTAAAGAAATGTCTGGAGATGTGTGGAAAATCCTCGGGATCAGAGATAGGACGTAAAGCCTAAGGTAGCTTTTAACAAGGTCGATTGTCCTCGGTTAAATGACAGTCACCTGTAATGGCCCCTTTCTCAGAGTACCTGTAGGGAGAGCGATGGGCTCCCACCTTTTTGAGGTAGAAAGAGACCGATGGACTCCCGCCTTTGTGAGGTAGAAAGAGACCGATGGACTCCCACCTTTTTGAGGTAGAAAGAGAGCGACTCATTTCCATGTCGTATGTAGAATAAGAGGGCGAGAAACTAGGCGATCGCTCTCTACCAGGACCGGCCAAAACCGACCCTCGTGTGTTCCTCGACCCCCTTTAGACAATTTAGATCTCGCCCATCTTGCCCTCCCTAATACATTATACAGAAAATATGAGAAAAATCGGCGACTCCCCGTTTTTCAATTTTCTACCCCCGGGTGTATAATTCCTTCCTCGTATCCCGGTAGTAGCCGACGAAGAAGGTCTTCCCCTCGCGAGATTAGATGTCTGAAAATCGGGGAGGGAGACTGTAGGAAAAAAAAGAAAAAAAAAACTAAGAATAAACCAAGTCACAAGAGTCTACTCCTGGTGTAGCTGGTCACCTTTCCTCTCAGGAAAAAGTTCCTTAAAGGACTCTCAAGGAATTCGGAATCGAGATCAGACGCCAGGGAAGGGGTCAGCGAAATTAACCCCCCCCTAAAAAACCGGGATACGATAAGCGCACGATAATTGATAATTTAAAAAGGAAACATCGGAGATTTTCCCTGGCCCCCTCCCCGAGGACGACGAACCTCCGGAGCAAAATACAACACTCGAGGTAGGGATGGTCAGTGTATAATGTGGCCTCTAAAAAACACGTTTGGTCACGGCGAACGACTCGTACATAATTCTTGACTAAGGTCAGTGACTAAGACGGAGGCGCGGAGGGCGGACACCTCGACATCGGGGAATAATCAAGAGGTCTCCGGACACCGGTACGCTTATATAACTGGGAGGAACGAAAGCGCTCGGTCGAGTTCCCGAAGGGAGCTGGAGAGAGGATGAGATGGAACGAGAGAAAGAAAGAAAGGAAAAAAAAAAAGAAAAAATAAAAGAAGGTGAAATGATTGGGAACACCTAGACGAAGTCAAGGGGCTCGGCAGACGGTGAAGGAACTCGAGGGGGCCGAAAGGGAGCCGAGAAGAAACCATGCCCTACCGCAAGCGAAAGCTCGATCGGGTCTAAATGTATAGATACAAGCGTACAGAGGAGGTCTCTCCCTGCGGTTCGCTAAGCGAAACGTCAAGAGCACGTGCGAGGGACCTTGCGCGCTGCAAAACCGAGATCCACCGTACCTCCCGACCTGGAATCGAATCTTCCCATTCGCAGAATGTGTACAGACATATATAAGTACAGAGGAAGCCTCCCTCCGGTTCGCTAAGCGAAACGTCAAGAGCACGTGGCGAGGGACCTTGCGCGCCGCGACATCGAGACGCACCGTCGCTCTCGGCTTCGAATCCAGTGTTTCCTTTCGCCCGATGTGTATAGAATACGGATATAAGTACAGAGGAAGCCTCCCTCCGGTTCGCTAAGCGAAATGTCAAGAGCACGTGTAGGGACTCCGGCCTGAGTCCCGCGACAAGATCATTGCGCGCCGCGACCTGGATTTCTATACTCTCCTCGTGGTAGTCTAGACTGCCACGTGGGGTTCGCAAAGGCGTCTCAACGACCGGAAACCCTTCGCCGAGGAAAATCAAGGCGTAAAGAACAGGAAGTGCCGCAAACTCACGCCTGAGTCCCGCGCCAAGTACACGTCGCACGTGCGCGCACCTCTAGGACGAATTGCGAGAGCGTACCTCCGCTCCGGGTGTCTAAATATACTTTAACTTCCTCTTTCTCTCTTTCTTCGGTTTCTCCCTTCTTTTTCCGTTTTTTGTGTCGTTTTCTCACATAAGCAAAGTTAAACCTTTCGCTATTCTTTCATCTCGTTATACGCCGTCTATCGCGCAGTGCTCGCGACTCTATACAGTGTTCTAGCGTTTATACAGAGAGTACGTAGTAGTTTGTCCTTATCGATAAGACCTCTGGTAATACAATAAATGCTGCCAAGGAGAGCTACGCCTGGGCAACCCTTTGAATAATTAATATATATATATATCTATATATCTATATATCTATACACGTGCACGCATACCCGCGTTTACCCCCATATGCGCTACATACCTTCACAAACGCACATACGCGTGCACGTATACGTACTCCTGTCTATTTTATTCGATCTCTGCACCGCTTTTGCGCGACTTCGTGCTAGCGGCTAATATATATGTATATATATATGCAAGTATACATATATATATAATATACTCTAAACCTACTACATTTCGTTAGATCCTATTAAATCCTAAGCGGATGCAAGCGCGATGCAAACGAAGGCTATCCAGAGAAAAGAAGAAAAAGGAAAGAAAGGAAAAAGAAAAAAGAAAAACTGAACGCGTGGGCGCGCGTCTTTGAAAGTACCTAAACTCTTTGTCCGCCGACAAGGTGGGGTCGAAGAGACGAGAAGAAAATAAGAGGAGGAGGAAGAAGAAGAGGAAGGGCACAGAGAAAAAAAAAGAGAAAGAAAGAAAAGATTTGAGAAAAGAAACACTTCCAAGACAGACTTCTGGCTACAGCGGCTGCGTTTACGGACAAGGACTGGGTCGTTCGCGGCGAATAATTCCCCGTTAACAAATCCCCTAGGTCGACACGTCGACTGGGAGGGCCCCCCGAGAGGATCGCTCTCCCCGTCGACGACGACACCGTCAAAAAACTAAATCTCCCCGTGCCCAGAGAACGACGAACGGCGCCAGGACCTGGTGGACGACCGACCAGGTCTCTTTTCGCGGCGGATCGGGTCTAAAAAGTCACTAAACTCCCTTCCCGTTTCCATGACGGAAGAAGCCGGTGCCTAAAGCGAGCTTCCCGGGGTAGCGGCTCTCGGTTCCTTCAATGGCGGCGAGGTTGCGTGTCAAAAATTCGCATAATCGGGCGGGAAAGCGGGCGACTCGTCTGGCTCTTACGGGAGTAGGTAGGTAAATAGGCGTGTAAAATGTGTGGCTGTGGGTGGCCGTGTGTGAGTGTGTGAGCGAGTGTGTGCGAGAGTGTTCCTCGTGAGTAAAGAGTTCCCTCTACGGTGGAAAGGTCCTAGGAGGTTGGCCCGATCCCGGTCGACGGATTCAATTGTCGTCGGCGTCGTGGACGCGCTGGCGTTTCGCTTGCTGGGGCTGGTGTTCCTGGGGCTCGGGGCTCTCGACGATGGCCAGGGGTGCCGGGGACCCGGGCGAGCTGTCGGGCTCCTCGTGTGCTCGTTTGCCCACCCCGACGCCCGCGTCAGGTCCGATGAAGCTCCCGCTAAAATGAAACGACGTATGATATAACTCGCGATGAGATAAACAGACCGATGTTATCCTCTGGTCCATGAATACAGTAAAGAGACAAGGACGCAGGAGATACGCACCTGTAGTTATACGTGGTTTGTACGATCACAGGCGCCGGACTGTACTGTCCGGCAGGGGATAACGAGTGTTCCTCCACCACGTTCCCAGGCACCAAGTATTTCTCTATAGAAGCGAAATTAATGGACGATCGTGAGAATTTATGGTGAATTTTAGAACTACAATGTTTAAATATAACTACCATCGGAGTGTTAGTCTTACCTTCCCTGTTTGCCTCATTGTTGACCCCATTTGTCACTACGGTGATCTGTTGCATGAGACGGCTCTTATGACAAGGCGGTGGAGGTGGAGCGTAAGGATGGCCAGGTGACCCAGGTGCCGACTGACTTGTCAGCTGACCAGCCGGAGAGGGCACCGAACTGTCAGGGTAGGACTCGGGGCCTGGGGAGCCTTCTCGACTGAGACACTCCGGGGTGATTAATCCACTGATGCCGACGTGTGACGGCGAGGCCGGCGCACTCCTGATATTAGAAAAGGGTACACTGTATCGGTGGAGTGGTTCGATGACACTAGACGTTGGATACATTGGCACTGTACGAACCTGGAGGACAATCCAAACGGTGCACGAAAGCAGGGAACGCCTCGTTGTCTTCTCCGCCTGAAGGCTTGTTCGATGAGCTTTGCTTCGGATTGAGGATCTATCCTCCAGAAGGAGCCCTTCCCTGGTTCTTCCTGACTCCTGGGTACCTTTATGAAGTACCGGTTCAAAGAGAGATTATGTCTGATGGAATTCTGCCAGCCCTTATCGGCGGTTCTATAGTATGGATAGTTCTTCGTGATGTAGGAGTAAATGCCCGACAGGGTCAGCTGTTTGTCCTGAGCAGAAGCGATGGCCTGGACGATCAGCTGGGCATAGGAGTACGGTGGCTTCGACTCGTCCTTAGGTGGGCTATAGTGAGCTGCCGTCCCATTCGGTCCAGTTCCTGCATTGGCTCTGTTGTATCGAGACTCGGCACCAGGTTCCGGACTCATCTGACGACTGGAGCTCTGGGCAGCTTCGTGTCTCTCCGTTCCAGAGTTTTGAGGATCGCTGGCCACTGCTGCTGCATAGGCTGCGACCATCTGCAAGTCCGCCGAGATGTTCCGTCGACCTTGGCCTCCCCTTGGGCTAGCAGGACAGGAATTTGCAGCACTTATTGTCCCCGTTGGAGATGGGAACGGACTGCTGTAGCCTGTGTCCGGGATATTTATACGTAGGGGGGGTAGAGGAGCTCTTTGCTTTGGTGGCGAGGGCACGCGCACGTTACCCTGCTCCTGTTCGTCCACCAGAGATTGAAACACAAGCCTTATGTTTGTACTCGGGAATCTGAACGTGCACCTGAAAAAGTATAAAGATTATACACCGTTGCAACTAGAGATAAAATGAATTATTGGATTTCACTCACGTCTTTGGCAGCTGAAACGCCGGGGCGCCTTTCCGTTGGAAGACACCATCGACGAAGACCCCATTCTTGCCGTTGCACATCATGAAGAAATAAGGATGGTCGTAAAAGATTTCCAGATGCCGCCTGGATATGAAGCTTGAGTGACCCATGTTGACGTCGACCTCACCCTTGGAGGAGTTCCTACCTATGGTGATACGCCGCTGTCGAACCATGTACTCGAACTCCCTACCCTCGAGTCTGGCGATCGCCGCACCCTTGGCCTCTGGGTTCCACTGCATCTTGGAAGGACTGGCTGGTGTGGACTTGAGTGCGAGGAGGGCCCACGCGTCGCTCTCCTGGGTCCGCGAGTACGCGGACATGGAGTTAGAGCCTTTGGGGCCAACACGCCTCTCTTTACTAGCAACCTTGTAGGTGAAGCTTCACCTGGAAAATCGTGTCCTCTGGTGAGAGGCGTCATAACCTCTCTGAGTCTCTTTTGTAACACAAACACTTGGTAGATTTTTAAACAAAGAATATGTGACAAGACAAAATTTTGAGGTTAGCTGGACTACTTGTCCACCGATTATACTTAAACTTCTGAGAAAATTGTCCCGGTCACAGCTTGACACCCCATAATTCCCTATAACGTGTCAAAAGAATACCGTCAGCACTGGTCCAAAGTCATAATATTGCCAGTGCAGCTTTTTTGTACCCCCGAGAATAAAAGCCATGGCTGACTCATTCAGAAAGTCCGGAACACTCTTTCACTTGCAGTGCGCTTAAAAATATTCCTTTCGAAGTCAATCGTACATCTCTCGACAAAGTACCTCAATCTGAGTCATCTGCGGCGTTAAGTCCTGGCAGTTAGAATCAGCGACCACATTTAGTAATATTTTGAAAAACAGTGACCACAAATCCCTGCTTCACTACCAATTGACGATACAGACTGGTTACGGCATCTCTACTATAATGGGAGTTAAATTTCTCAGAGCTCATGCACTCGGAAAGAGTTGCATCAACTAAGGGTTTCCGAAACACACTTCGAATAAGACCCAGAGATACAGTTTGCAAACAAACTCGAGAAACGTCCATGCCAAATGGAGTATTTTGAAACGCACCGTTTGCCGGCAGCCCCGCGACCACCCTCGAGCACTCTTGAGCCCTCACCTGGTCGCCGTGGTGTGAAGACCCTCAGGACGTGTCCGATATTTCCGCGGGTCGGCTCCGGAAGCTTCTTGCGAACTCCCTCGCGCTCTGGGTCGATCTTCAAAGAGACAACGTGCGATAATATGGCCGGCCAAGGAGCCGCTCTCTCGCGCGCGGCAAGGATCGCGCAGCGAGTTCGGCCGATTTTGAGGTTAGCTGCGCTACGTACCTGGCTACCTCCTTGGGATCCTCCGGGACTCTCCTCCCCCTGGGGCCGCCACTGCTCTCTGCCGTCCGTGAAGACACGCACCGACAGGTCTGTCTCTCTCTCTCCTCCTTGTTTACCCACAACGAGAAACGTGGGTGGCCACCACGTGACTCGCGGCTCCCCTCGACGCGCGGACTCCCGAGGATGGCGCCGGGTTTGAAAACAAGTACAATCCGTTGACCGAGTCCTCGCGAACGCGAGACCGACGGGAGCAGCGCGACCGGAGGGCGCCCCGGCGTCGACTCGACGCCGGTTTAGAGGTTAGGGAACGGGATCAGGAGCCGAGAGACCAAGGAACGAACGGCGCGGCCCGACGACGTGGCAACTGGACGGGGCGCCGCCATCTTGGTCGCGCAGCCGGCTGGCCAATCAGAAGCGAGGACGGTCCCTGCCTTGCAGGCGCGCTGAATTTAAACGGTTATACGTTGCGACGCCAGGATAAATCAATGCCGAGTTTACAGGAAATGCAACGTGGGATCGTTTTCTTACGCTTTTCTCGAATGAATACGGAGATTAGAGTCAGACTGGAGGGATAAGAGAACGAGGGTTGATGTTGCGGCGTGGCGACGTGGCAAGTGGACGGGGCGCCGCCATTTTGGTTGCTGTCATGGCCGCCTGGTCGGAGAGGGTTTTTAAATACGAGGAAATGGAAGCTAATAGTCCATTTCCGGAGGATTAGCAATGATTATCGGATGGATGTCTAGTGGACGCGTCGATTAATATCCTTAGGTTGGGGAATCGATTTTACGGAGGCGAGAAATTATGAAACAGACGTCGGCGACGTGGCACTGCTCCCTGTCGTCTGCTTCACGCCGCCATCTTGGAACTGACCGGAAGCGCATTTAAATCCCCGACCACTTGAAACACGTGACGCCTTTAATGAAAATTCGAAAAATTGCGCGTAATAAAAACCTATGCATTCGAATTATATCTAAAAATAATTTATAGGGGTAAGGATGCTTTATTTCTTCAATCGTCCAGCTGGCAGAGACAGGCGACGCCCCGATTGATCCAGTGCGACTCTCTCTCCTTCGTGGGGAAGAGGATGAACATGACGAAATTGGAAGAGTGCCCCGTTGTAGCCAAAACTCCGCGCCTTGCGCTGGTCTTGTAAACAGGACACTGATAAACTGGGCGAATTTCAAACTCTTCTTTTATTCCAGGCTTCAGCCAGATCACGGGCACAGGATCGAACATTATTTTCGGCCGGGACTCGTCCAGCTCCCGGGTGTCCTTGTTCCATCTGGCGCCTTCAAGGAAGAGGCCCTGAAGAAAACAGTCCCAGGACGCTCTGATTTAACTTCACACCGTGATAAAATTATACATAAATGTGCTAGTTAATTTATTTCACGGTACCCTGGTGTAGACCCCGGTGGAAGGCGCCTCCTTCGCAGTTCTTTCATGCTCCGTCACGAAGAACTGGAAATCAAGTCGGTCGATGGGAATTTTCCTCCTTCGAGCATAATTTTGCAGCACCCCTGTTAAAAAGGACTGAGTAAAGAAGAAGCCAGAGAGCCAGAAGACCACTGGAGCGTCGTTGTCGATCCAGTCCTGCAGGAACTCTATCCTGGCCAGGAGATCCACTATGTAACTTCCGAGAGACTTTAATGAAGGGTATGACTTCCTTTCCCAGGAACTGGGCACTCTGAAGGGATGAAGGACAGAATAAGTATAAGTTACTCGATTAGAACTACTTTACGACACCTAAGTCATCAGGAACTAGGACTACCTTCCGGTATTCAAGCTGAAGAAGACCTCCTCCAGCTCGGGCGACATCAGCACTAACCCTTTTATCGCTTTTTGTACGTTCTTCAGGGTGGTCTTCAGGACTGCGGTCAGGCCGTTGAACCTGACGAGCTCCTGACGCAGCACGGTGTTCATGCTGTTCTCGTAAAGGACTGGGTACCTCTTAGAGACGCTTTCAAGATCAAATTGCTCGGGCATCCTGGCGAGGATATCCACAGCGAGGTCCTGCACCTTCTCTTCAGCGTTTCCTTCGGCACCTGCACCGCCGACTTGGGTTTGCGTCAATAATACCCCAGAGAGAAGTTGCATGGATTCCTGATTATCTTTAGTGATGTCCGCGTTCTCGTGCAGGCCGTAGACCTCTGGGGATTGGTCCATCGGGAGGCTGCGGATGTACCTCAGGCAGCCCTCCTGGTCGGTCTCTTCAGGGAGACAATAGATCCCACTTGCCGAGTACGCGTAGCTGGTGAAGAATGATTTAAACTCCGCAATAAATTCATTAACAATGTATCTAAAACTATGTATCAATTATTTTAGCTCCGACACCCACTGAGGATCCTTCAACACCTCTTCATTGTAGTAGTTCTTCAGCAACGAGTTGAGCAGCCTTCGATCTTTGTCATCGGTTACTCTGCCTCCGTAATTGCACTCCCCGGTCAGGTAAAGAATCGCCTCGAAGGGCACCTCGTCGTACTCGTTAAGGAACATCTGCAAGGACAAATTAATAAATTTCTTCATTTCTTCAGGTATTAGAGATCAGTACCTGGAGCTGAAGAACGCTGATCCTGAGGTCGGACTCGTTGAACTCGTAGGGGATGTTCCACCCAAGGGGGCCGAATTTCCTCCTCTCCTGGATGACGGCGTGGAAGAAGCAGAGAGAGAAGAGGAGCGCCCTCCACTCAAGGATCTTGGAGCAGGCCTTGAAGAACTTGGGGTCGGAGATGGGGTCGTTTAAGTAGCTCCTCAGCAAGTTCTGCTTGAGACCCTTCGGGGCCTCGTTGGTCATCTTCACCCCGTTCTGCAGGATAGAGACGGGGAAGGCCTTCGAGGGATAACTGGTGAGCCAGAGCCTGAACCTCTCGTGGGTCTTTTCAGGAACGACGACCTCGTCGCAGATCCTGTCCAGCTCCTTCATCCAGCTCTCCGCAAGGTGGCAATTCTGTAGGACGACCCAATCGCCGGACTTGATGCCCTTGCTGATCATTCCTGCAGCGATGGGCCCTTGACCCTGACCTAGGGAAACAGTCATCAGGTTCTTCGCCTTCATGCCGACGTCTTCGACGAACTTGACGAGGCCAGCCATGGGGTCCGAGCCGGGAGAAAGAACGAAGATCAATGGAATCACATGACTGGAGTCATCATAGGCAGCCTGGAGGTCGAAAGGTGGAGGCTCGACGAATTCCTGGCCCATGTGGAAGGCGACAAACCTGGCCACGACGGGGACCAGCTTGTCAGGTCGAAGACACCTGAGGAGGACCAGGCTCTTCAGGGTGTTCGTCTCGTTTTCAAACGGCCGAGGGAAAGGCTGGTCCTGGGGACTGGCCTGATCGTAGTATTCCTTCCAGAGTGTGGTATCTTCTTCCAGGGCCGTCCTGAAGCCTTGTAGTCCTGGCAAGGAGGACGCCCTGACGACCTCTGACCAGGACTTCTCGGTCAGCCACGTGGGGTCTGGATTCTCGTAGGGATTCTGCAAGGCTACGCCTCCGGTTAACAGAAAGGACCAGAGTTCCTCTTCGACCTTGCCCTCTGCTCGCTTGATCCCTACACAGAGCACCAGGGAGAAGATCAGCTTGTCCTTCTCGAAGAGGGACCTGCAGACGTTCCTGTACACCGCGAAGGTGAAGAAGGCGTTCAGGCTGCTCGTTCGACCCTGAAGAGTCGGCGCCTTTTCACAGGAGGCGATCGAAGACACGTAGAGATTTATGAACCAGGGTAGAGAATACTGGTACATGGGGTCTATGTTGGCTAGTTCAGCTATGCAGAAGAAGAGCACCGAGCCATGAGAAGAGACCGGCTCGTACCCACTTCTAGCTTGGTCGATTTCTTCGGTCGTCTTAGCAGCGACCCTCTGCTTGGCTTGGATCTCCTCCGACAGGACCTTCGAGGTGGAGAGCACCTTGATGGCCGTCTCGTCTTCAAGGATGTTCCCTTCGGAGGTGGATAGCACCTCCAGGATCTTGTCTTCTATCTCCTTTAGGATCCTGCGGTTGGTGGCGTTCTCCACGATCAGCCGGTTCTTCTTCTCCTCGAGGTCCGGGAGGTCCTTCGCCACGACGATGCCGAGGAGCTGGTCCTCCAGACCCTGAGGAGTGATCATGAAGTTCACCAGGGTTACCTTGACCGCCACCTCCGGCAGGTAGTGCGGATTCCGCAGGCGTGTAGTCATGTAGAACCTGAAATCTGGATGATACTCCAGCACATTTTCCCCAAATTTCATGTATAACACGCCTCTTTGTTTGTAGACGTTCTTCAGGAGAACAGGCTCAAGGACGGCGTCCACCTCTTCGAGGACGTTCTCCAGGAGAACCGGAGTACCGAGCTGGATGGCGTTCTCCAGGTGCCTTACATAGTTCGGATCAGTTGGCTTAATCACGGTCAACCTGTGTTCCTTCTCCATGTTCTTCACCCACTTGTTCGCCTGACCCTGGGGGTCGATCATCAGCGGCCAGCGCTCGGAGTTCCTGACGATGATGCCGTTCTCCACGGAGAAGTTGTCAGCAGGAAGGCCGAAGATCATCCACGCCCTGATCTCGACAGGCTCGCCTGAAAAAGGATTTTTAAATCAGTACTTAATAGAGCACCGACGACGAAGAGGCCCTACCCAGGATCTCGATGAGGCTGAAGACCTCGCTGCAGGGGATGTCTTTTTTCCTGCAAGTAGCATGCCATTCCTGGACCAGTTGTTCCCTGAAGCCGACCGTGAAGGCCCCCAGGTAGGCCACGATCCCCGAGGCCAGAAGAACGTCCCCGATCACGCTCTTCAAGCTCCTCTTCAGGGTCGCCGCCTGATAACTCCACCTGGTTTTCTCCCCACCTAGCCCCCCGAGCAATTTTTCAGCCCTGTCCAGCTTCTTTGTGCACAGGTCGATCTGGTCCTCCAGCTTCTTCTTCTCCTTCATGCACTCTGCGAACTCGTCGTTGAGAGACTGCAGTTTATCGGTGACTTCTTGAAGAAGAGCCCTCTTCTCGTTGAGGGACTCCATCTGGACGGCGAGGGCGGCCTCGGCCTCGGCCAGCATGGCCTTCTTCGGGGCCACGACCTTGATGACCCTGTCGTAGACCTCCATCGCGCGGACCCACTTGCAAAGGCCCTCGCAAGCTGTCGAGATCTTCTTGATGACCTCCGGTTGGAAGGACCTGTCGTTCATGTACTTGTCCCGGATCTTCTTCATGTACGCAGGTGGGATGTTGTCCTTGTCGTAGGTCTTCAGGCTCTCGAGGAAGCGCATGTCGCCCAGCATCTTCAGGGAGGACGGCCAGTAGTCCTCGATCATCTGCCCTGAAGACGGATCCTGCACCTTCTCAGGTCGCACCCCCTTCAGGACGCAGACTGCCTCCATGACCAGCCTCACTCCTAGATGAAGATCAAGTGTTAGTACACATCGACCTTGAAGAGTGGAATTAAATTAATTTAGTGAATGGAGAACAAATGTACCAGCAGGAGGGCTCTTCATGGACTTGACGATGGTGACATCCTGAGGCTTCAGGGTGTCCAAGGCAGCCAGGGCGGCCTCCAACGCAGGCGTGGCTTCTGCAAGGTCGCTTTCGCAGTCGTCCTTGATGGCCTGAGCAGCTGCAGCAGCCTCGTTGGCCAGAGCTTCATCTGCACCCACGATCTCCTTCTTCGCCTCCACGTTAACGGTGTCTTGCTCGATCTTGATCATCAGTTTGTCGCTGAGTTGGCTCTGGTGCACCAATTTCGGCTGCAGCTCGTGCAGTTCCTCCTGCATGACGGCGACCTGACCCGCAGCGAAGTCGAGTTTTTCAAGGCCGACCTCGTACCTCTTCTGCTGGAGGCTGATCTGCTCGACTTTGCGGTTGAAGAGCCCGAAGAGGGAGTTGATGAGCCCCAGGAAGCTGGTGGGGGTGGCGTAATTTCTCCGGCGATGCTTCAGGTAGTACTCCTCGCTGGTTCTCTGCACACTCGTATGAAATCCTTTGCAAGCTTGCACGCAGCTCTCCCGGACTTCAGGGTCGATCTTCAGTTCCTTCAAGGACACCCTGGCGACCCGTTCGAGGGCATCCTCTGGCCAGCTGGTGTACCAGTCTATGGTGCAGCAGTTGATGAGCGAGGGGAACATCCTGAGGCGGTTCCTGAAGGCGTCCCCGATGGGCGACATGGTGAGGACGACGTGCAGGTTGCTTCTGACCCTGTCGATGAAGAGGGTGTAGAGGGCCGTCGGGGTCGCCTCCGCCTTTTTCGGACCCGAGTCCCTGGAGACGGTGGTCATGGTCTCCAGGATCGCGGCCTTCTCCTCGGATCCATACAAATTCGGCAAGTCCCCGGTGTTGAGGATCATGTTGACGTCCTCGACGAAGGACTCGTCCTTGATCTGGTGGTCGCCAAAGAGGAAGATAGAGGGTCGGCCGTCGCAGCCGACCCTGAGGAGCAGGTCCCTTAGGTTCTCCCTCCACTCCGTCGGCCCGTAACTCCTGGTGATCTCGACCTGGCTAATCGGAAACTCACACATGCTAGCTGCAAGTTTCACGCAAGAGCTTCTCCCAGATCCTCCAACCCCGACCAGCAATGCATTCCCACTCTCCTGTTGAAGGACCCTAGAGATCCTGGAAACGTGCTCCACGGCGAACCTGAAGAGCACCAGGTTCATGGGGGTCTTCGACATGACGTTGTACTCCGCGAGGTAGTACTCCATTTTCTCCTGCAGCTCTTCAAGGTTCCCGATCTCGTCGTAGATCCTGGGGTCAGCATCCGGCTCCATGTAGTTCCCGAAGAATAGGTTCCCTAGATGGCCCCTCTTCAGGGACTTTTCCCCCTCGGCTAGAAGACCAACCAAGACCTTCTCCATCGGCTGCCTGAGCTGGTCGTAGACCGTGAACTGCACCATCTTGAAGAGCGCCTCCCTGTCCTCTTCATCTATCAATCGATCATGGAAGACCCTATAGACCTCATGGACCCACAACCTGATGAGCTTGTCAGGGTTGCTCATCCTGGAGGCAGGGACTAAGACGACTCCCCCGATCACCCTGCTGAAGTCCCTGAGGTTGAAGGTGTAATGGCTCTTCGCAGGGGTGGGAAGGAACTTGGAGATGGCCCCATGGTAAATGTCCATGGTGGCGGAGACGATCATCTTGCCCAACCTGGAGACGTTCTGGTCGAAGCCCTTGGAGAAGTGCCACTCGAGGATAGTGCCGAAAATCCTGGTCAAGGTCTCGTCCTCGAAGGAGTCCATTCCTATGACGTGCATATGGCGAGTCAGCCTCGAGGTGACGATGTTAGAACCGCCTCCTGGAGGCACCATGGCGGCTATCAGCAGCAAGTCTACCAAGAAGAGCATGGAAGTGTCCTTAGGGTCGAACCAGTGCCCATGGTCTAAAAACTGGCGAAGCAGCTCGATAGGTGGCTGCGCCCCGTAGACCTCCTTCTGCGGCATGCTGAGGTCGTCCACGAAGAGCACACATCGTTTCCCCATAGAAGGTCCATAGTACCCCTTCCTCCTCCTGTCCAGCTTCGACATGACGATCTCCTGGGTCTGGTAGGCAGAGGTCCTGGCGCTGAAGTTGATCACATTCTGGATGTACTTCTCTTTCGGCAGGGAGGATAAATAGTCCAGGACTATGGAGGACTTCCCGGTCCCGGTTGGGCCCACGAAGAGGATGGGGATTCCCCTCTGCATCAGGTTCGCCATGAAGAACCTCTGCAGGGACATCTCGTTCGTCTGGATGATCAGTTCGCTGACCTTCGCCGAGGATGATAGAGGTGCCTGAAGGTTCAATTATTGAATACCCCCATTTTTATCAGTATTACTATCAACAGACCCTGAAGAGGCCTCACCTGGACAGAAGTTTCCGTCCATGGGATCCAGCATCCGTTGTTCCTCTTATCATAGACCCAGTCGAAGACGGTCCCCTTATCAGGGAAGAGCTGCTGCTTGGTCAGTTTGAAGGCCTTCGGCTTCGGGTATTCGTCAATCTGGCCCACCAGCAACTTCCTCAGGTACACGTCGAAGAGCTTCCTGCTTTCACTGACGAGTGTCGGACAAAATCCCCAGATGATGCTGAAGATCAGGGTGCACTGCAGCCACACCGTGCTCACCTGAGTCTCGCCCTCCAGCATGGTGCTCAGCATCTTCGTGAAGGACTGCAAAATTTTTTCTCGGTATAAGAAAACAGTACGAACCTGAAGTACCGGAAGATGAAGCCGAAGAGACCCACCAGGAACATGTGGGGCTGGGAGGTGTCGACGAAAGCCCTGCAGTGGAGGCCGAGGAACTCGAAGACGGGCTCTACGAGCCACTCAACGAGCTCCACTACGAGGTCGAACTGTTCGACCAGGATCTTCTTCTTCAGTTGAGTCTTATAGGACTCGAAGAGCGGCACCCAGCCCAGCTGAGAAGGTTCCAAATAGATCATCCCACACCTGCTGACAGTGGCCGGCGAGGCGTGCTCCAGGTCAGCCGGCTCGAAGATCATGTTCATCCTGGAGGACATCTGAATGATCTCGCCAGACATGAGACAGAGCTTCTTATTGTCATCCAGGACGGTGTTCATGTTTTCTATCCAGACTGCGTCAACGGGGCCATCGAAGAGGATCCACTTCCTCTCAATCGAAGAACTCTGAGCGAATTCCCTGAAGGTGTTCGCCAGGACCCCATCGCTCCACTCATGGGAGACAGGATCAAAGCTGCCGTAAAGCTGGCCCATGGTGATGGCCTTGGGGTTGATGATCCTGTAGGTGGTCCTGAACTCCCTGAGAGTAGCTCGTCGGATGACGGAGAGGTCCCCCAGGGACTCAGCAAGTGTCTGATAAGCTTGAGTCTTCCCACCTAAAGGCTCCCCTACGACCATCAGGCCATGTCTCACCAGGATCATCTCATAGATCTGGATGATCTTATCCAGATACCAGGGAGTGGGCTGGAGGTTCCTCTTCTTCAGGTTTGTTACTAACAATTCCAGCAATTCCCCTCTATCCGGCCGAGGCAACTCCACTCCAGGGAAGAGGTCACTGAAGATGCCCCGGAAGAGGGGCACGTCCTGGGCGAGGAACTTCGGCAGATTCACGTCGACGATCGCCCGAAGTACCAGGATGGACTCGTCCTGGTCCGGGTACTTAAGTTTCAAGTTCCCTGCGGCGATGAGCACCGTCTTCACGGCTCTCATCCCATAATCGTAGTGACTTTGGGAGCTGAGCTGCTCCGAGCACAGTTTATACGTATGTACGATTTTTTCAGCGAGGTTCCTGGCGTTGACAAACCCATAAGAGTATAAAGTGATCTCTCCTATCATCCCATAGTCCGGGACCATCATGGCGACGGTCCTAAAGAGGACCTTGAGGTTATCAGGGAGTTCCTGACGACCGGCATATCCAGGGTTCATCGTGATGAAGATGGTGCAGGTGGGGTTCAGCTTTAATTCAGTGCCCTCGAAGAGGAACTTCTCCAGTTTCTGGCCAATGGCCATTTGGATGGTCAGGATCTGCTGCGCGATGACGGAAAGGACCTCCAGCTCGATCCTGTTGAACTCATCGAAACACGCCCATGCGCCAGACTGGGCAAGACCCTTGAAGAACTTGCCCATGGCTTTATAATCGAGACCATCGGAGCAGTTGAAGACGACGCATTGTTTGGCCACAGCCTTGGCGAGGTCCTTGCAGGTCTCGGTTTTCCCGGTCCCGGCAGGTCCTTCAGGGGCCCCACCTAGGTTCAACTTCAAGGCTCCCATCAGGGTTCGGTAGCACCTGTCCGTCAAGGGGGTGATCACCAGGCGAGAGCTGTTTCCAAGGTACTCGAACCCGTAAGCCACATCGGTGGTCATCATCGAGACGACGATCTTCCCATCGAGCCAGTAGTACCTCAGCTGGGAGATCCAGTCGAAGTCCAGGACATCCTGGACCCTCTTCGCCACCAGCAGTTTAACGACATCCCTAGCATGGACGTCGATGACGATCAAAGCGTTCAGAGTGATCCTGGCCCCGGGGTCTAGTTTGCCCCTGACGAGCGCGACGGTCTCGTTAATCTGCGTGTTGCAGGTCATCAGGTACTCAGCAGAGGATCGCTCCTCGATGGCCTCGCAAACTTCGCTGGTCCAGTGCACCTGGCTAGCACAAATGACGATCTGGCTCGGCCAGGACAGTATCCACTCTACCCTGCGACTGGTGAAGTAAGAGGCGATGCCATCTTGGGCAATATCCCTCAAAGAAGTGACCATCAGCTCCTCGACCTGACAGAGCCACCTCTCCACCATGCCCTTCGCGTCCGCAGGGTAGATCTTCGCGCTCAAGGGCACATATTCCTCCTCTTCGGACAGCATCCCTATGATCTCTTGGTCCCGGGTGAACTTCAGCCTGCTGATGCCCTCGAAGCACTTCCTGAGGTGTGGCTGGACCCGCTCGGGGTCCTTCGTCTCCGAGAGGATCTCCAGGAGCTCGTCGTCGGAGAGGAAGAAGAACCTAGGGAAGAAGAGGCGTTTCTTTTCTAGATAGTCGTTCAGGCCCTTTTGGATTTCTTCTAGAAGCGTGTTGCAGGTCCTCAGCTGGTCCAGCATCTGCGGCATCTCCGTCGCTACAAGGACCTTCTTGTTCGCGGCCACGTAGGACATTATGGCCCGCCACATCTTGTCGACCTTCCGGAAGTTCCTCGCCTCGGTTGGCATCTGACGGATGATGTCTTCGCTCCCGAAGATGGGCTCCAGGTACATCCAGGTCGCCTGGCAGGTGAGCCATTGGTCCACGATGTCCTGCATCAGGATGAGCTTATCTTCCCAGCTCTGCATCTCGGACTCGAAGGCCTTGACGAAGGGCGAGCCTCGCATCGACTGGGACTTCAGGATGTGGTCGTCCAGCAGCATCTGGATGTCGTCCACGGCTGCCATGACGCTGATTCCTGTGTCTCGGTATGGAGTCAGGTCGAAGAACACCTCCTGCCACTCGTCCTGCATCTTCTTCAGGTTCTTCTCCAGCCCGTGCTCCTTGGTAGCGGCTGATGAGATCTCCTCCAGTTTATTAATGTACACCGGGAGTCCGAGGTCGATCATCTCCGAGAGGCTGCTCTTCGGGGTTGGGGACACTTGGGTACCAACGATTGCACTTATCTGGGCCCAGTGTCGAGGCTGAAGACCCGGGTTGCAGATCGTCTGCAGCACTGGGATGAACTGCTTGAACTTCTCGACCTTGCCTCGTACCTGGAGAGTTAAAATGAATTAATGAACATTATCTTTACAGGAGGAAAGCTCGAGATCTCACCATCTCCGCGATTCTGCGCGCTCCAGGAACGTCGGTCAGGGTCCTCGACAATTTATAAAGGGTCCTCCAGGTGAGGTCCGTCTCGTCCTTGATCGCGTCGGCGTCGAGGCCCTGAAAAGGGCCGTAGAACCATTTTTCAAAATTTTTGTGGAATTCTAGAACCGTGTGCCAGAGCTTGTCGAAGGTCTCGACGGTGGAGTTCATCGAGGGGAGCACCAGGTAGGGGCTCAGCTCCATGTCCAGCAGAGCTTCCTCTTCATTGATCATCTCAGCTTCTTTCCGGACTTCTGCCATCCCGCGAGAGAGTTCCTCCACTTCCTCGACGGCCTGCTCCATTTCCTCCATCGTCAGGACTGGAGGGTCCTTCTTCTTAAACTGGTCTATCGCCAGCTGCTTCTGGGCGATTTTTCCCTCAAAGTTCTCTCGCTTGGTCCTCAGGACGCCTTCCACGAAGCTCCTCCTCATGTTCAGTCGGACCGTCGCGAGCTCCATCACGACTTCCATCTCCTTTGGCCAGGTTAAGGTCCTGGTGTTCAAGGCGATGTCCTCGTCGGTCGGAGGCTGGTGCTCGAAAAGGAACAGGATCAACTCCACGCTCCTCGCGATCTTCCCCCGAAGATTGAACATCGTCGTGTCTCTACTCTCGCAGAGGAAGTTGTACAATTCGACGACCTGCTGCGTCGTCTCCGGCATTCCTGAAATCTCGTTCGCTATCTCGTCGAAGACCTTGCAGAGCTCCTGGTTGTTGGCCCTTAATTCGGTCGCAAAATGTTCGCAGATCCTGGTTCGAAGATCGAAGAGCACCTCTCGCATCGCTTCGTTCAACCTTGAACAGTCCATCTCGACCAGGTTGAGCTGAACCTGGAAGAAGATTTGATGAAATGAAATTCAATTCATGTCATTTTTTTCTTGAACATGTTCTGGACGAACCTTGCTTCGGAAGGTGCGGATGTCCTTCCTGAGTTTGTCGTACTTCAGGATCCTGTGACCGAAGTCCTTCAGATATGGCTCAGGAACTGTTGAGAAATAATCGTCCAGTTCAATCTTGGCTCTTCCATCTATTATGTAGAGATAATCCAGGTAGAATTTTAGGTAAAGGTCAGGGCCAGGTGCGTTGATGAAAATGGCATCCAGGGCTTCGGTGATTATTGCTTCGACCTGGGGAAAAGGAATTCTGAGATGTTGAATTTATTAATGGATCGATCATACGTACAGCTTCCTCTTCTCTTAGGACAGGAAACATGTGTCCAGGCCTGTCCAGTTCAGGGAATAAAAAGCTTTCGATCCTGGGGATGTTTCCAGCTACACCGATGATCTTGTCGAAGCATCGAGACATCACTCCGTACATCTGGTGGACACTTGGGCTGAACTTCAGCTCCGAAGAGCCCAGGACAGGGATTACAGTGATGGTCATGAATGGAATGCTACAATTGTAGGAATTAATTAATAAAAGGGAGGATTTAATCTGTTCGATGGTAACCTACCGACTGAACATGAGGTCTTGGTATTCCTCTTCGAAGGAGTTCCCAGTTTTGTACTGAACTAAGAAGTCACGTATATGTCCCAGTGTCTGCATAACTATGATTCGAAGCTGCCTCGAGAGCAAAGTATTGACACTGCGAAAGTACTGCTCGATGAGGACTGTCGAAGCTCTGAGTTTCATCTCTACGAAACAGGACCATGCATGTTTTTTCTCTAAAAATAATTCAGCAACCTCAGCGAGCCATTCTTTGAGGAGTCTCTCCTTTGCAGCAATGCAGAGTTCATCCAACTTTGACTCGATATCCTTCGCAGGGACTGGGAGTTCTCCGAAGTCTTCTATCCTGACTATCGTTGTCTTTTGATACCTAAATCGATAGAATCGTAACGTTTAAATGAATAAACTTTGGTAATAAATGGATTGTTTGTTTCTAGACTACTTTGTTATCCACAGGTCCCTTATGTCTCGAAGAATCTCATTGGCTATCATAAGATTATGTATCATGGAGTGCTTCGCAGTGATTTTTCCCTGATGCCATGGAACCGGAGCTCTGATATTCAGCACAGGAAATGCCACCGGTATGGTCTGGATTAAGAAACGTTTTCTTTCGTCAGGGTTTGAAAGTATATAATCAACAATGGCACATCGTAGGCTATTCATGTAGTCTTCGATGATCTCAGGTTTGATGGCTTGCACCTTTTCTTCAAAGCTGAAATATGATAATCCTGTACATGAAATAGCAGCATTTAAAGCAGTTTAATGAAACCAATGCCATTGTTATAATAAATAAAATTGTCATACGGACTCTTGACGTTTCCTAAGTTTTCCAATAATTTTAGCTCGAGCCTTTTCAATGTTTGAAGGATCGAATGGTTCCAACTGGTGGTCTGCGATGCAGCAGTGCTGCAAGTAGAGGATCTTGTTAACGTCCTCTAGTCTCACGTGTTTCTCTTGCTCCATTCGTACAACTTTCATTAGCATCTCTAGTTGGCACTCGATAGACAGAGGAATGTCTGCTTCCCTTCTACGCAGGATCTAAAATAGTCGAAATGAATCGATGAGGACTTTTCGGGGACTTTTCATCGTTTCCTTCAAACTCTACCTCTTCTTCGGGAATTTCTCTGGCTTGTTTCTCTTTTCTCCTTTTTTCCAACTTCTCCTTAAGCATCTGCACCTCAGCAGCTCGTCTCTCAGCCTTCCGCCTCTGCCAAGTGTCATCTGTCAAGTCCCGCAAGGGTACGTTATTCCCCAGGATATCAGCAGGACATCTCTCCTTTGCAAGTTTTCTTTTTCTTACTTCTTCATAGTGAGCAGTTACACAGTCACTGGGTGGATATTTAAGCTTTCCATCCTCTCCGAAAGGATGCCACTGTTTTTTCTTCTTACGTTTGGATGTCAATTGCCTTAAATTATAATTATATGCCGTTGGGGTGTACAAGCTACCGATGCCTTCCACTGGCTTCAAGTACTCAAACCAGTCTTCATAGGGCTCCGCCTTGGTCCACGATTGATGTTGAAGCAACTTTGGAAGTTGGGCGTACTTCAACGCCTCCGATACCTGTGCGGATGACTCTTTTACTTCTGGCATCCAAGGAACAGTAAATGTTCTCTTCTTTGGAATGGTTGGAGCACGATGTTGCTCTGACATCCTGGATAATTATGTAGAGCAGATGAACTGTCACTGAATCTATTAATCGGATGACATTTGCTCTAACTACATTTTCTATGAGTTGTACAAATTACTTAATAGCAACGAATAATGATTACACCATTTTCTGTTTACTGTTTAACGAATGGATAACAAGGGTGAAGTGATTGCCTTAATCCACATGAAATTAACGTGCAACATCAAGTCCATAGCAACCGTTACTAAGGGGCGGTGCATGGTCTCTACGTAATAGCATGTCTATTAACCGAAAAGGTACAGCACAAGATAATCAGATAAATATACTTTATTAATTCTCATTATACAAGTTTTCTTCTACCGTATTAAGGAACTACGTGTCTAATCACGAATCATTGCGAGTTTGGTTTCACACGTGGAGCACGTTCGGAAGTATTATTACCACTCGCAGTCAGCAGGACTGCGAGCCAATACCAAGACGTTGGCCCTCAGCTTACAAAAATACCAGTACTTGTACATCAATGCTTAATATCTGCGCAGTCTGCAAAATACACAAGCCACGTTCACTCACAACTCGTGTGGCTCACCGAAGACAAGAACCCAGTCTAGGCCCAGCAGAATTTCTCTACTAACCTATACATAACCTCACAGTCCCAATAATTTTCAACACATTGAAATTCTTCGAACAGTCACATTCTCACGCAGAAAGCGAGAAAATTTCGAGAGTTCATCGGTCCTTTGACAGCCGGTTCCGGTCGTATTTCAAGGTTAACATCGAAGATCGACATAACCTAGAAAGGTACAAAAGGATCCTGTGGTTGTGGTCAGAACTGCGCAATTCTTGTCTCCGGTCGCATCTCGCCAAACAATTCACCGTTTGCAATAAATAAACGTTCAACAACTGCATCTCGCATAACCTCTTAAGTCGCGAGTCAGTACAAATATGGCGGAAGACAAGGCGCACTCGCGCATCCTCTTCTTCTCGCGCAGGTTTCTGCGCATCGCTCGGCAGCCAATCACGACGAGCCGACAGGTACCACCACCGGCATCTGAAGCGGGAAAATTCAAACTGATTAAATCGGCCCACTCGGCATAACGCTTACTTTCTAACGAATAAATTAGCGTGGGATTATCATGAATTAGTAGAAAAGTCAAAGTGTTTCCGGATCCAGGTACCCATAATCAAGAAGTCCTCATCAAGATACATCGATGACCCAATTTCTAACGTTTCGAGGAAGGTTCCGCGTCCGTACGGATTTGCGATTGTCAAGCGGTCGCTCTCACCCGAACCGTAATAACGGTGAAAGCAGTTTACAGGCGACCGACTCGCCGGCGTAAAAAACAGCTCCAATCAAACCCAGAATCAAACAGAAGGCAGGATCTAACGCGGAAAGGGACCGGAGTCTTCGTCAGCGTGTATTTATTCCCGGACGAGTTTTCACCGGAGCTATTTTCAGCTCGAGGGAGAAGCCCCGGCGACACTCGAGAGGTGGCTGGCAAAGTGGCCTTTTTGACGCCACCGAGAGAACTCACATCCGAAGGAAAAATACCCGCCCAACCACGAGACTCTCCGCTTCAATTAAGGTCTAACTAATTTTCCCGTAGGAGTTGGTCTTCACCGTGAAAAAAAATCCCGAAAGCGAGGACCTCCGGGGGTTCCCAGATCCGCGACCAAGAAAATGGCTTTTCACTGGCCCTAGGAATTTTTTCCCGAGTCTCGTTTAATTTTTCCCGTGAACTAGGACTAGTTTCATGCTAGTTAAAATTCGGAATAGGTAGGTGGGGGGTTCCACTGACCTCCGGAACACGCGTTTCCCCGTACGCGGCTAGAGGTGGGCGAGCACCTCGACCACGGTCACGGGAGGAGTTTGGTTCCCGTTCAGAATAACGGGCTCGGACTCGGTCTGTACGATTCGCACGAGGTTCGCGTCCTTCTTCGAAGGCGCCAATCCCGCACAGGGAGCAACGTTGGTCCTGCCGCAATAACTTGGAGGTCTACTTTCCCTCGTCGTCCCCGGAGCCACAACGCTCCCTGCATTCGACCTGTACGTCGGCGGCGGCGATGAGGTCGGCTGCAGTCGGTCCAGCAGCAGCAGCCTCAGCCTGTACTCCTGCATGCTGGCCTGCAATTAAATGCAACACGACATAAGTAACACGACATTCATGGTCCCACAAGTCCCCTTCATAGTAAAAGAAAAAAGAATTATTCTATTAAATACAGCGTAACGTCAATCAACATTCCCCTTCACCGTTCACTTTTTCCCCAGGTTCATGTATCTACAAACACTGGTCGAAGAAAAAAAAAAATGGTACCATGAGATTTTGAGGACTGAGGGACAATTCAATGTCTTCCAGCATCTTCTACGGGGGAATTAAAAATGGAGCATTAGTGCATTGCGGGTATAGAGTGAGTGGTATGGTTGAAGTTAAGGTCCCTGGTTTGTTCATCAGTCTTAAGATAGCTATTGTAATCATAGTTGGTAGAGGAGGCGCAAGAGGCGCTACTAGAAGTAGCATCTTCGGCCGTTCTTTCACCTGGTAACTAGGCGGCGGCGTCCTGAACTGGAACTCCGGGTAAATCATGGCGGCGTATGGGTGCATGGGTCTGGCAGGAGGTATCCTGGTGGAGATCCCAGTTAAGCCGAAGAAGCCGCAATTCTCCCTGCTGGTTACTCGCCATGCCACGGCGCTCACCGTCACCAAGACCACGCCGATACCTGGGGACAGACACAGCGACTCAGTGCGCTGCACGTATAGGGAATAATGCATATCCACGGCGATACATAGAGAACACAGAGACAAGAAGGTCTCGTGCCGGCGCGAGGTGGAATAATGGCCAGAGCGGTGTGTCTATGGCCTATTACCCTTTGCAAAACCCACGGGTATCCGTGCCTTTTACTCGGCCCGATTATCTGTCCGCGCGGTTTCCGCACCGCTCACCGGCTCTCGAACCTGGTCTAACGAAAGGCGCGGGCACCGAAGCGTCATTTTTTCCCCAGTCGAGGAGCGATTTGGGCCGCAGGTGCCGATTTTCAGCGCGCGAGGCCCCACGTGGGAGTCGGGCTGTCCTTGCATGTAGTAAAGAGACCCGGGAGCGCGCCATTGTCCGCCTCGTTCGCACCGAGTCATATTCCGCCTTTAGAAAGTCAACCGAGCCGTTCGTTGACTGCATTAACCCGGCAATTTCGCCGCGGGAGTGGTTCTTCCATACCTCCAAGGAAAGATCCCTAGATCGTTTACACAGGGAGTTTAATCAAGGGACTCGAGTCTCGCACCAAATACATTTCGACCGAGCCGATACTCGGTAATCTCGAGGATGTAAACGTCGAATGGACATGCTTCCCAGAAGGTGCGGCCAATTCGCGACGACCGTCGTTGCTTTTTGCGCAGTCCCGCGGAATGTGACGACGTCTAACGAGGCCGATGGTACGCACTCCGGCGAGGATTTGCATTTGAAATACCGTAGCAAGGTCGAGCCCACGTGAGAGGACCGTTTGACAAGAGATTTCCTTGGCCGGTAAACAGCTGCCAAGTGGTCTGCAAGGATTCTTCGTTATCTAGAGTATCCTCATAAATTTAAATTACCCGCTTCTTTTTTTCTTTCCTTCCCATAAAAGTACTCAGAAAGCACGTACGATATGCGGTGTAAACTTGGCGTGACTTTGTGCACATCCGATGGCACCAGGGGGTTTATTACGTAAAGCAAATTGGGCGAAAATGTGAAAAATGAGTAGCTGACGGTATCACGGAACGTTTCTGGTGGTGAAAATGCGAGACCGTTCATGTGAACTGGCTCGGCACAAATTTTTAAGCGAAAAGGTGAAGCATAGACTTCAGTCCTCTTCTTTACTTTCAACGGCTTTTCATCTTCCCGCCTTTCCTGCCTATAACAATTTTCCTCTCAACAATTTTCGATTTACAAGGTATCTACCTTTATTTAACAATATTACTAGACCGGAAATGCTAGGGATCTCGTTCTATCATATACCGAATACGTGATTTGGCGAATAGACTCACGTGAGATGAAAGTGCGAGAAGTGAGCGCTCTCGTCAAAAATACATAATAAACGCCCAGTTTGGACGTTACCTAAAACCCTGGTTAACACGAATGCCGTTTTTTTCTTCTTCTTTACGTGGTGGTGTAACCGCACTAAGAGAACGCAGCAATGTTTCCCCGTATACACCGTGGGTTTTAGTGGGTTTAGCGGATTTAATAAGTTCCATTTACCGATCATGAGGAGGGCGACAGCGATGTGGTCCCTGCCGGTCGCCCTGAGGGCGCCGAGGAGGGCGCCGGCCCCTGCACAGACGAGGCCCCCGATGCCGACCCCAAGGATGGACCAGCGTACCGGTGGCGACCCCAGGCCGCAGCACTGCTTCGGCACTGCGTCCCTGGAATGGAAGAAACCTCCATAGTTGGCCGAAAGACGAGAAGCCGGTTGTTCGAGGTGACCCACTGACACGCGAAATGGGCCCGACGGCGATGCGGCCCTGCGACGCGGGATAACGGGCCCAGCCTGACCGGGCCCGAAGTCTGCTTTATCCATCCTAACCCTAATTCTTCGCCGTGACATTGAAACACCACCCTTAACGAAGGGAGTCGATTACAGCAGGGAATTTTAATTTTCAGTCAGCCCCACTTTCGTCGGTACCTAAGTTTTGCTAATCCAGGATTAACTAACCGGGATTAAGATAACATCAAAGTGGCGCCCTCGAACTTCAGAACGTGAACAAGGAGGCTATAAGGAAGGTCCCGTGAGATTTCCATCTTTAACCAAATTTCTTGGGATAGATATTCTTAAAATTAATAAATATACACGTATATTTATTTAAAGTGAAATTTAAATCCGTTGGGAGATTCTGTGATATTCGTTAGGTGTAATCTTTGGTGTAAACGGATTCTGGAGGTCTCTCGCCGTGGAGAATTAAGGTAGGGTAGGATAGCGCCATAAACTAGGCATGACCAGGCCGCATGTTACTTTCCCCGGGATTTTTCCTTCCTCGATAGAGAGAAAGAGAGAGAGAAAGAGGTATAGGAATGGCAGGAATAATCCTGGGCCCTCTCCTTTGGGTCAAGTGCTCGCCAAGTGGGCCAGTCTACGACAATGGCGGCGCATCTTCGCGTATCTCGCAACGATTGATCGACTCGACCCTCGCGATTGAGATTCCGTCGGCGAGGACTCTTACGCGGGATGGACTGCGTAACCGGGCGTGCGGGAATGCACTCGTGCACCCGGCGGAATGCAGATCGGTCGAAAGTAACGATGAGTTATCACAGAGGCATTGATATTCCATCGGGCCCAGTGGGACAAGGATCAGCTGGTGCAACTCGTCTCCATGCAAACCCGTCGTAAAACTTAAAAAACTTAATCCGTGGAACTATCATGGAGCTCTGAATACAGGGGACTTGGCGGTTTAAACACGAGGGGGCAGTAGTCGGCCATATTGGTAAGTGAAATGCCAAAGTGTACATTTTTCCGACAAATTGAACCATTTTTCAATGTTGTACCCGCAAAATAATTCCAAGATGTATTCTGTGCGGAATTCTGATCTCAATCATTCTTCTTCATTTCACTCTAAATGTGGAAAGTTGAAATCCTATTCAAATCGCGCGCCACGTTGCTTCATCCCCTTGTCTAAAGTACCGCTTTATGCCAGGTCCCCTATATTCAGAGGTCCATGGGAACTATCCAACAGCGTAGATTGAGCAAGTATAAAAATGTATAAAATTGTATATAAATGTATATAAATGTATAAAAATACATGAAATGCATAGAAAATCCAGGAAAACACCATAATAGAAGGGAAAGGAGAGCAACGAACCTGCCGAAGGCGGAGACGCTGGCGGGCACAGGAAAGGGCAGTCCCAGGCTGAGTCCCCTGAGTCCGAGGTGGGGCGGCGGGGGGTGCAGGAAGCCGCCGACCGGAGGGACGAGGGGGACGGCAGGGGCGCCGCCGCCCACGCAGGCCCCTCCGAAGTAGGTCGGGGGCACGGAGCAGCTCCTCAGGGCGCGTCTATGGTGTCTGCGTGGTCTGCGGTCGCGCCTCCTGGCGGTGCGCGCCTCCTCGGGGTCGACGGTAGGCGGCGTGGTCGGCGCCTCGGTCTGGGCCTCCGCCGAGGCGAAGGAGCGCGTCTGGCGGCCACCTTGGTTGCCCTCTGCGCGCGCACCGCGGCTACCTTGGTTGCCCTCGGCCTGGCGGCCATCTTGGTTCCCCTGGCCGCCATCTTGGCAGTCCTCGAGGACGACGGCGCCGTCGACCTGCACTATGCTGACGGGCCTCGGGGCATCGTCCGACAGCGCCCCCCCTGCCATCGTGCCCAGGACATCGAAATCCACGACTGCGGCCTCCCGGACAGTCTCCGTCTCCTTCTGGCCCGCCCAGGGTAGAGATTCTCCTCCCTCGTCGCGAAACTCCCCGAAGACGCAGCAAGTGGACCTGCAAAGAAACACGGCGACGCTTAACAAAGACACAGATTTGAAGAAAAAAAAATCCCAGGGTAAGAGTAAGGTTAGGTATACTAAAAAGTGGCCCCGAGATGCGGCGTTTCCGGGATTTTCGTTCAACGGGTGCCCCCGATACGCGTGCGGCCCTGAACATCGGTTTCCACGGCAACGCTCTCCCCGTCGCTCGTCCCCCCTCCTGTATCTCTCTCTCTCTTTGGCGTCCGAAGGGGGGAGAGTCGGCGTCTCTCTCGCTCCGCCGAGCCCAGAGCCTTTCTCCAGCCACCCGCGGGTACTTTCTTTGTTGCAGGACTCTCCGAGGATGTCCTGGGAGTCCAGAACCCAGGACTCCGTACAGGGACCCGCCTCGGAAGGGAGATACAGGGGTTAAGGGGGATACACAAGGCAGCCATGATTAACAAAGATGGCGCCGGCGGATGCCACGACGTGGACTTGGAAATGCAGGAAAAGGTACATGGCGATGTTAGGGCTGCATCTTTATAGACCTTTCCTCGGCGTCTTCTGTTGTAGGGCTAATGGAGGGCCGAATTAATCCGGAGGACGCGGAGACTAGATTGGAGGTCTTCCGCCGAGATGAAGAAAAATGGCGGCGGGTGAGAGTGGCGTCGAGGAAGATGTGACGCGGGAAAGGGGGAATGGGCTCGATGTTGGGGTAACGCGTCTAGGAGGATGTTTGCCGATGGAGTTACTCTCGTTTCAGGTAGCGGCATCCGACCCTGGGAGGACGTTTTCTCGCCGGTTAATCCTCAAAACGAAATCGGAGCCGAGCCGAGAGCCGCGGTCACGGTGACTCGCTCCGGGGACTTCCGGCCGAGTCTCGGCGTATTTCACGAGGGAGCCTGACCCGTCGAAATTTCGGAGACACGTCCCGCCCCGAAGAGGAAACGCCGCCTGACTTCTGGTTCAACGACCGACCCGCCTGGGGCGATTTTTGTCAGACCCTCGGCTTAATGAAAGCCCCACCACCGCTGTTATATCTGGCCGAGGCGTCTTTTTTGTTGTCCACCGAACGAAATAACCACACGGACTTATGCCTCGACCAAAAATATTACCCTCTTCAGGGTGTAAATCAGGACGCGGAGGCTTGATTCCGTCGAGTTTCGTATATCTCTAAGCTTAAAGGAAAACCCATCGCTGCGTTACCTTCTTCAGGGTGTAAGTCAGGACGTGATGGCTCAGGGCATTTTTGTTAAGCGCTAGGTTTAATAATTTTTTACCTCTGCCGTTGCCCTCTTCAGGGTGGATTAGGACGTGGATGCGACTTTCCGGGGATTTTTGTTAAGTTTTATCAAACTACCACTTCCCCAGCTCTCTTCAGGGCGTGTTAGGACGTGGATGCGACTTTCGGGCGATTTTCCAGGGGTCGACCCCAAGGCCTGGCATGGGGGGCGGATTTATGGGCCTCGGGCGGCACCCCTTGTTCCGTTCCTCGTCCCATCCCGGCCCAGGGATTCGAAGGGAGTTCCTAGGGACCGGGGAGGCTCGGAAAAAGAAAAAGAAACGGGTTTTAAGGGGTCCCGCTCGAGCCGACACGCCGCTCTCGCGACTGCCAGCTAGTCGACTCGGCCGCGGATCGCGCGTGCGAAGACCCGTTGCTAGTGCTTCGGATATAAACTGGTCTTGCGCGTACAGTCCGCCGCGAAGTGCCCGGTGGAGGTGCTCTTCAGGATCCCCGGAGCAGCCGAGTCACTCGATTACAGTCCCTACCGAGCGGAACGCACGCGGTCCGAATTCTGCGTACCAAACTCGCGACGTTCCCCTCGAGATGCGATTTGGGCTAGATTAGCGATATACATACATACATATACACACATATGTATAATATATAATATATAATATATATATTGTATATATTATACACGTTACACATGATTCATGATAAATCTCAGTTATGATAAGCACGACACACCGAACTATCGTATTGTACCGCAGTATTATTAAGATAGGCTGAGTTTATAGGGTAAACCATCCCGTGTAAACGGGGGCGTCGGCAAGCACGTGTTTTGTACATCGCGAAGTTGATTGTGACGTCGAATGAGGAAGGCTAAAAATGCGTTTGTTTCTCCCAATTATGCTCCCTTTCCGTGTTTCTTCTTGCGGAAGAAGCGCCGACGTCGGCAGCACCCACGTGCTCGTCGCTCCACGACGTGCTTTCCCGTAATCCCTCGAACGGCCCGTAACGAATTGGAACCGCATCTCGGGGGAGGAACAATGGCCCGGGATTGCCGCTCTTGCGAAACGCCGTAGGACCGAGTTTCCTGCAATTTCTCGTCTCGCGGATCGTTACCGCCGCGTTCTCCGGGGGACTTTTACGCCGCGGTAAATCACCGTCGAGCTTGAACCGCGGCTAAAGCGGTAGTCGCATTAAACGCGTCGGCAGTCATACAGAGCGCGTCGCGACATCGCATCGAGGATGGAACCCCATAAAAACGGCGTTAACTTCGTGCGGAATTCCCGTGGCGATTCTGACCAGTTCTACATCCTCTGGGTGACACCCTGAGTAGAACTCGATCCATAATCCCGGGTTTGCCATCGGAGGAACCGAAACCCACTAATCAAGCCCCGTGTAAACGGGTCGAAATGAAGGGTTCTACCGTTACAATTTAAGGGAGAATCTCTTCACACGAGGTGTTACCTCAATACCACAGAGAGGGGGGCAGGGCAATTCAGGAACCTGTTAATCTGGCCCGGTGTAAACGGGTCGGAAAGATTGATTTTACCCGAGTGCAACCCTTTTAGGGAGGTTCTTTCTACGCAAGGCGTCGTTATCTCGACACCGCAAAGAGGAGTAGGAAAATTCAGCAGCCTGTTAATCAGGCCCGGTGTAAACGGGTGGAAACGAAGTGTCACCCCTTTAGGAAGACTCTTTTCGCCAAAGGCGTTATCTCAATGCCACAAAGAGGGGCAGGAAAATTCAGTGGTGTACACCGCACCGTCGACCCACTTTTAGTGTCATCTACATGTATCCCAGCGTCCTGTATATCAGCCCCGAGCCCCGGGGATGAATCGGTTCCTCCCACCTCACCCTGGGTTCCTCCTCGTGGATGGTGACCCGGTTCCCGTGTCCCGCAATAGCGGACGTATAAATCCGCGTCGTACCCGCGGGAAACTCGGGGACCGAGTGGAAAATACGACAGGGCCGAAAGGCGTTCTGGAAACCTGGCGGAGCCTCGAGGAGGCCCAATGCGACGAAACCAGGCCACAGTAGGAGGGGGAGGGGGGCGGGGGGGGCGGAGGAAGGAGGAACGGGGAGGGATCGTCAGCTGTACATTTGGCAGGGATTTGTAATCTGGGGATCTGAAATCCCAATGAAGGATTTCTTTTAGTAAAGAAATGCTAATGGATGAGTATATACCTCTTCTCGAGTGTCCAAATGATCGGCGCTTCGGAGCAGCTGTTGGCATCTGTCACCTCGCGAGTTGACAGCTGTCAAGAGGCTTGCCTAGGAGGGCGCGTAATGGAGCGTCCCCCTCGCCAGGCATGCCTCCTGGGGGGCACCGATTCACGGACCGCTATGGGTAACTTTGACAGCGGGGGACAGAGGCTGTCAAGTTGACAGCGACGGAGCACTTGGAGTTATTTTTAGTGGGGCAAACCCGCGCACTACACTGTGATTGGCGTCACTGTGCTGGTGGGGGGTGGGCCGGTCACTTCTTGGCAGCTGTCACCTCGCCGACTGACAGCTGTCAAGCGGCCAGCGTGGCCGCGGCCGCGCCGCCCGCGAGGGATCAGCACGCTCCGGGACGTCCCTCGCAGCGCGCATGCCCCGTTATCGACGCGGCCGGCAGCCGCGGGTCCACTTCGCCCGGGCGCCCCGGTCTCCGCGCATGCTCGACGCGTCCCTCTTCGGCTCGGTCGCGAGAATCCCGGGGAGAGGCGGCGGAGTCCTCGAAGCGGACCAGGAACGCGAACGAAGCGACTCCCACGGCGGCGCGGAGCGGACTGAGGGAGATGCGGGCCCGCGCCGCCGAGCCTGCCGCGCTTCCCCCACTCTCTGCGCGCGAGCCGCTGCGCGGGGTCCAGTTCTCACCCCCCACCTCGCGGCCGCTCCCATGGTGTCGCGATGTGCGCTTGTAGTGGTGCTCCAATGCACACGCGCCTGCGCTTCGACAGGTGCCCGGTCATAGCGCGCGCGCCGGATCTTTATACCGCACACCGATGTAAGGGGAACACAAAGAATACGTGAATCGGCCCCCGCGGCTCCACACATCGACTCGGGCGAGTACACGAAGGCACACACGCAACCACCGACAGGGCCGCATCGAGAGATCCTACCTTGAAATTTCGCCGATTGTTAAATGAATCACATTCAGCCACTGTGGTGAAAACTTGCTGCTTGGAGATTTCAATGAAACGGAATTGCGAAACGCTGCGTAGGTACAGGATGGGGTAAATGGATGTTCTTTAAATTCAAGGCTACTTTTTAAGTAATAGGAAAGAATTGTTCTACATACAATGCTTAGTGCAGTATTTTTATCTTTTCAGGAAACGACGAGGGTACGTGTTAGTCGCTATTTTATTGACGCCAAAAGGCAATACATAATGTACATGGTATTTCTCCTCGTCAATAGACTCCTCCTATTAGACAATATTTAATTTGTATAATTATTGAATCGATAACATCGTGCTCCACGTGCCGCCTCTCCGAGCCTGTTGTATTCTTTCTGGCAAGAAAGTATCACAAAATAATTTCCCACTCTCTCTCTCTTTCTCTCTATGAGGTCCTGCTGCTGACTCTACTCCAATGGCCCTCGGGGCTGCGACTTGGCGCGGCGACTCTACATCTGGAAGTCCAACCCCCGGAGCGGGGACTCCCCTCGAGGTCCGTTTCCCTCGGGGTTTCCTAGTCTCGAGAGGAGTCGACAATCCGTGGAGACCGCTATTTAGTCGTACTAACTATTTAGCTCCGGCGCCATGTTCGCGGCATGGCCGCCAACCCCTGCGATTTCAAGAAGAAGAATACAACATGCCACGGGCGCTATACAACTCCGGCTTAGAAAATAACTTAGGGACTATTCCGACAGACACGCAGCTAAAATACAACCTACACGGAAATGGACTCCCTCGTTCCTTTGTCCATCGCGGTCCTCAGGGTTTCCTTTTTGTTAATGGCGATGCTCCTCGAGGTGGCGCGTCGTAGTAGAAAAAAACGTAACCTCGTTACGTTGCAATCGTACACGTGGGGACATGTACACGTGTATCATTGAACGCGCATCCTGGACTTTGTGTGTATATACGTATACATGCCCACGTGTATATCCATGTGTATGTGTGCGGGGAAAATGCATTTCGGAGCATTATCTCGTTTCTTATTCTTCTTCTCCTTTCCCGGGTACTACCGTAACACGTAACTACAACAATTTACGTTACCGACGATTCTTTATTTTCTTTTCTCTCCTCGCTCCCAGATTTGCCTTCTCGGTGGAGGAAGGGTGATTTATTGCGAGATGGGGCAATTTACAGGGCGGTTTAACGTTTCTTTTAATCGTATCTTTGTTAGGAAATTTCGCGTTTCACGCTTCAGGGGATTATTGAGGGCAATTGAATTTTCCTTCGTTCCTCTTCGTCGTTCCTTTTATTTCGGGAGGAGTTCCGAGGGGCGGAGAAGGGATTCGAAATAGGGGATTAATTAGCTATTCGATTATTTAGTCCGTCTTCCTCGGCGGCCATTATTCTCACTCTTTAACGCGAGTTACTCTTCAGGAATAACCGGAGCGGCGGGGACGTTTATTCGCGGCCACAAGGGAGAACTCGAAGCTGCACTTATTCCGACTGGCTACGAACTAAACTCGATCGGAGGGTCCTTAGAAAACGTGTACGTATGATGCGAGTAGGTCTTGTAAAAATATATAAAAGAGCGCGACGCGTCGCGAGTGTGTGTGTGTCGGTACACGGTAGAAAAAAGGTGTCGAAGAAGCTAGATGCCGATTATTCCCTCGTATATATTCTCTCCTTTCTTTTTCTCCACTAATTCCGATTCTTCACGTTCGCTTAGACGCCAGGATGCTGAAACCCGGAAGGGCGTCTCTTCGGTTCGCGGTCAGAACGATATTTATAATATTTATATTCATATTTATAGTTATATTCATATTTATATATATATATATATATCTATGTATATATTTATATACGTCTTATGTGTACAGGTGTAACGCTGTCGCTGAGAAATGGGTGCGGGGCTATGTACAGGTGGCTTCGTCGACATCGACTCCTGGAGAACGCTTCTGGAGAACGAGAAGGTCACCGGTGGTTCCGGACCCGAGAAGAGGCGGAGGATCTCGAATAAAAGTCGATAAAGAAAAATTGATAAATCTGTTATGAATGACTGATAAAAATCCCCATAGAAATTTCCTCGATCATTGGTGATTTCAATGCCGCAATAAGCTGCAGGAAAATGACATTGTCTCCGTGATATCACATTCGGCATCTAAGTAAAAAAAAAAAAAAAAAAGAAGAAAAAAGAATAATGATAATGCAATGTTACATTTAATTGAAATAAAAGTGCGCTGATACGGAAAATATACAAGGTCACGTGTCTTTGTACATCTTCTGATTCCTGATTTTTCGATTTTACATTTTTCTATCGTGGACTTTCAGTTACAAGGGGGGTCTAGAAATGCGTGCAAATTTCTATGGGGTCAGGAAGGGGAATATGGAGTTTGTCGATTTTTTTATACGTCTTTCTGGAGGGCTTAAATGCGATTAGAGAGCGGAAGTGCTCCTCTCTTCTCGAGGCCGGGTTCGCTAAATTTATGGGACGCCGCGGAAACTGGCAGCGTGCTTTATTGTCTTTCCAGACCGAAACGAGCGTGAAAGCTGGACTCTTCGTGGTCGCCCCCTCGATCCAAGGGCGAGTCTTCGCACTCTTCGACCTCCACCACGAAGAACGTCCCCGGCGCTCGGCTTATACTTAATAGCGAGATTCCGCAGCCAGTTTCCGCGGTTCGCCCCGCAAGGGTTTCCGCAATTTGCGGCCTAGTTTCCGTGGAAAACGAATACAATGCGATCGGCGATGCACCTTAGAAACAGTAACGAATTCCCACTGCACTGGGCAGGGAACTTGAGTCCATCATGAAGAAACCAGGTCGACCGATTTCGACAGTCTATGGCGACATCCCATCTACGGGGAATTTTGACACGCCCTGTAGAATGCGATAACAATAATTCCCCTATTTTCCAACTAGAAAAAATAATACTGCAATAAAAGCCTGATTTACAGTTGAAATTTTAATGATTTTAAGAGTCCCAATTGGGCGTCATCAACAGGGAGGGTGAATTTCCAGCGGGTTTCATTATAATTATTTCTTGGTTAGAAAAATAATGGAAATAAATTATCCCGAGGGAGATGATTATTCCTTGATATCATTGGAAGAAGCATAAACGATTTTGATCAGACCGGGAAATCGGTCGGCCGTCCTTTGGAATGTGTGAAACTGCGGAAGGAGGTGCAAGCGTTGAAATCCCCGACGTTTGTACGATATCTGTTAGGTTTCCTTCATTCTTCAGCTATTCCTGTCGGGGATCAAGAACGACGTGCGATCTTCGGGGCTGACACGAAGCCCCGGGTCGTGGGGAGACCCTGAAGAGCTACCTCGAAGTGTTCACTTTGGAGTTTCCTCCTTCGAGACTCCCCACGCGAGCCAGGAGTGCTTCTTCGGGGTCGGACACAACAGGCATCCTCGACACTCGTACACCTTAAGGACTAAATTCGCTCCTCATTCGCTCTATCGTCGCCTAATCTACTCTTAGTTATGTCTTATGGGTTAACGCATCGCTCTTCGTGGTTGAATCCGAACCAGAGTGACGGGAGATGATGATGATGCCTTCAGTGGGTGTCTTCAGGGCAGGGCGTCGCTTCTTCCTCTTCATCGACGGTCCTTCGGTTTGGCAGTATGGCGATTTCCCGCTCCTTTCGATACTTCCAATCACATTGGTAATGTTGAAGAACAGTTTCCGTTCCCTTGTTTTGGGTTCTCGAAGGGTCTGGTTCCTTTTGCGAGCCTCGTCCGATTTTGGTCGAAGGACCCCCGCTGGTGGGAGGACTTTTCAAGATCCAGATTTCTAGGGAAGGATCCCTGCATCCGTACTCAGTCTTAGATTGTAGACTAGCTCTAAATACGATTAGGGAGCCCGTGGTCTCGGTTAAAGGATCTCAAAAAGCCTAAGGAAGTCGAAAAAGACGTCTCGGACGTCGAAGCTTGCGCTCGGATATGTGCCCCTCGGCGAGTATTCGCTATTTCGATTCTCCTCGTCGGTCCTCGAGGTCGCCGAAGCGACTCGCAACCTCGAGGATTCTGTTCCTAAAGAGACAAGATCGCGTGCACTTGTCGCGGAACTCGATATGGATTTTTAGGTTCTTTTAATTCCATGAATTTCCAGGAGGCTCGTTCCAGAAGGATCCCCGACTAGGTCGCGGCTCGAGTTTTCTGGAAGGACCGCACGTGCAGGTGGAGCGTGCCAAGATGGCGTCGACCAAAATCCGTTTTCGCGGGATTCTGCATAGAATTTCTTGCACATCACGATTCCAATAGTCGAGGTGCAGCCTATCCGGTCCAAGGAATGGGGTGGGCCAAGCTGAAGAAGGTTTGATAGTCGGAAAGTCGAGAAATCGGCGCCCAAAGTCTCCAGGTGGCCGACCGTCATCGTTCTCGCGCGCTTCTCTCTACACTCGTGCCTGGCAAGCTTCGCGTGGCCTGTACACGAATTGACTAACGAATAGGAGCTTAAGCTCGATCGGTCGAAGCTCTTCAGGAAAGGAACCGCGTCTCACCAGGTCGCGTGAACGTCCTAATTGGGCCTAATAGCCAAAAATGTATTCGGCGCGAGACGCAGCCTGGTTTCTCGTCGCGTATGTCGGTCACTCTTCAGTTTTCTAAGTTGATGAAGGCGATGAAGTCGACGGGAACTTCAAGTCACGATCCATTTCTTTCACTTTGACGTTTCTTCTCATCTAGTCACGCCGAACGACCGACAATTTCCGGTCGATCGCGATCAAACCTCCCATCAGGGTAGTCGTCAGTCGATTGATTCGCTCCCTCGTCGGTACATTTGCAGTCTCTTCAAAATAAATCAGTAGCCCAGTGATCGGAGGAGCCCGAACGTCCCAAATTGATCGGCCAGCAGAACTGACTCGTCCCATAAGGCCCATTTCCTAAAAAAACCCAACACCTCACACCCGTCGCACCTTCGCTCTCTCGTTGATGACCTCTCTGTTCCTGAGTCGATCAGTTCTTTCTCTGGGTGGCTCCCTCTGATCCCGAGGGTCTGCTTGTCAGTTGGCGTAATGATCGAACGAGCCCAAGTATTCCAAACTAGCGCGGTAGCAGAACTGATACTGGTCCTGGAAGAACAAAGAAAATGGTCAAACCTACAAACGTTCTAAAACAAAAAAAAAGAACAAACATTGTGCCTCATAAGGTACCTCAGTCTGCACCATCGCAGGTCTCTGGGTGCGTAGTATCCTAACGGTCTGGAAGATATCGACGACCCCCTCGTATTGCATCCTCTCCAGGACGATGCTGAGCGTGATGAAGACCCCCGTGCGACCGACTCCAGCGCTGCAGTGGACGGTGATGGGACCATCCTGACCAAACTGCTCCTTGGTCTTGTGCACCTGACCGATGAAGTCGATGAACCCATCCCCGGACTTGGGGACTCCCTGTTCCGGCCAGTCTATGAATTGGAACTGTCTGACGGTCCTACTGGCCCCATCCCTGGCATCGGTGACTTTGAACTCCCTCAGGATGTACTGAGGCATGTTGTACTCGGCGATGGGGTCGACCACGAAGCACTGGTACCTGATGGATCGGTCGGAAGGCCAATACTGGTGGCACTTCTCGCGGCCCATCTCCTTCAGCTTGGTGAGCATGACGACGATGGTGGAGTTGTGCTCCCAGAGCATCCTCCAGAAGTCGTCGGTGGTGTCGATAAGAGGACCCTGGGTGGCGATGTAAGCCGCCCTGTAGCGATAGCCATCTATCAGACTGGCGTTTATGTAGTCGGACCCTTCGATGTTGCGCTGTGGTTGCAGACACACCCTGGTGCACTCGTACGGAAGGATGTGCACCAGTCTGTTCTTGTGTTTATTGCAGGGCAGGTTCGCCGAGATGAACCTGGTGGAGTCGGCCTTGATGTTGGAGAGCTTCTTGAACTCTAGCTCCATGCCGGTGATGTTGTCGAGCTCCGGCTGCATCAGCTTCTGGATGTGAGAGTGCAGGTTCCGCGCGGGCACTTCCGTGTTCCCACAGATCACCGCCTCCAGGAGGGCGTCGTGGATGAAGATGTACTGGTCCTCGGTCTGCACCATGTAGTTCCTCTGGGCACGCAGGCAAGTCACGTGCCCATAGATGTCGATCATCTTCTCATGCTTGATCCGCTCCAGCATGGAGTCGATGACGATGAAGCACCCGGTCCTTCCGACCCCGGCGCTGCAGTGAACGACCAGGGGACCGCTGTCGGGGACGTTGAGGGACCTGACCCTCTTCAGGAACTGCAGGAAGGGAGCAGGGTGTTCCGGAACCCCATGGTCGGGCCAGGCCGTGAACTGAAGCTGCTTGATATCTCTTCTCTCCGAGTAGCCGGCTCTGCACACCTGGAAGGTCCGGATGCAGTACGTGGCCAGCTCCTGCACGTCGCTGATGGTCACCGTCATCAGTCCGTACGTCTCCGCTCCCCTCGTCGGCCAGTACTGGTCGCACTTGATCCTCGTCCTCTCCTCCAACTTCGTCATCATCACGATCGTGCTGGTGCGCAGCTCCCAGCACATCCTCCAGAAGTCCCCGAAGGTCTCTTGAAGAGGACCCTGGGTAGCCACGTACGCGTTCTGTTTGCGATACCCATCGCAGTAGTTCGCGTTTATGTAGTCCGAGCCTGGGATCCCGTCGATGGTCTGCAGGATGACCCTCGAGTGGTCGTAGGCGATGACGTTCGCGTAGCGGTTCTTCGAGGTGTTGACCTCCATGTTCGAGTGGTCCCAGGTGAACTGTTGGCCCGGCTCGATGGACTCGTACTCTTGGCTGAACTTGAGGTTGTCGTTCGTTTTCAGACGCTCTATGTGGTTGCCCAACTCGCTGATGGGGATGGGTGGGTGGGAGATCATGCCAGGGGTCTGGAAGTTCAGTCTGCGCATCTCGACAGGGTCTAGAGGGGCATGGTTGGAGCTGATGTCCGCAGCCATCAGGGGCCTTGTCACTGCAGCCTGGTCCGGTGCTTTGCAGGGCTGCCTTCGCCTGGATCGGTAAGGGTTCCTCGTTAAGAAGTGAGTCTCTTCAGTACATCCCTTCTTCAAGATTAGGATGAGCAACTTACTTCTTGATGACGAAGAGCAGAACTAGGCACACGCTAACCATCAGCGCCGCGATTATGGGACCCACTACCCAGACCATGCCCGGTTCCTGGCCACTGGTCTTCACAGACACTTCAGGGTTGCCATCCACGGGGGTGTTGGGGTTGGGTCTGCTGGGCGGATCCCCAGGAGGCACTTCCCGCATGTCCAGACTCAGGTATTCCGAGAACGGCGAGGACGTGTACAGATGCTGAAATAGAAACCACATGATCTCTCTCCACCCACGAATCTCTTGATCGACTCACCTTTCTAGGCGTGTCCACGATGGCCCTGACGAAGATCCTGTACCTCTTGCTCCTCTCCAGCTTCCTGTTCTCGTACCCTTCGAAGAACTCTCCACTCCCTAGATGGAAGGTATAGGGAATATCCCTATGGGGGAACTTGGCGGCGATGTAGGGCGCGTTTTCCCACTCCTGCTTGGCGCTCTTCCCGGTGATCATCTCCTCGGTGAACTCGTCAGGCTGCTTGTCGGCTGTGCTCTCGTCTTCAGGGACCACGATGAGATAATAATGGGAAATCAGGCCATACTCCTCGGAAGCCTGGGGCAGGATCACCTGAATCTCCTCCCCATTGACCACGCCATAGAAGTCAGGCTTCACCATCGGCTTCGGGGCCGCCATTTGGGTCGTCACCGTGATCTTCGCGGGGGGTCGGTAGCTTCCGTCCGATGGCACCGCACTGACGTTCACGTTGTACGTCGTGAAGGGCTGCAGCTCGTTGATGGTCGTGGTCGTGTATTGAGAGTCCAACAGGATCATTTTGCGAGGCACCACCTGGGTCTGCGTGATCCCCTGGGAGTCTCTGAATTCTTTAACCGCGTCGAACGACACTTTATAATTGACAGGGTTCAACCTCCTAGGCGGAGTCCATGACAGAGTCATCGAGTGCGTCGAGGAGTCTGGTGCACGCAGGTCCAGGGGCACGTCTTCAGGATTCACGGTGACCGTCACCTTGGAGCTCAGTCTCCCTAGACCCGTTTTATACCTCGCAGCGATTGCGATCGCGTATTGGGCGTAGTTCTCCAGGTTCACCAGGTCCGCCGACTCGGTCTGACCCACGATCTTCTGCTTCCACTCGTCCAGGTCCTCCACCGCGGTCTTGGTGTAGAAGATGTGGTAACCGACGACCTTGTCGCGGTTCGGCACCGGCTCCCACCTGGTTAAAGAAGAGACTTAGGGTCCTGTTTCTCTTATACTACCTGTAATCCCGGTGATGCCTCTTCGAGTACCCACCAAACCTCCACGCTGGACTCGGAGGTGGCCACCACGTTGATGGACATGGGAGCTCTACCGATGTCCTTGTCCGTCAGGATGGTCACCTTCTCCGAGTAGGGACCAGCACCCTGACTCGTGTGCGCCCTGACGTGGAACACGTACTCCGTGTTCTCTTCAAGGTCCGTGAACACCGCTCTAGTCTGCGTGGTTCCATTCCTGAGGATGATGGTCCCATGGTCGCTCTTTTTGTGGAACTCCGCGTCGTAGTGGATGATCAGGCCGTTCCTGAGGTGGCGCTCTGGCTGGTCCCAGGTCACACAAACCGTGTCAGGTGTCTGGAAGTGGTACGACAGGTTCGTGGGGGGTCCTGTGGGCTTGCCTTCTGGACTGAACCAATATTGCACCGCCTCCTGGCCGAAGCCGATGCTGTTCTGTCCGGCCACTCGGAACTCGTAGCTGACCCCTCGCTCCTCTGAAAATTGGAGTCATCCTTGAAAACCCTGCTCTTCAGGGTCACCCTACACACCCTTATCCCAGTGAAATAAATCACCTAGGTCCGTGATCCTGTACGTGTGGTGCTGGTCGGTCGCCGGGACGTAGTCCTCCTTCAGGGTCTGATTTTTTATGCCGTACCTGACGCGGTACCCCAAAAGCGCCCCATAGGTCTGCGTAGGCTTTGTCCATTTCAGGTCCATGTCGATGGGGATCCTGGTCCTGACGCTGATGAGCAAAACCATATTAAAAATAATTCCTATCTACCCAGGATCCACCCATTTGATCTTCCAAAATTTCCTCCCACCTCAGGGTCATCTGCGGCTTGTTCGGCACTCCTCCAGGTGTTTTCACGTGCACTGGGGTGGACCTGTCCCCGTCTCCCCTCCTCGTCAGGGCTGCTATCTGCACTGAGTAGCTGGTATCAGGCTGTAGCCCCGTGATGTTCACCTCGTGGACCTTCTCCACCACGTCCTTGCGGATGGGCTCGTTCAGCAGCTCCTTACCCTGAAGAGGTCGGCCAAAAAATCCGTAAAAAATTTCCCAATAATTTACACGCTCTCCCCTATCTTTGTAAAAACCACTCACGGCATCCTTAACTTCCTGGACGTGGATGTGGTACCCCCGGAGCATGCCGTTCTGGTTGTCGGCCAAGGGCGGCTTCCACTCCACGTGGATCGCCGTGGAGTTGATCGTCGATACCTTCACGTCCTGAGGCTGACCCGGTACTGCAACGCAAGTTTCTATTAGAGAGAAAAAGGTGGAAATCCTCCCCGAAAGTCCGCGTCATCTACCCGAGCGAGAACAATTACACACGCACTTGCAAACGCACTCACTCTCGCGTGAAATTAATCAAAAATGGAACCAAAACGGGGGCTGGGGGGGGAGGGGGGCTGAAATTAAAAGCGATCAAAAAATGATGTCGAATTCCGGTCAAATTTCGTCCGCGCTGAAAATAAAAACCACGGGAGTTATACATGTCTAATTATATTGTGTCATGTGGATTTTCGATGTTTTTCCGGGGTACGTCCTTTTAGGGAGAAATGCGGAATAATTCAGTTTGGTCCTGGCAGAGGGCTGAATGGGCTTTTTTCTCTTTTTCGACAGACTTGGGGCGGTTTTTTGGGGGTTTTTTCAGACAGTTTGGGGGCCCAAGTGAAACGTTTCACGTATTCTCATAGGTCCCCGTTAAATCGTCCGCGCGTCAAGAGTCAGCTGTAAAACCGGAGTGGCAGTAAAAAGGGAGCGAGGGAACAGTGTAAACCAGCCGTAACAGTCGGTGTAAATAAAAGGGCGAGGGGCGAAAGTAAGAGTCGTCAAAGGGCCGTATAAAAGTGCAAAAGAGACGGGAACTGCGAAAGGGAGCTTTCGGAACTTGGAGGGAACCAAAGGGGGACGGAAAGGTGGAGTGGGCGAGGAGGGAGCGAAAAAGGGGGGCGAACTGAAAGGGGGTGAAAAGGCGAAAAAGCGAGCAGTCACCCTGCGAAAATTCACACGCAATCCGGGGGGACGACACGACACAAAACCCGAAAAGGGGCCCCGGGCCCCTCTTTTCACGTAAGCGCGCGACGTCCTCTCCATTTGAATACCAATAATTATTTCCTCCAGAGTCCTGAGTAATAATTGTTTCCTCTCCCCTTTCCCGGCTTCCCTGGACCCCTCTGAGGGACTCGCTGAGTCCAGGCGCTCTTTTAAAAATTCCCAAAGTGATTAAAGGAAAGAGAGGAAAAAAAAAAAAAAAAATTCAAAAAGCGAATACGCGTCCTCTCCATTTGAATACCAATATTTATCCCCAGATCCTGGAAGTATTCCCCCTAGTTTTCAAGTCCTCGAGGAATTTTTCGAAACTGCGATGTATATAAAAAAAAAAATGATAAATCACAAATTCACTCCTTCCCTTCCTCCGGCAATTGTCTCCTCCACCCTCCCCGAAATCTCGACTTTCTCCCCTTTCTCGCGGGATTCTCGAAAACCCGTGTTTCTGTGAAGATTCCCTATTTTTCATTCCTTTATTTTCTTCGTATCTAATTTAATCTCCCTTCATTTTCATCGGCCATTTACTCCTCTCGGTGTATGGACTGTTATCAATGTGTGTCTTTGACGAGGCGCGACACGGAGGAGGGTAACAAAAGGAAAAAAAAAAAAAGAAAAGAAAAGGCCCGGAAAAAGTGCCATCTGCCAACCTACGTGTCGAGAAATGAGTATATATATATATGAATATGTACAACATCTACGGCGCAGAATCTCGGCGGAATAAACGCTTGCAACCAAGGGACATAAGTATATATATAAAAGGAAACGAAGAACCATGTGACAAGTGCCCGTGCACGCGATCGTATATATCGCGGTATATGTATTTATGTATACGGTAATATTGACATATATATACATAGAATTTATATATATATGTAATACCACTCCATGGCGATGCGTGATATATAGTGATATATATATATAATTACTCGACTAGGTATCTGAGCTACGGTTTCCAAAAATTCGCATGTACAGGTCCCGAGAGACGGGACGAAGAAAATCTCTGCCTAATTAGCGGACAAGACACGCAAGATATCTAGGGACAAAACACTGAGAAAACCACACAGGCTCCTCGGTCGACGCGGCTTGTCGGCCAGAAATGAAATATGAAAATAAAACGAAACACACATCCTCAAATTACGGCCTGCCAGATTCGCCCCGGGTTGCCGGTGGGTAGTTCAGGTGAAAAGAATCCGCGATAAAATGAATTCCATCGATGATTCGAATTTTTAAAAAATAATCCCGATAGATCTGGTATCGGATAATTGGAATAACTCGAGAATGACCCTCGGGAACGTACTCTCTTTTTTTTTTTCAAGCTCTCGAAGAGAGGGGAAAAATTTGGAGAAATCCCGAACGTCCGACCAGCAGCCCGTGGAAAGCTTCGGAACTGATAACGAAGAGGGTGGAACTCTAAGAGTACGAGAAGGGGGTTTAGAAAAAATGAGGGAATAGAACGAGGGGTAAAATGGGGAAAAAAAAATATATAGATATATTTATGTGGGAGGACGACAAGAGCGCGACACAACTGGAGACTCTACTTTGGGAATACTCACTTTTGTCGACTGCGCCCGAAAGTGGCCCGAATAAACGTGTGGGGGAGAAAAATCCATAAGAAATCGTGTGAGTGAGTTCGTCGAAAAAGATGCGACATTATTACAGAGAGCGGTTAGTTTCAAGGTACAAGGTCAGGCCCTCGGCGAGGTTTCTACCGGTCGCAGCGGATGGAGAAAAAGGCGATATCTCACTCTCTCTCTCTCTCCCTCGATCTGTTATCCCATTTTCGGGGAAGATAAGTAGCTGACGATAACGCCGGCTCGAGTCGAAAAGTCACCGACTGGCCTTTTTCCCGAAACGACTCGCAAGGTCCTCCACTCGGCTCGCAGAGAGTCGCGGGAGACGTGAGAACGATACGCCTTCGGCCTTAATTTAGGTCCCTTCCTTCTCTTTTCCTTACTTCGATTTTCTCTCTCTCGAGTAGATCTCTCTTCTCTTCGGCATGCACAAACACTACTCCAAGTATGAAGGTAACTAAAGGATCCATTTGCACGGCACTCGAGGCGTCGCGTGGGGAGATTGAGCAGGGTAGAAGATCTTGTAAGAGTGAGAGCTGCCGGCAAGATTCCTGGAAAACGCCGGCAAATCCCTGGAAAATTCCTGGCGCTGAGGATTGGTTTGGAACCTTCGGGAATTAATTCCTCAACGTCCCCCGAGCGGCGCCTCGGCTCGAAAGAAAGGAGAAAGAACCTATGGCAATGCCTACGAATTTAATCAACGAATATCGAAATGATAAACCAAGTAACCAAGAACGAAATCTACGACTAGGGGACATGGGGGAGCGGAGGATTTTTTATTTTGGGGATAGTGGTGAAGAGCCATCTCGGAAAGATTCCAGAGAAGGAGCCTGGGTCCTTTTTGGGATCTTGCGGTAGGTCAGGGAATAATTCCGCCAGAAAGGGACCTTTTTCCAGTGATCCGAAAGCTTTGGAATTTTTTCCCGCGGCGAATTCAATTAATTCTGGAATTTTTTGAGAAAACTTCTAGTTTCTACAGAAGTGATCTCGATCTCGGATATGCCGTTGCTCGTTATAAAATTTTTGTTTACAGTTAATTTTAATTTTCCGAAATTCTGGCAAAATCGAGTAGCATGCTGGAAGACAAAAAAGAGTTTCCGAAAGAAGGGAGGAAAAGAAAAATTAAATATGATAGATAGACGAATCCCTCTGACCCACCGTCGCCGAAAATGGAATTTGTTTAAAAACTTGGGAAGTCTTAGGGGACCTAAAAAAACATTTTGGCACGTCGGAAAATCCACCCGCCAAAGGCGAAGCGACGCGCACGAAATGAGATGGGAAAGGGAAATGAAAAAATCCCAAAAATGGGAGAAATTTGGGGACAGCGAGAATTTCCGGGACGCCTCGAAGAATCCGTTCTCTTTCCCAATATCCAATTTCTCTTTCTCTACGGGAGAAAACATAAGGAAAACGCCTGCGCGTAGATGCGAGGAAACGCGGAAAAGGGGATGCACTTTCTACGAGAAGAGTCAAAAAGGGAAAGAAGAAATGAAGAATATACGAAATAACGCTCTAGGAATGCGATTACTTACGTGTGCGAGTACTGTATTAAAGTACGGACAACGATTACGCATAATTGTAACAGAGGAGTACATTACAAGTACGAGTCTGACGAATAAGTGTAACAATATATATATATATATATAAGAAAAACAAAAAGAGAAACGCAAGGAAAAAGCGTCGCATCGCTGTCAGGGGTCTTCCTTTTAACAGTGACTTATGCCGTGTATGCATATGTATATGCATATGTATACAAAAGTGTGTAAATATATATATTCATGGTATACAGAGTGAAGTTGCAAGAGACAGCTCGCGTCGCATGCAAAGAGCCAAGGTCAGTGATAATAACTGCGTAAGTATGGAAATCACACACTGGTACGGTATATATATATGTATATGGTGGTACGCAAGGTTATATATGTATATATGAGCGTATATATGTATATATCGAACTATCGATGTGGAAATTCGAGCGTCTCTTTCAGGCGACCTCAACAAAGCTAAGTACAGCGTGCACCGCGAAATCCTGGACCCGCGACAATATCGGGAGGGAAAAGTTTGCATTTTCCCGGGAAACGGACACCGAAACGCAAGGAAAAACGGAAATGCAGAGCCGGATGCTGCAGCACACAGACTATCGTAAAAGCCTCGGAATCGGCGATGCAGTAAAATTGCACTTTGACGGCCAATGTCGAGTACTCAGCGTGTGGTTGCACTATTTAACGTAATAAAATCTCTGGTGTACACTACGTGGCAGTAAAATGTGTATTGTTAATAATAAATGAAGGAGTTCGACTGCAATTTCCGGGTAAATTAGCATTTCTGTAGGTAATAATTGTGTCTGGAATGTATTTATGTCCAAGTCGTGGATGTTCCTCGGCGCGCGATATCCAAAATGGCGGCGCGCGGCGTTCGAAGTGATGGAGATCCGGCGAAGAATTATTGCAATTACACGGCATTACCCTCGTTATTTGCGGAGAGTAATGACGGAAGGTCGCTGCCAGAGATGGGCACGCCGATAGGCTCGATACCGCCGCGGGTATTAATTTCAATTGTAATTAATCAACGTCGCCAGTTCTGGCGGAAAATACGCGCGCAGGAAATAGGCGTTCTGGTCTAGC